TCACCATCGACAACAACAGACTTACTTCTTTCACAAACAACGAATAACAATTCTACATTATCGTCAATTAGTAATGTTGGAATGCAAACACCAGTCGCTTCTTCAGATACAATCAATTTTAGTCAGTTACTACAATCGACAGCCGTCGGTAAGTAACCCAGAGAAATTCTCTTCAAATTCCACATTTCATTCATCATCTCAAAATATCCAATTCTCATTAGATACACAACAACAGCAACCAGTTGCTAATAATAGCGGAACTGTTCGTTCATCGTCATCATCTCATTCGTCATTTACATCCGAAGAACAATCGATGTTTTTTCCAATGTTAACTCATCCCTACTCATCGTCATCGTCATCATCATCATCATCTTCAATTCTTAATCCAACAAGTCAGATTTTTTCTACTAATACACCTCTGTCATCTGTGACAGCATCATCATCATCAACAACAACAACAAAATCCGCTGCAAAGCCGCACATACCCACCAGTCTTTCATTGAACAATAATAACAATAATAATAATAATAATAATAATCATTTTTCATCTGCATCTCTTCTTACAAATAGTACAAGAGACAGTCCTATAACAATAACAACAATTGAAAATGATAAAAGAATAACAGATGGAGAAATGACACCTAATCGTATCTTTTCACCAACACATTCATTTTTAACTAATGGCCACACAGGTACATACTTCAAACGAGAGAATTATTTCTTTCAAAAACTTCATTTAGACTTCATTCCAACGAAACCAACAATCAATAAAGTTCCTTCACACAATTATCTAACGTCAATTAAAACTCGCACATCAACTTCATCAGCTTCGTCGACATCGTCATCAATTGATGAAGCACTCATTCAACTAACACAGCAACAGCAATTATCAAGTGTTAATAAACTCTTCAACGATGAACCTTTATCTATATTTCATTCGCCATCGGTATCATTACCAACGAATTCAAATCTCGATAAAGAACAACAAGCCATTCATGATAATATTCATTTCCTTGCCTCGATGGCAACTGCGTCATCTCCAGTCACATCGGGAACTCCATGGCAACAACGAACATTACTCTCATCATTCGATACTAACGGACAGGCGCAACATAAAATTCGTCCAACGATGCTCCAACGACAAGTTAGCTTCTCGTCAAGAAAGAATTCGGCAAATATCCAAGAATTAATGCAAAGTCTGAATGAGCTCTGCTACAAAGGTTTTGATGAGCTGAATGCACTTATACAAGAACAACGATGGGTATGAAGAGCCATTGACCTCTTTTGAAACTTCGATATTTCGTTGAAATCTAGGTACAAAACTATGTCAATATCAACTCTCTATCGCCCAATTCTCTTGCAACGCACCTAAATGGTTCGAATTCTTGTTCTTCCCGTGTTCTTATTGTTTCTGAGTATTTTATATTCAAATGCAAAAAGATTGAAATAACGGTAAGCTCTTTAACAAAGAATCCAACATGTCAGATAATCTTTCTCTTCAGGCAAGTCACGTTTTTGAATTATTAGCTCTAGCAAGAGCTGAACTACGCTTACGAGATTTAATGTTTGTGTTCAAATCATGGAAAGAGTCAATTGCAAATGCCGAAATGATTCATCAAGAGGAGGAAAATAAGCTACGCTTAAGCACGGAACATCCTCAGTCGTATTATATGACAGACTCAGTCTTACAAGCAGGTAAATTGCCATTGTGTCCCTCTTTACGAAGTGAGAGGAGATAAGTCTATGTGCCTAAATGTATCTTCGAACACTTTTCCCATACTAACAGTTCTGAAGCATGATGAGCGCTAACTTGTTCTTTTAAGACTCAGCTTCCAAGACTTATGTATTCTTGTTGTTTTAATGATCTATACTGGTTGACATTTCAGATTCAAAAAGACTTTTTTGCGTCTAAAACCTTTGGTTAGAAGGTTTGATTGATTCTGTTGTGATATATGAACATTAAAAGTTTATGCTTAGCTCATTAATTTATAATTGAAATATTCATTGAGTAGAAGAGACAGGGTTGTAATGAGATATTCATGTTTTTGAAGAGCATCTTATGTTGATTTTCACAGTTTTATAGGGGAATCCCTTGACTTCCGTGTTCATTTCCAGGCAAAATATGTCACTTATAGTCTTCTATTCACGAGGCATGCACCCTTCGCCCAGACATAAAGATTCTCTGTCACGTTAACAACAAGCAGTACGATAACATGTGCTTGTTCTCAGTTTTCCCTCAGCACGCAGAGTTTAGATATGATGACTGTTGGACAACTGAAGAATATTTTTGTATTTAGCGTTTGATCATGTCTCGTATGCAATTCACGACTTGTGTGATTGGACACAAAAGGCTCGTGCTGCATTTCAGTATGCCACATTGAATATCTTCCAAACATTATCACGTCAACAACAAATTCAATCTCAAACATCCTCAACACCGTTAAATCTTGCTCAGTTTCAAAGCTTTCAACAACAAAAAGCGTTGTCGACATCATCGATGCTGCGCCCGACTAGTGCAGTCCGAACAACGCCTTGAAATGAAAAGCTAAAAGATTTCCTGTATTTTACGAAAATTTGAGAAAATACCTAACCGGTGATGAATTTCTTTCTTCAAAATAAAACGTATGATTTCTATTGAGCAATTACAAATAATGTGTATGTCTGCTTGTGTGTGTTCTCCGCAACAACATCTCGTTGATTTCCTTTCTACACTGACTAGCTTTCCTTTTATTGCCTACTCAATGGCAACACACGGATTTAATGTATTCAACTTTGTCGTTTCCTACCGCTTATTTTCTTTCCTTGTCTGACTGAAAATGTTTTTTGTTTTCTTCAATATCTCTTCTATGACGTCATCAACTTGTGCATTGTCTCTTTTCTTTATGAGAAATATGACAAAACTGAAAACCAACTTTTCATATTCCTGCCGTTTGATTTTATTGAACCAGACTTCTTCTGGTTTCTCTTTTTTTGCTATACATCCTCGTTCCTTTCCCCTATTTCTTTAAGTCGTGTCATACTTCGTTCTCTTTTTTTATAATAAAACGTGGGAAGAAAGTCTATATCTTTTTTTTAACATAGAAAAGAATGACGATCCGAGTTGCCGAAGGATTTCTTTTCCTTCTTTGGGTTCATTTTCTTCTTTCCTTTAGAATATATACAAAGTCCGTCTCTTTAACTCGGTAATCTATTTTTATTACTCCTAACTACATCAAACAGTGTCATTTCTCTTCACATTCTGAAGAGGAAAACAACGATAACTTACCGATTCTTTGCCCTGATCTAGCAGTTGTAATACCTCAGCAGAGTCAGTTAGAAACATAGCCCGTGCTTTCTTTTCTTGACAGAATCACGGAAACCATTGAAGTACACGACGCATTCTATTGGTTTTCATTTTGTTTCGTACTCATTGACCGAGCAGCTGTTGTTTTCTAGCCTACGCAGACGAATTCTTTCTAATTGATTTTTTTTTCGAACAACAAGAAAGTCAAGCGTTGTTGTTAGTGGCTTCGAAGGTATATTCGAAGATATATGGCACTGATACGATTTAAAAGTCCATATGTACCTGGTGACACCGCATAGCGACATTCCCTTTAGATTGCACGTAGTTACTTTCTTCAAGTACCAATAAGATAATTGCATTTGGAGTATTGAACTTGATAAAAGCACTCTCAGCTCATAGAATATCGAACTAGTGTATAATGCAAAATAGCAGGTGCCAATAGAAAAACGTTATTTTGATATAAAAAAAAACAGCTACTTTTTCCTTGACTACTACGTGTTACGATGATCCAGATAAAATTTTATTCATTATTCTTACTTCGCAGTTGGTTTAGGATACGTTTGATAAATAAATGAAGATATTTTGTACTTTTCTAGATATCTGTTCCGATGAATCATTGATATTTCAATTTTCGACAGCTTTATATCTGGTATGTACCTGTTTGTTATCATTACCTTCAAAGATACAAATTTTTGTCACTGTCAAATTAGTCGTAAATGTAATTAACCGAGCCTGCTAGCCTTTTCCGGTTATTTTAAGTAGTAATAACAGTTCTTAACAAACCTATCGTTTTTCCAAGGATGAAATGCATTCGCACAGTTCTCTTTCGCGAGACGAAAATACTACGCAATTATTTGTGCACGAATGTGACTAAGGGTAATCGTATGTGTTTACATAGGGAAAACATCTGCGACCTTTCGTTGGTATGCTCTGTAATTGGTACAGAAACGTATTCTGGGCTCTTTCCTCTGCGCTATGAAGTTATAAATGTGAAAGAAAACTTTTCAAATTTAAGTTTACATAAGTCTAATTGATCTATGCGACAAACATCGAAAGTCTCAGTCGAATAGCTCGTTTTGATCTAAGATGGAAAAGATTGGATCGTTTTAGCATCGCATTTCAGCTGTTTATTTTCAGTCAGGCGAACGAGTATGCATTAGTGTCGATGAGCGCATTTTTCGAATTTTGCTATAAAAAACTTTTCTTTGCTACATAAAACATGATTCTCGATTCTTTCCATGCGTGCTGTCGTGTTGGTGAATATCGACAAAGGCTTACGTGGCTCGCCTGAAAACGTCACTTAATGAATTTGTAACTAATCTTGTTTAATAATGCACATATGCTAAGACTCGCTAGTGTTTTCCGTCAAATTGTTCATCTTGAAATGATACATTATGAGTGCACTTTCTCAGATCGTTAATATCAATGACTTTATTCAGTTGGTTATATCTTAGGACAGGTGCAAAAGTTATATAAGACTTTTTTCTTTGAATAGAGTTCAACGTAAGAGTTTCATTCCCGCGACTATTGTAAAAGCATCTGTTAGAATTCTAGTAACATTCTATAGTCATGATCGTGCGAGAGATTTTTTTCAGTACATTTCTCACTATTGTCAACTGAACTCATGTAACCCGAAAAGCCTAAGTACATGTCACCAGTTCCACATTGTTCTACATATTCTCATAATTAGTTCTAGACTCCACAATAATCATCAACAATGGCAGAAAATCCGTGTACAGGAACCAGTAAATCTCGGCAACTGGGACCATGTTCTGTTTGTGGTGCTAATTCAATTGGTATTAATTTCGGCGTGTTAACGTGCATGGCGTGTAAAGCATTCTTTAGACGAAATGCAGTTAAACTAGGCGTAAGTTGATCGGTATTCTTTCTATTTGATTCGTCATCTTGGTGATTTGTTAGAAAACTGAATTCATCTGCTATCAAAATGGAGACTGTCTAGTGACGCATGATCTGCGGCGAATGTGTAATTGTTGCCGGTTAGCGAAATGCTTTCGCGTTGGTATGCAAAAATCCTCCATATTATCAGAAAGCGAGAAGCAAGCACGCAAAGACTTAGTGGACCAAAATCGAAGAAAACGAGAAGAGAGAAAACTAATGCGACATACAGAAAAGGTAAGCTTGGGATAAAACTAACTCAATTATTTACAACCGGAGATGTGCTACATACGTAGATTGTTACCATAGAAGATTTACATGAAATTCTATTCTGTTGGAATATGACACATAGAAGCTATCACATCGACGAGAAACCTAATAAGTTCTTTGTATTTTAGATTCGACTCAGTCTCAATGCATATTCATCCGAAAAAGGTCCCAAAGCATTGTCTCCATTTGATCAAATGATCCTTACGAATATTTTTAATATTTACGAGCGAGCCTATTCGCAGAAGGGTGTCGAGCCATTTACAAATGCACCTGTATTGAAACATGCCACTGTAGACACGTTTTTCAATGACTCTGAACGACGAGTTCGAGTACTATTCGACTTTTTCAAATTGATTCCTGAGTTCAACAAATTACCAATCATGGACAGAGCACGTCTAGTTCGAACCAATTTTGGGCCGCTATTTCACATGAACGAGTCCATACTGAATCGATCGAGTCATGAAAATTTCATATTTTCATTACAAGCTGCATTCGGCGAAATCGGCGCTCTTGAGGTCCGGATTTCTTTTGAGCGAGAACGTGAATATTCATACGATCCCATCCTGCTCAAGCTCATCATGATTATCTGGTGCTTCTCTCTTGGTATGAACAAATACACTTATAACATCGATACAAGCGTGATCTATGAAGATACTCTGGCTATCTTCGCCAGTGAAAGCGTCTATGTTGAGCTGCTTTGGCGATATCTTCTCTCGAGATTGCCTTCCACCGAATATACTGTCAAATTTTTCAACTCATTCGTATTGAACGTACTTTGGCTACAACGAACTTGTCTCAGTGTGGACCGATTTATGTTGAAGTCGGAGAGAAACGTAAAAAACATCGTACCACTGTTACAATGTATCATATGTCCGTCACCAGACAGCTTATATGCAACAGAACATACCAGTGATATGAACTTTGGCAATGTACAATAATGAAGCACAATGCATTATTCGGAACTGAATCGAGTTGAACCAATGACTGCATCATCAAAAACAGAAGATGAATATGCATAGGATCCGATTCTCACTGAGATGTTAACCGATGGATTAGCTTAATTGTTGTACATATATTAAAGCCTGAGATATCCCTGCAGAACATGTCTGTTTTCATTTATGATGTAATGTTTTGGTCTTATGATACAATTAATTTATGTATTTTAAAATGTTGATGACTATGTTGTACTTAGTCTGTTTTTTATGTGATGATTTCATCTATATCAGCCTAGTTTACTTTGATACTCATTCTATCTTGAGAGTGACTATGGAAGAAAGAGTTAGCAATAATTAGTTGACAGCCATCGAATAAAAAAACTAACGAACTATGAGAAAAGTCTTGAGCAGCATCTTCTTTTGTAGAACATGGCGAATTCTAGGCCATACGAGGTCGATTTGTAACTGTGTAATAAGATGTTACTGTAAGAAATGGAGTATCGCATTTAATTTGTACAGATCAAGTCTGAAAATAATTTCGTTAAATTCTTCACTTCTTCACAGTTAGTGGAAGACATTCTATCCAGCTTGAATCACACGCCGACAGAAGAAATCTCATCATCGGATATGCGTCTATCGAACTATCATCGTCTTCTCATAAAAAGTATTTTTCTCTTAAATACAAGTTCTTTCAATTCGATACACTTTTGTATAAGAAAAACGTTGTTTCTATTTGAATTTTAGATTAGCCACTGCGTCGACCAGTAAACACTTTTCAATAGATCATGATTATTATCCACGTTACCGTACCGAGCAACGAAAATCTGCTTACACAAGATTGACTTCTTCGAAATTATATTTGCAGTGATATCATCAAGGGTATAAAAACAGATCGTGTAGTCTCAACAGATTCTCGTTAGACAGTTAAATCCGAGAAAACTCACTAGTTTTCTCTTTCTGCAGTAATGATTCAATGAATTCAATTTGTTGATCAGATGTTGTTGGTTGACTTCGTCAAGCATACGCTCATCAACAAATCTACAACGGAAGTTAGTATTCAATGAGAATCTGAATGCGACTCAGGATTTATTTTCTTCTCCTTGGGCAATATTATCTGCATAAATTACGCTATTTTAACGTACACATTATGTAGAACAGTCGTTCAGCAGTTACCAAAAAACAAACTATACATCACGTTCTCTGTATCTCAATAATCGCCGATAGTGGAGTTGATAAAAATCTATTAGAACATAGAAGCGCCTGTGAAATAATTTACCATTGAGAGTATCTGATACTAACTCTATATCATTTCGAGAACTTTTTTATTTGACCGCAGGGAGAAATAACGGTAAATAGGAAGGAAAACTCGGCGTCGATGATAGTTTTCTCCTGAAATTTTACGTCTGCGTTTATGTTTATCTTAACCGCTACAGATATCGGCTCGTTTTTCAGATAAAAGATATATTCTCTCTTACAATCAATAAAACGCCGATTATGGCTACGTCAGTATCGCGAATCAATAGTCCATGCCTCGTTTGCGGTGATAAATCAATTGGTTTTAATTTCGGTGTGTTAACTTGCATGGCGTGTAAAGCGTTCTTTAGACGAAATGCAGTTAAACTTGGCGTAAGCGAAATCATTATTTGTTTTTAATGATTCAGTGTTTTCGCCACTTGTTTTCGTTAGAACTACGATTTTACATGTCCAAATGATGGTGATTGTCCTATAAATCATGTGTATCGGCGGATATGCAACTGCTGCCGATTAGCCAAATGTTTCCATGTTGGAATGAGAAAAGAATTAATTCTTTCGGAAGCTGAAAAGCAATTTCGAAAGGAACGAGCTGCACAACATCGCCAAAAACGAGAGAAAACACAAGCACCAAAGAAATCAGATATGGTATGTTCGTACTTCGTAATTAAAGGCAATCGATGCGTTTATTGCCGCGAAAATTGATGTTCTCTCGGAATAACTCAAGGTTTTCTTACACGTCTGTGTTCTTTTAGTGCATTTATATAATGGTAGTTGCTCTTTAGACTATGAGTCATTTATCTACGTCATTCAGTGGTGTTCTACTTTCCTCTAAGCGTTCTCTCATATGCTACACAAAAGAATAAGCTACCCTTTTTTTTCCTTTCTTCTCCGTTCGCTGCTCGAGCCATTTTTCTTTCATTAAGATATACGAAAAACATTCTTTACATGTGATACTTCGTCTTTGTTTTCTTTTCTGTCGGTATAATTACGACGAGATACAATATTAAGAACATAACATAAATCTTGAGAGTAGCTTTTTTTCCCCGGCGAATAGACTAATAGAGAACGAAACAAGGGTTGCACTTTAATATGTCAAATAAATTGCGTTGCTGTGTCGGTCGTCACATATAGGCGCAAGTAAGTCAATCTGAACGCACAAATCATGTTTTGTATTGTTTTTTAGACAGTAGCTATACCGGAAAAACGTTCGGCGCATCGAAATTATTTACGTATTCACACGTCTGATCAAGCCAATATTCAAAACATCTACAATGCATTCGAGTCGACATGTATTGCGCCCCGACAATCGCAGTACCCTGAGTTTCCATGCGTTGTGCATACGAACTTGTGTACATTTTTAAATGAATACTCGAAATCACACAAAGTTTTAATCGAATACTTCAAACGTTTACCTGAATTTGATTCCCTGCGTCTTCGTGACAAGATCTATTTGGTACGGAATCATTTCGGAAATGTTAACAATATTTACGAAGCCATCATTCATCCTGGTGTATCAGCAAATTTAGCTGTATCGTTTATAAACATTTTCGGTATCAGTTTAGCTAACCGGCTTTTACAATCCATTGAACGAATACAAGAATTTTCATATGATCCTGTGATATTAAAACTTTTCCTTACTGTGACTGCCTTTTCAAGTGGAAACCTTCGCAACCGGTGTGATCTCATTTTCGATTACGATCCTGACACATCGCTATCGATATTTGCCGCTCAGAGTGTATATATTGAACTTCTATGGAAATATATTATGTCACGTTCATCAACGACAGCCGATGCAGTAAGATATTTCAATAGATTGGTTCAATTTGCCTTGTATTTATTAAATGTACATTTGATGGTCGATGGTTATATCACTAATATGACCGAGGAGATCGAGCAAATGGAACCACTCATGAAAAGCATGTGGCCAAGTGCAAAAAACACGAATGTTTATTAGGATATGAAGTAGCTGCATTTCTAACGACGGTGAACGTCTAGTACAACACTTCATATTATCTACCTTGGTAATGTATTGAGATTTTTTTTTGTCATTTCGTCTCCTCAATCTGTTCTTATCCGTTTGATGTCAGCCAAATACCAAACGCGTTTAGTGTTTACCAGTAAATAATTTTTAATAGCATATGTCAAACACGACTTTTTCTCTGTGGGTGGATGAGAGTCATTTTTTCCATGTATTATTTGATTGGCTACTTTTTCTACTTAAAACAACTTCCTTCGGAAGTCTTCTAACGTATTTCTTAGAAAATGTCTTCACCATACGCCTCCGTTACATATTTTTTGTTTATGAAAAGTATTTGCTTCGAAAATAAATACGTGAATAAGATAAGTGTCGATGGATTTTGATCTTTTTTAAATACAGTATCCGAGAATAGTGTTTTGACCTGGAATGTTCTGTGCTTCTCTTCCTTGTCTAAGGTTATTTCATAAATAAACCTACTACTTTGTTTGAATTACATTTCGAACCGTAATCCACTTTCTTTTTCTATTTTCAGATGAAGTGAATGACATATTTTCGGTAACGCAAATTTACCGTTTTATGTCGTATGTTCACGCATAAATTGATTATCATTACTACGTAATGAAGAAGTTTGCCTACAAACTCATGTACCCTCTAGATTTTTTATTCCAATAATGTCCAAGAAAGATCATGGTCGATGTTTCGTTTGTGATGATGCAGCAATTGGATTAAATTTCGGTGTACCGACGTGTATGCCTTGCAAAGCTTTCTTCCGTCGAAATGCCACAAAACTCGGTGTATGTTTACATTGATTTTTTTGTCTATGCTTGTAATTGCTCCCCTGCTTTCGAAAGGTCCAACAATATGTTTGCCAAAATGACGGTGATTGTATAATATCGTACAAGTTTCGTCGATCGTGTAATTGCTGTCGATTGGCGAAATGCTTTCGAGTGGGAATGGACAAGGGAATGATTCTATCGGACGAAGAACGAGGTGCTCGTAATCAACTAGTGGAAATCAATCGACTAAAGCGGGGAAAGATTCCAAAACAACAATGTGCCAAATGGGTATGTAAAAGATGTTTGTTTAGACACACTTGATATGCTATAAATAGCAAGGAGAGTGCATAGAAGTCTTATAGGAGTGAGGAAAGACACTTCTGCTTGTCGATTTAGATTTCGATCGACTATGATAAGAAAAGAGAGAAATGTTAATTCTAGATGCAACCATCGCCTTTACTGATCATCTCAACGAATCCTCTCTATGGCCTTCGTCCGAATGATCAGGTTATTCTTGGTAACATCTTCGACGCATATGAAAACAATTGTACAGTAGCAAAAAATGTCCAATTACAGCGCGTTCCAGACATCCAATACACCTCTCTACATGAATATTGCAACGAGATTTCCTTCGAATTTCGAAGCTGTATTCAATTTCTGAATCATATACCAGAATTTGCTAGATTTACCATCGATGATAGAGTACGTTTGTTGAAGAATCATTTCGGTATTATAGCCAATATGAGTGGACCGATGATGCGTTTGATGTCCTTGAAAAATGCAATTATAACGTGGACAAATGTTTTTGGTATCGAAATTGCTCAGCGTCTTCTAAAATCCAGTGCACTGCTTCAAGCATATTTAAATGACCCGATGATTTTGAAACTTCTTATTGTTATCCTGGTCCTCTCCAGTAGTAATGGCCGTAATCTTGATTACATTGATATAGACCAGATTTGTGACGACCCATTAGGTATATTTTCTGCTCAAAATATTTATGTCGAGATACTATGGAGATACATTCTTTCGCGCTCGGCAAGTCACAAGCACGCAGTTCAATTCTTTAACAAATTAATCATGTGTGTTTTGTACATGAAGAATTTGGATATGGACATCGACAACTATATGAATGATTTTAGATGGGAAATTGAACAGATGGATCCAATAGTGAAGAATATGTGGCCAAATTCGGCGGAATTTGAAGAAATCATAGATATGGACATTATAGACGATAGTGCTCTTTAATGTTCTGAAAGTGATTAACAGTCAATTCCAACCAATCGACCGGTTGGTTTGTTCAATATCGCGATTGAGTAATTTTAGCAGTCTTTGTATGAACGTACATTAGCGTTTAATTTACAATCATGAAACATCATATTTTGTTTTGTTAAAATACCTTCTGTTGTCTTAGTATTTTTGTATAGTGAAACACTCAACACATTAATAGATCTACATATACATGGGTATATCTACCGGAAAACGCCAGTCCATCCGGCGACCTCATCCGATTTTGACAAAACTTTCAGAGTTTGTTAAGTTCTTGACGCTGATCAGTGATCTTCTTTCAGAGAAAACGTGATCTTTTTTCTATGAAAACTGGATCGGACCTAATAGCCAATATAGTATTCTAAATTTCGAAAACATCGTTTGGTTCCGTCGATGACTTTGAGACGATTCCTGAGCTTTCAACAAAAGTGAAATGAATGAGAAATTCTGAATCGGCAGTTTAGTAGGCCTGCTCATGCCTTATAACAAGCATTGCCTTGTTGTTTCCTTAACTTTCACATAGAGGAGAGTAAACATCCCATGCGTGATAACTTAGTATTTCTTATTTATTTTTTATCTACATTATCGCTAAAATGTAATCCCATCGTTTTAAAATCACCTGCAGTTCCATTGATATCATCTGTAGTTCGTAAAGTTAAATATTTTGATATTTCTCTACCGGAACCGTTAAAGTTATCAACTCTCAAAGATCTACAAACCCTAAAAGTTTTATTAAATTCGGACTAAATTGCCGGAGAAACGTGGCAACTTCTAGTGGACACACCCATATATATATATAAACATCACTGTTTCCTATTTCTACGCTAAATTGTCGAAAAAAATACCCAGTGTCAAAGTTTTCTATTTTTTTTCAGTATTTTCTTGTGTAATGAAAATAGCAGTTTCTTCAAACATTTCAAATGTTTTAGATATACAATTAGCGTTCATTGAGATTATAATCGGGATATGATGCTCATTGCTAACATATAATTATACCAATTCATGAGGTTGATATATAAACAAAGAATCATAAAATAAGTCAGATAAAAGAACTTATCGCGAAAGAAATATTCTCATTTGTACTACAAAGTCACGAGAATGTAATATTCACAAGGCGAATATTCGAGATTCTTCCTATGACAGCCGTCTGCACTGTAGAGCACAGGTAAATGTGCGTCAATACTGAGTCTGGTCAGACTATGAGATGTATAATACAGCGAACAGAACTTGTCGTAATTATTCTATAACACGCGTGTGGTGATGAAGACGAATTTTGATTAGATTCTATTTTCATGCCACATATCTCGTCTTTATATGATTCTGTGATAGTTTCTAGATTGATCGGGTGAAACTTTGTCATTAGTACTATGAAATGTCGAACAAAGACTATGGTCGATGTTTAGTTTGTGATGATGCAGCAATTGGATTAAATTTCGGTGTATCGACGTGTATGCCTTGCAAAGCTTTCTTCCGTCGAAATGCCACAAAACTCGGTGTATGTTTACATTGTTTTTTTTGTCTATGCTTGTAATTGCTCCCCTGCTTTCGAAAGGTCCAACAATATGTTTGCCAAAATGACGGTGATTGTATAATATCGTACAAGTTTCGTCGATCGTGTAATTGCTGTCGACTGGCGAAATGCTTTCGAGTGGGAATGGACAAGGGAATGATTCTATCGGACGAAGAACGAGGTGCTCGTAATCAACTAGTGGAAATCAATCGACTAAAGCGGGGAAAGATTCCAAAACAACAATGTGCCAAATGGGTATGTAAAAGATGTTCGAGCTACTGAATACTTCTGACGTGTAATCTCTAGTTGACAGCACGGAAAATGTTTATTCTACTTTTTATCTAGATTTCAAAACGGTAAAGATGTACTCTGATTTGCATTTCTATTGATAGATGAGATCTCCAGTATTACTTTCTATGTCGCCCAAACCTGTCAAATGTCTTTCGCCGTGTGATCAAGTCATTTTATCGAATATATTCCATGCATACGAAAGCACATGTACAGCTGCCGAAAATCCTCAATTTTCATGCTTTCCATCTATTCAACACACATCCATCCACGAATTTCTCAATGAATTTTCGATGTTTTTTCCAGCCTTTATCAACTATTTCAAACATATTCCTGAATTCGAGCGAATAAATATCGATGACAAAGTCAGCCTAGTTAAATATCACTTCGGTGTGATGATCAATATTAATGAACCGCTGATGCAGCCATCACCACACAAGAATTTAGTTGCCACGTGGTTGAATGTTTTTGGTATTGACATAACTCGACGTCTTTTACAACGTAATAAAATCTTAGAACAGTACATTCATGATCCTATACTGTTGAAAATCATTCTCATCGTTCTCGTATTATCCTGTAATAATTGTCGAGTTCTCAATGATTCTACGTTTAGTGGATTGTATACCGATCCGTTATCGATCTTAGCAGCACAGAATGTTTATACAGAATTATTATGGCGATATGCTCTATCGCGTTGTGGTGGCGTAAAAGACACCGTTAGATTCATAAACAAGTTAATCATGTGCATACTCTATCTTCAAAATCTTGATATTTATATCGATGATTATATTAGCGGTCTACGTGAGGAACTTCAACAAATGAATGCGTTAGCACAAAACATGTGGCCAGTAGACCATGAAGCGAGTGATATGGATGACAACAGGATTGAAGACGATGTTATTTTCTAGTGCCGCGTTGAATGTTTTGTTTCTTTGTTGTATATATTAACTGTAGTGTTATGCATGTAATACTATAGATTATTAATGTTTGAATTCATTCTATTTTTTTCCGTTTCTATCGATGTAAATCTACGACTTTCATAGCGTTAGTATATAAATTTTTCTAAAAAATAGGAATGATTCCAGTAAAGAACTGACATTTGAAAAACAAGGCTCTGTTCAGTTAAATATCTTTGGCACTGCTCATCCCATATGCAGTTTGTTTTCAGTAACCTGATAAAAAGTTCGATCAAACAACTAAGATAACTGATAAAGCTGTTATATAAAAGAAAACCGAAATGAATCAAATTCTATTGTCCTTTGTTTTATCGTTGTTAGATAAAAATATCAAAATGGTTGAGAATCAAGACCAAGGTCCTTACTATCAAATAAATGACACCAAAAATCCTGACCTGCTGCATGAACGTCGATCAGCAACATTCGATATTGAACTGTTAACGCAATTCATGTTTGGCGGCCCAAACAGTTACTTTAATATTAACAAACGCCGTCAACTGAGTAAGTTATCAGTGAACACATTCTCTTCACTCAAGTCGTCTATTTTTTGTTATCAGCTCGCCTTGCCTATGCCCATCCAATTCATAAGACGCATTTACCATTGGAATATCTCGATGCTGACGAATTCTACGCCTTACTTATACGTAAAAGTTTTGTTGCTATTAAGGAAGCTGAACGTCTGAATATAACCGATCGAAAATTTCTTGGCTGGTTCTTAAGCGTTTTTACCAATGGTCGATTTATCTTTGGTCTGCACACCAGTATGTTTTTGCATACGTTAGAAAACATGGCCAGTGATGAGCAGCAAGAGAAATTCTTACCATTAGCTCGATCATTTCAAATTATCGGTACTTATGCTCAAACGGAATTGGGCCATGGTTCAAATGTGCAACGATTAGAAACCGAAGCTGTTTTCGATAGTAAAACAGACACATTTGTCTTGAATACACCAACATTAACAGCGACAAAGTTCTGGCCTGGTGCACTAGGTCGATCGACAAATTATGTTCTATTGATGGCGCAATTGTACACACCCGATCGAAGTCATCCGTGTGGTTTACAGATGTTTTTCGTACAAATTCGAGATCTGAATACACACGAACCATTACCAGGTGAAATATTGCGTGTGAAATATTGAAATGGTTATTGTCCTTTTCTGTAGGAGTGGAAGTGGGCGAAATCAGTACACGATTTGCACATGAAGTTGGCGATAATGGATACCTTCGCTTAACGAACGTACGCATTCCACGAAATCAAATGTTGATGAAATTAGCCTATGTATGAGCGTCATGCTATTTCACCAAAGAAGACGTGTGTTTTGTATAGGTCGATGAGCAAGGCACTTTTCATCGTTTGGGTGATCCTCGTTTGCTCTATGGTGCAATGTTAGCAACACGTGTCAATCTGTGCGCATTCTTTTCGATCTTACTTGCTCGCGCTGTTACGATTGCTATGCGATATTCAGCTGTTCGACGTCAAGGACAAAATCCCGATGGGTAATCACACGATTTTGCATCTGTCTTTCCGAAATTTTCATTTATATGTTTTGTATTGAAGCAAAGAAACACTCATTTTGGACTATCCATTACAGCAAGAAAAATTAGTGCCATGTCTTGCAGCAACATACGCATTCTTCTATTCGTTTATAAAACTCGAACATTTCCGTGCATCTATTCTCGATGGTGATACAATTCTATTTGAACTCTTACCCGAGGTATTCGTTGCTTGTTGGTTATGGATAAAAGTTTTTCTGTTCTGTTTATCTAGCTTCATGCTATTTCGTCTGGTTTGAAAGCATATACATCGACACATGGTGAGCGATGGTCTCAAATATGTCGTGTAGCTTGTGGTGGCCATGGATTTCTAGTAGCCAGCGGCATTAAAGGTATAAACAATATGTTAGATGCTGGTTGTTCGTACGAAGGTGACAATGCTGTGTTGTATCAACAAACAGCCAGGTACTATCGAATTGAACGATCATTTGTGTGTATTTATAACCAAATATCAATGAATAGATTTCTTTTGAAAGTGATACAACAATTGGATGAAAATACGGACACTAATCCGGATTCATCGATTGCTTTCCTATACTCAAACAAGGTAGCACCAGCTACTGTTGTCAATTTAGACGATTACTGCCGATTATTCGAGGCGCGATCAGAATTGTAAGTTGTATTAACTCGAATGACTTATCTGTACTCTGATACTTCCATCATTTAGATTGTTGAAATCAATGTCAACTCGACTGAGTGAACTATCATCATCATCATCGACACCGTATAGTGTGTTTTCTAAAAACTCCATTGAACTCGTTCATGTGGCAAAAGTATACGATCATCAGTCCGTATTTTTCATCATAGTTCGCGATTGTTTTAGGCTTATGTTGAAACATTTGTTTTGCGAGCATTCTACGATGGTGTACGAAAGGCTTCCGAGCATAAAGAACTCGCGGTGGTTTTCGAGCAACTCTTCCATGTTTTCGCGATCGATACTTTACGCAACTCGGCAGCGGATTTCATTCGAGTAAACCTTCTCGTATCATCAACGTTCGACTTTATTTCAATGATCTTTTCGTTACCTAGCTAAAATTGCTCACACCTGATCAAATCTATCATCTAGAAACCTACGGTTTACCGGATATGTATGCTCGACTTCGACCAAACCTAATCGCGCTAGTTGATGCATTCGATTTCCATGACAATGAACTGAGTAAGTCTTTTTCTCTCATTTTCAGTCGCGTCAACTTCGACATTGTTTAGATTCATGCCTTGGTCGTTACGATGGTCAAGCTTACGAGGCATTGATGGAACGAGCCCGTCTCAATCCAGCAAATCGTTATAAAGTAAAACGTTCGGAGCTCATTGATAAGTCTAATTTTTCTTTCTCTTGTAATACTGCAGGTTCATCCAGTTTGGACATCGATAAAACAAAACGCGAAATCTAAACTTTGAAGAAAACAAAACCGACACGAAAATTCGCCTTTCATCATACGAATGAATATACTTTGTTTCTTATTTAATTTGTTTTCATATCATTCCGATGAATAAAGTAATTGATAGACTTTCATTTCTCAACAGAAAAGGTATTGAAACGAACATTCGAAGGTCGTTTAGTCATTCAATCAAGCAGACCGATTGATTTTAGTTAGAAAAACATTTGTTATATCAAACGAGTTCTCATATTTCTCTAAACTGTGTTGTAATAAAAACTTATATAAGATGCGGAGTGTTACATCATACTTCAGCAGGCGTCTTTTTTTCTCAGCGAACTGTCATTCACATGTGATGCAGTCTCGTATGAATTTTATTTTGAAAAATACTCAAATTTAAATAAATGGTTGACAAAGTCGAGCAAAAGTCAATGGACAAGGATTATATCGTTGAGTCGAAGTTCGCAAAAGTTCACTGATTTCATCGGTAGTCATACCCCAAACAGATTGGTCATTAATCTAAAAACAAAGAATTTGGTCGAACTGTGAGCAGTTTCTTCTCTTACTTTTAATATAATATCATTCGGTTGCAATTCCGTTGCATTTAACGATTTTTCGATCGCTGTTACTTGATAAGTATTCTTCGGTTGTTTGGACGAAATCTTTTTAAAACATGTTTGATTCGAACATGTTAAGAGAGGTCGTCGACCATTAAGTATCGAATATGGAAGTAATATAGATGCACTTAATTGCACTGTACTTAGTGTCATTGTATAGAGAGTGAGATCTTTAACGTCTTCTATGTTAATTTGAAACGTTGAATAGAACTGTTCTTCTTGTGATGACGTTTGACAGTGATTGAACAGATTCGAGAGAATGTTTTTTTCGTTGTAATCTATTACTGGTGAATTTTCGACTGAAGAATGATCGATGTGAGATTCTTCATTGGTTGGAACTTTTGTTGATACAGTTATTTGTTCGAGTTTATGTGTAAATGTATCTTGCGATGAACGAGTATCTAGATTGTCAAGTAAATCGTATAGTTGCTCAGACGAAATGTGTTCCTGTAAGACAGGCTTTTGATCCGATGATGGAACAGCTGGTAATTGACGTTTGAATGTAGAATTTACGTTGGACTTTCCCCGTGTTGTTAATGAACGTGGAAGATACGAATGATTGAATAATGAAATATTTGTTAGTACTGGACTTTTCGAAAGCGACGAGGACGATGGCGACGATGAAGATGGTGATGAAAGAACGAGTTCAGTACCATCTGCTCGACGAGCTTTCGGTATATATACAGTTGGTATTTGTAAATGAGCCGATGACAATGTCGAAGAATAATTCAATGCTTCGAATTTGTCTAACAACGATGAATGATGATGCTCATTAAGTGATGACTCAATAAGATTAGTTGAATTGTGAATAAACGAAGTATTTGGTGATTGAACGTAGGATAGGTTCTGAATTTCATCGACATGAAAACTTGATGTTGTTAATTCATGCGTTGTATCATTAGGAGTCGACGTCGCCGGTAGGATAGATATCGATGGAAATATTCGTGAACGTTTCGACTAAAACAAGATCTCAGATCTCTATATTCGACACAAAGCTATTTTTAAAAGAATGATTCGAAACGTTTCTAAGTATTCTGTTTGTATTGACATCGAACGATTGGGTAGAATATAAATATTATCTTAAAACGATCGATATGTACATCTCGAACAGTAAAAATAATACTTCAACCATCCGAATACTTGCAAATAGGTAGGACTTCGGGTGAATTCAACATATTAGGATACATGGTCGTTAGATAATCCTCTTCGTAAACGAGTGTTTTACAAGCTACTCAAAACCAATCTTTGCCGATTACGTAATATTGTTCTAACTGAAGAGAGAAAGCACACCTAATTACTTATGAATGAGAGTCTTCTCTTATGTGTAGATTTAATAATTCAAATCAAGGTTGATTTTAACTTGATTGCTTTCTTCGAAAAAGAATTGCCATTTAGCCTACAGAAGCCTTTTAGTAAAATTGTATTTGGAGAGTAGTCTCAATAGAAAGACTCTTTCGCATCAAAGGTTGTTTTATGAACAGCTAAATGATAAGAGATTTATAATATTGACATACTCGTTCGTCATCATCGTCTTCATCGTGGTGAATTTCAATTGTTGTTGTTGACCGTCTATCATGTGATTGTTTTGAACTGAAATTTATATCGGGCAACTTTTTTATCGGGCTGTTTTGGTGGTAGTTGTTATTATTCAGATCACGTAATCGTCGATGAAATTCATCTAATGTCGTGCTTTTATCATCATGAAGAGTAGATTTCGATTTAACGAAGTGATGGTAACGATCGACAGCGCCATGATCATCGATTAAATCACTGTCAGTGCGTTTTTCTAGAAGTTCTTGCAGAAACTGATTTGCTGTTCGATGTGACTTGGCGCGACGTTCTCGTAATTCTTCACCACTTTTCTGCATGCGCATACGAGAGGATGTCCATTCGGATTTGGCTATAACTGCGCAAAGACGTCGTTGGACGTTTGAGTATTCATCGGTCTCATTCATAATTTGTCTTTTTTTCCTCTCTTCTTTTCCTCGTTGAATTGTTTAAATGACGTTCAAACCACAAGTCAACACTTCTAATAAGAAAAGAAGGAGAAGAAGAAGAAAAAAAAACGGCCCGAGGTAAAATCAAACCAAGATGAGGTAAAAAGAAGAAAGAAGAGAAAAAAAAGAAGGGAGGATATTTCAATCAGTTAGTTTAAAGACATCAAGAACGAACATACTAAATAAACATAAAATAAGAACTCTCTATGGTAGCGAACGTCCTGTCAATAGAAGAGAAACATGAAGATTCAACGTGGAGATCAGTATGCAATGTCGGTAACGAGAAAAAGAAAACGGAAGAAGAAAAGTACAATAAACATTTGTGTCTAAAGATTCAGACGATTTGAAATATGAATTAATCAATAACTAATCTTTCACTTCATATTGTATTACATACATACTGATTTCGAAGACAAATATTGATCTTTTCTATGTTGAACAACGATATGATCACACTAAACAATGTCTGACGCCGACATATCTGCTCGCTTTCAAATTAGATCTGGTATTGAATGAATACTATTAAAATCGACTCATTTCGTACAAGGTTTCAATAAACAAACGAAGTCATACGGAATAACTGCACTTAAGCATTCTGAAGAATCTCATAATGATATATGCACATCATTCTAAATGATTAAGTAGTTTAATTTCTCGAAAGAAACAAACGAAACTGAACATGGTGCATCCATCCATAATTGGATCGTGATAGAAAGCACGACAAACTTTGCACTGACAACTACGATGAGAAATCTTTCAAAAGTAGATCAGGCTTTTTTATTCTCATCATCTTTCGCATATCATTGAAATGCTTGGAAATTTAAATGTCGATATATTCATACTTCGAAAATTATTGTTTATTAGATAGCACAACAAGAAATTCCATCAGATTGATCAGTGCAGTTTCGCATTTACATAATTACTTTTAGTTATTCATATTTTCTAGAAGTTCGACTACTGACTAATAGAATATACAATCCAAATGTCGAACATTAGTGACACCACGTCGATGTGTTTGATGGATAATTTCCGAATCGATGTATTTGTTTGGCAAATAGGTGCCTTTCTATTCCCTATATTCGGCATACCTGGTCACATCTTAATCATATTAACCATGTGCAATTTAGATCGACAACGATTCCATCCAACCTGCTTATATTACATATTCATAGCCATTTCCGAAACTATCTATTTGATGTTCTTCTTTTGGGACTGGCTTGATGCAGTGAATCTGGCGCCAGATCCACGAAAAGTCCTCAATTGCGCTTATTTCTATCCATTCGTTGGTAGTACAGCATTGATTTCGCTGATTCTAATCGCCCTATTGAATATCGATCGGGTACATATGATCATGTATCCACAACGGACACATTCCAAAATAACAAACAAACGAGTGCTTATCAAAATCTTCTTAACGTACACAACAGCGATTTTCTTCGTTATTCACTATCGATATTCGTTGAAATACTATGGAAAAGCATTTGTTATCTTTGGTCAAGCTTGTCAAGTACATGATTATGCGCACGTTTGGTTTTATTCCGTTTGGCCGTACATCAATTTGCTCTGTCGCCTTATCCCATGCTTAATGATTTTTACATGCACTTCATATATCTGCTGCAATCGTTGTCAACAAAAACACGATTCTCGAATACGTCGTAAGCAACAAACGTCTTCTTTATTGCTTGTCTTCGTCAGTATTTATACGCTTTTTGCCGTTTTACCAATAACAATCTTACAATTGTTCAATTTGAAAATGAAAGACTTCGAAAGTGATGATCTCAATTATCAATGCCGAAGAGATGTTGAACATCGAGCCGAACTATGGAAATTCCTCAACGCGCTGTTTATTATGTTGGAAGCGAGCACATACATGAATAAATTTTATGTAAAATGGCTCTTTTCACCCGAATTCCGACGGAATGTTAAACAAATGGTTCGGTGTCGATCTCTATTTCCATCACATTCAAGAAATTCTCTCTAGAAAAAGTTCATATAGAAAATGATTTTGCGTGACTAAGCATTATAGACTAAAAAATAAAATGCAAGCCGTTGCGTGCATTTAAGTGGTTGATATACTCTCATTGATTAGAACTAATATTGAATGCACTCGAGGAGCACCGTATTTGAACCGAGAAACTTGTCCGCTGAACGAATGAAAACAACAAACGGCCGTGTAGAATGATCAATAATGCAAAACTACTTTGAAGTAATGCTTTTTGTAATTTTTCTTCGAGGGTATGTGTTACTTTTATTTCGCTGAAGGTTGATCCAGTAATATACAAAGCACACTCGTCTCCAGATCATGTTGTCATAGATATTATATAATATTAACAGTATGGACTTTTTTATTAGCATACTTGAAGTGTCTATACATTCTTTATCGTGATATATCAGCAAAAAAATTGCGTCCATATTGTTTTGTCTATTATGAGTCGATTTTTTTTCGTTGGATAAAATTCAGCACATCGCTGGCATCTCGTTCATGATATTTTTATAGCTATTCAACGGTTTTTACCATTTATGCTCATTTATTCAGAGGTATATAAGTTTATAATATGTGGCACCAGCTGGATGTTCTGTTATCCTATCAGCATTATCTCAAATCCATGATTACTGTAGTCTATATTTAATAGTACTCGGAAAAATCCTATGACCAGGTTTTTCAGCAAACTATAATCTCGTTTGATGCATTTACATCATAAATGTCATAGAAAAACCGATGCATCAGGTGTCGAGAGCACGTGCGACTCGCGAAATAAAGTACAGCGCCACTAACAACAGTTAACCAAGCTGTCATCGTGCTTGTATAATGAAAACAAAGAACCATGCGAGGAAAACTTGCAGATTTCTTGTAACATATAGGTACTAGGATAGGAATGATGTACTATGAATAGAAATTATTTGATAATATGTATGACCTTTGTGAGAAGAGCAATGGAATGTTGTAAATCACAGGAAATATGCTGGTCTCAGTGATATGTTGCGCGAAATTTATATCGAGTACAATTTGTGTTCGACAATGACGTTTGGTAATACTAAAATAACTTCAAAAAGATTTTATTACAAAAATTCATGACGCCGGAAAACCTAAAAGTAGTCTTTCTTCAACGGCTTCATAAGACGCTAGCCTGTTACGATCTTTTAATGTCTAAATGATTCTATTTTCACTCAATCATATGAGACGATTCGAAGCAAAATGCATGACAAATCTCCTTGTTCTATCTTCATCGATGTTCGCAGTAGATTACAAGGAGGATTTCACCGTAAAATACATTCGTATGCTGGCACGTGTCACAAACACGAGACTGATTAGACACCATTAGTAAACATGACCTACGTCGCAATTTTTTTATAAAAAAAAATTAAATCAACAATTATCAGAATACTTATGCTTTATTTTTGTCTATGTGTTATTTTTCATCAAGTTTCACAAATATGAACTTTGCGAACAAATGAAGTTATTTTCGTTCAATCCCAATGATATGTTCTATTAGGTCCTTCGGTACATATGAGATTTATTTATATCTAGAGAGAACGTTTTTTTCCTCTTCGTATCACAGGCGTGAGGCTACGCCGACCTGAAAGCGAGGAATATTTTTTCTGTTCTCCGATGTTCTTCATCGAGAAAAAAATCTTTCTATTTTTTTACGTCGTTTTGTTTCTATTTTCTTTCGCCAATTCTATTCGTCTTGCTTGCCGCTTCGCGCTGACGAGCGCAACTATCGCCACTCGCTAATAGGAGGGAACGGAGAAAAAAGGACGAAGGACGTGAGTGCTTGTAGTACTTTATATAGAATAATAATGTACTTGGAAAGGAAAATAATGGATACAACGACGACATAGAACTAGATTAGAAGGCATCAAGTGCATTTCTTTATCGAGTTTTGGCAATCGAGAGTTATACGAGTAGCGCCTCGGTCTGAAGAGAAGGTATCTACATCTATTTTTTCGTCGTCTTACATTCGTAAGATAAATTGCGTACATTTCTCTCTTTGCGAAACCAACCCCGCGTTTAGTCGACCTTATCCTCAGTGTTTCACTGTTTTTCTCCCAAAAATGGGTCAAAATAACTTCCAATATCTTTAGCGCATATCCCCAATAAAACACGAATGTGCTAGACGACGGAACTGAGAAATATTTTATTTAGTACAAAGTTTTTAAATAGAAAATTCTACTACCAAACAAACAAAAACGTTTATGAATAATTCAGAGCATTCTTTGGATACGTAAACATCTCGATAAGTATATGTTGCGCTTTCTTAACTCGAAATAGTTTCGCGCAATGAGTTACTGTCCCTCTGTGCATGATTAATCATATTTTCTTCAGGCATGCACTCCTAAACTGACATACAGTGTCGGTATAATAAAGAATAAGCGCGTGATTAGTTGAAATTTTGCATAGATACCCGCCTAGAATAGAAAGCATAGGGTTGTTATTGGTTTTGCCTTCAAATCATGTGCAAGTATGTCGCTAATCGACATTTTGTAATATTCCTTGACACAGATATGATAGTTCTCGGCATTGAAAACTCAATCGATGATTGTAATTGTGAGTTATCTTTGTTTATTGTCGTTATTTTTTCATTCGTAATTAGTCTTTTCTTATCGATTAAATAAACAGATAGGATCAAATTTTTTTCTGAAAGTAAGGCGAAGATGTCCTTCGAGCAAAAAAATTTGTACTTATTGACAGGAAAAAAAAGAAGAACGAAGTACGGATGTATAGAAAAAAAAGAAAGCTTCAAGTCCTTTTTCTCTTGCCTTTCTTTCTCGATTCATCTTGTTATTATAGACGAAAGAGAAAAAACAGAACGCGAAGCAACTATTACCAAAGTGCAAGCACACATACGATTACCTTCAGACGTACATATATATACGCCTTATACCACAAGTATCAAACGAAGTTCTCTGGATAGATCCCGGTGAAAACATGTTGGATATCATGGATACCTATGATCATGATGATGCCTATCATCGATTTGGAAAAAATGAAAACTATCACAACAGTTCAGTACTATTGAATCAATTCCCGAAAAAGGTAAAGCAAATATAGAATAAAAAGGAGTCTATTTTTTATCAGTGATAATGATAAAGTACAAGAGAATACTTGAGCTCGAAGCTGTCAGAATCTAAAACTAAGCCTCAATACGATGGATTCGCTTGTTAGACGAGAAACTCGGGAATACAATATGAATAAATCACATGAAAGCGCGTAATCAATGCGTGTCACTCGATACAAGAGACTGAGAGGAAAGAAATCTATATTTACAGGGCAAGTAGTACAAGTAAACATAGACGGAGTCATAAATCGGAAGGTTCAATAACATTTTGACTGGAAGAGCTCGATTTGCAAGGAGAAAACAGATCAAAAGCATTGAGTGTCATCCTTACTTCCAATGTAATACAATATCGTGAAAATATTCTTTTGTCGTTTCTTTCTCATTCAATGTGACGTTGTGATCAGCCTCGACTTATTATACACATGTCGGTAATAATTCTAAGATATACCTCATTCGAGGGTTTACTGCAGAGGTGATTCTACCTATCGTGTTTTGAAAGAGTAGAAACGTTAATAAGAAGATAATGTCTTTCGTCAGGCTTATCCGTACTCTTGTTTGTATATTAGATGCAATCTCAACTATCTCATCGCATGTCTGCAAGTGATCCATGTCGCGTCTGTGGATTTGACAAGAACACAGGTCGAAATTTTGGTGTCATTACTTGTTCAACATGCAAAGCTTTCTTCCGGAGAAATGGCCGAACCGGTTCTGTAAGTATTCTATCAGATGGAACATGAATTGTCCACGTAAAAACTCGTTTGCGTCTAGGCTTTGCCACCTTGCCGTTTTGGTGGACACTGTCCGGTTAATGAACGTACAAGGCGACAATGTCCAACATGTCGTCTGGCAAAATGTTTTGCTGTTGGAATGCAGAAAGATTTAATTCGCACTGACGAAGAACGTGCAGCTCGTCTACAGCTTGTTAAAGCTAACCGTTTACAACGACAAGAAAAACTTCTCACAGGTCCCGCACCAGTATCCGGTGAAAAACATGGCCGTCGAATATTACATGATGTAAGTCCAGTTTGAGTTTGTGATGACTATCATGTCAACTGTATTTCTTTTAGTTATCTGCATTGAATCTGCTCTCCGTGGACAAATTTTCTTCGCCTTTATCATCGAATGATTGGATTCAAATAACAAATGTTCGCAGTGCATACGACCATTTCTGTTTACAACCTATTTTGCAAGCCGATGAGCAACGCGAAGAATACTTATCTGGTCAACCAATCAAATGCCGTTTGAAAGAACATACATTCATGAATGTCTTAACTGTTCGTCTATCGTCAATAGTTGCATTTTTTCGTGCAACAATTCCAGCATTTTCGATGGACATGAATAGTAGCGATCGTGCATGGTTAGTGCGAACCAATATACACTATCTTCTCCTATTCTCTTCATCGGATGTGTTCAATTCGAATGATAATCTGGTACATTTCGATCCGAGATTCGCATGCCATGCTGTGTACGCCCATGTTTATGGCCAAGACATTCTTGTGCGTGCAGAGCAACTCATACGAAAACTACATCATTTGATTGGTCTCGATCCAGCTATTAGTAAACTTATCCAAATCATTCTTTTTCTCAGTCCCTGCTTAGTTACAAATTATAATTCAGATTTTCATTACCAACCATCTGAGAAAACAATCTATCATATCAATCAAGCACAAGAACAATATATTCATCTACTCTGGTCATATTTAGCTTATCGTTACGGAGAATTTGAAGGACAAAAACTACTGATAAATCTAATTGGTCAAATCATGGAACATCAAAACTTTGGCGCTGATGCCGACCGACTTCTTCTCGAACGACAACCATTTGCTAATCTTGTCTATACTATGTTAACGACCTTTTCGCTCAATTAAAAAGAGAAAAAGACGAAATTTTTAACAAAAAAAAACAAATATATATATATATATACATCAGTGTCTTTCTATTCTCATTTGTCGTCAAATATGGTAATAGTTTCTGTTCGAACAAATAAAACTATGTTTAGTACATATAAACATATTGTCATTAAGTATAACTTTTAATGCGTAGTTTCGTACTCTTAGAAAATGAACGCTTTATAAGTCAAAAGAATATAACCCGCTTTGTAGGATAAAGGAACAGCATTATGCTCGAAGACGTTATATTATTGACGATCTTGTCGCTAGCTTAAGGTTAAGAAATATGGTGTTCCGTTCCTTGGAAAATGTTGATAAGAAACAGAACGTGTAGGTTGTCAGAAGTAAACGGTAAAATACGCATTTGAGAGTCGTTTTGTTATCTCCATATTAAGATGAACTATTTCAGCTTTAAATCTGCAATTCTCTGAGAAATACTTGAACTTTAATCCATGTTCACCGCCGCGCAAAAAAGATTTCTCTCTACTCTTTCATAATTGATCACCGGAATGCCGCCATACTTCTCCAACGTATTTGTGACATACGTAATCTACATTTCTCAGTAGGAGGGAATGAAATGTCAGATGAAAATAAATAGGTAACTATCTGAAAATTCACCATAGAAGTGTGACATACCTCGTCTTTTCTTTTCAGAAATAACTTCTAAAGTACTCAGAATACTTTTTTTGCATGATAAAACTACCGTGTAGAAATTAAATATTATGACGGGGAAAATAAGGAAATAGGTTTCGTCTCGTTGTCGAGCATCTATATAGTTGTTTTCTAATAAATGGAAAGGATGAATGTTTTACTGGATCTAACTCAATGACTTAATGGGAAAGTTAGTGAAAGAACGAAATTATTTCTCGAGCTTTTAATAACTTCTCGATATTCATACTTGATATCGTCATCAGAAAAGTGTTCTTTCGAACATCTATGATCAATTAATCATGACATACGAGTATAATAAGAACCGTCGAGGTGCTTAACAGTATATTAGTTTACCCGACGGAAAATCTTTTTTTTAGCTTTTTTATTTTTATGCTCAATCTCGACATATGAGATGTGTTACCAGAAGAAGAGAAATAAAGAACGCTATAAGATATCTCTGTTTTGATGAGATTTTCGATGCCACACATAATATGAAACCATCAATATAGATCATCAATTAAAAATTGTGACAATAGGTACAATAGATCAGTTGTCTCAGATTGATTGACAATCTATATATAGATGTTCCTCCAGAATCTTGTCATGCATTGATAATGTGAAAATAATTAGTCCAATAAGGTGCTCTTAGATAAAATTCTGTCCACGAATAAATCTTCGAATGTTGGATTTGCACGTCTCGTTTGGGCTCGTGGCTGTTGATTATTGTGTTCTAAAGTTAGTTTGAGTATGCGGTCAGTTGCACTCTTCAAAGCAAATTGTTAATATACGAAGTTGGCTATTGTTGTCTCTCTCATAACAACTGAAATTGATCCGGATAAAATGGCAGTGAATCGATCTATAGATTGGCTTGTAGCGGCATCTTACGTGTAGAATAATAAATTCTATTGATGTTTTCATTATGAAATGCACCACTGACGAAAACAGGATTTTCCCCATCATAAATATCTATTTTTATATTGATTGTAAGAACATTGGTTCAATTGCTAATATATCTAGATATCTTGCTTATGCGACATGCCACACTAATCATGACCTTTTTATCCAGTGCTTTTATCTCTTTTCATTTGATTTTTTGCCTTGTCATCTTGATGTGATCGTGTATTCGTTGACTCGATTGTTTTATATGTAAACGCGTTTATAGAGATATACTAAGTAGACCGATAATACGAACAATTCGATTGTATTCGAATCAGTTATTCAGTCGCGCGATGTCTACTGGTCTTTTCACTGAAAAGTTTCGTAGTATCATCTTTTTACCATAGGAGTCCGTGCAGAATAGTGCGATTTTGTGTGATAATGAAAACCTTAGTATGAAAGATAAGGGCATCTAATGATAATACATAAATTCACATAAAACTTCAGTTCTTTGTTTTTGTATTTTTATGTGCGTGTATTTAAAAATTTCTTTTTATTATTGTTTCTAGAGACTATACTGATACTGATTTATAACTATGGCTTCAAAAGCTGCTTCTGGTAACAAAGCTCGTATTCATATTATTTATTATTCTATGTACGGTCATGTTGCTAAGTGTAAGGTCGTCTTATGAAATCGAACTGAAAAATTTATGAGTTTCATCCTTTTCTTCTAGTGGCCAAATCAGTACTAAAGGGTGTTGAAGCAAGTGGTGCTGAAGCACGACTAATTCAAGTGCCAGAAACTTTGTCTAAGGAAGTCTTAGCAAAAATGCATGCACCCGAAAAAGATTCAAATGTACCAACTATTGCCGTAGGTGGTGGCGGAGAAAATACTATTTCACTCGAAGACGCATTAGTCAATTGCGACGGTATTTTATTTGGATATCCAACGCGTTTCGGTGGAATGCCCGCTCAAGTCAAAGCTATTTGGGATGCAACTGGTGGTTTATGGATGAAAGGTGCACTTGTTGGAAAGCCTATCAGCGTTTTTGTTTCTACTTCAACACAAGGTGGCGGGTAAGGAAATACTTTCTGTCCCAAAAAATGCTGTAATAAGAAAAAACTGTCATTTTCTAGTCAAGAAACAACAATCTTAACTGGATTAACAAACTTTATTCACCATGGAATGTTAATCGTATGTACCGAGCTGAAATTTATCATTTAAAATTTCTTTTTTCTTCAAATCAGGTACCGATTGGTTATTCATCTCCACTCTCCGCTAACATGGATGCTATTCACGGTGGTAGTGCCTACGGAGCAGGTAAGCGATCTCTCTTCACAGATGCGAGAAGAACGATAATGTATGGTGTTCTTACGTTTCAAAGGTACTTTCGCTGGCAGTGACGGCTCTCGTCAACCAACAGAATTAGAATTAAATATTGCTGAACATCAAGGATCGCATTTTACTCAAATTGCAACTGCACTCAAAATCGGTCGTGCAGCATTGCCACCTAAAGATGCCAATCCACCCGATGCCAAACAATAAGTCAACGCGCTGGACAAATGATCAAAACACTTAATGAACACTTTAACCTTTATGCTTTCAGTTTAGTCGCTTATTGCATGCTAGAACGGTTAAGTCCGTTTTTTATTCAAATAAATATCTATACGATCCATTAGTCGAACTAATTATCCGAATGCAAAAAGGTTCATTCTATCTAATTAAAGTCATCGAAATGAATGGCGCGACCATATAACGTCATTGGATAGTTTTCATGTTGAGATTAAGGTTGTGACTATGTACAATAATATAGACAAACGAAATCTAATTTTTGTCTTATATATTTTGGTTCATCCAGAGTATGATGCATGTGTTTCGAATTAAGAAAAGGTATTTTGATTAGTAGCGCCCCCATCCAATGGATCTGATTGGTTCTGATGATGTGGTGCATTCCTTCCTTCCAAAACAAAACAACGTCTTCTGTTGGTACAATTTATCTAATCAGTGGTCTTGTTTATATTTCCTTTGTTCCTCTTATTGATTAATTTGAACACAGTATGCTGTGAGTAACGGAATCTTACCGGAATTGGCTTATCTGGTAAGAATTTCGATCAATGGAATGTTGACAGTGGAGAAAAACTTTTCTGTTTTAATGTATTTCAGTAAATTAGAAAAGATAATCAAAACAAAATGTTAAGAGACGAAGTTCGTAGAACAAATGAAGCAGAAACAGCAAAATCCCAAGAACGCCTAGTGAATCCGTCGAATAGTGATGACAAAAAGAATTCGAATGATACGAATGACGGCAAGAGTGATACGGAAAAGCTTGTTGAGAAAGCTCTAGATGAAAAAGTGCAAGAACAAGGATTACCCGAAGACGACGGATCGGATACATCAGAAAAAATCGAAGACGAAATTAAAGAAAAGAAACCCGACAATCCAGATGATCACCATGATGATTTACAAGGCTCAACAGTTGAAATTGTCCAACCGACAGATTTAAAACCGAAACATCTTGGTTTTACGCGAACATTATTATTAGCAATGTTCGCTGCTATGATTGGCACAGGCGCTCAATTCGGGTATGCATTAGGCGTTATGAATGCTCCGTCAGAGGTAATTATTTATTTCATTTACTTCATTCTATTTGCTTCTTTTATCATAGATAATCAAAAACTATACCAAGGAAATCTATTTGAAACGTTACAATTCGACAATTAGTGACTATTATCAAGATATTCTTTATTCGACAGCTATTTCAGTTATAGCACTTGGAGGCGTTCTAGGTGGTCTTCTAGCTACACTACTAACTGATCAATTTGGCCGGTAAGTTTAAGGCCTAATAACAACATTTCTTATAGTTGATCTGTGTCTTATTTCAAAGAAAAACTGGTTTATTGCTGAATAACATTCCAGTAATACTCGGTTCTGTATTGATGGTACTTAGTAAATTCATTGCTTCATTCGAAGCATTTATTATTGGTCGAATTCTAATTGGTTTCTCTGCTGGTTTGTTGTAATCGTAAAATTCTTTTATAATGAAAATTAGAACTCGCTTTGAAAAGGTTTCGGTGCAACCGTGGGACCGATTTACATCAATGAAATAGCGCCGATACGTGTACGTGGTTCATTCGGTGCTTGCTTTCAGTTGTTTGTGGCCATTGCCGTACTGCTAGCTCAAGTTCTTGGTTTAGATATATTTCTTGGTCGTGAGCACTTATGGCACTATCTTTTTGGTTCGTATTTTTCAAGTATTCTTTCTTTTGGATCTTATTCTTTTGTCAATCATTAGCCGTGCCGATTATCTTCAGCCTCCTTCAATGTGTGTTATTAGTATTTACGCATGAAACACCGAAATTTCTCTTACAAAAGAAACGTCGAAAAGCAGCTGAACGAGGTTGGATTTCTAGATTGTGTTGTTTCTCATCGAAGTATAAATCTATGAACTTTAGCTTTGAAATGGTTTCGATGTGAGACAGATCTGGAGGTTATTAAAGCAGAAATTCATGATATGGAAGCAGATTTTCATAATATTCAAACAAGTGCGACCGCGGTAAGAAACGAAAACCAAGTCCAACCGAAAACAAAGCAACTTTTTCGCTTTTCTCTTTAGATATCCATTCGTGATTTATGGTCAAAACCATTACTACGTAAATGTTTACTCATTTCTGCCATGACTCATGTTGCTCAACAGTTCACTGGTTGTTTTGCGGTAAGTCAACCGATGATGTGGCCAAGTGCAACTATTGTTCTCCTTGTCTTGTCCAGATTTTCTTCTTCGGAGATATTATACTTTACCATGCACGTCTACGCATGGATTATACGTCATATGCGATGTTATCCTGCGGAATTACGTATCTAGCAGTGGCAATATCATTGGTTTTTATTCTGGATAAAGTTGGACGGCGCTCATTATTGCTCTGTAAGTTATCAGACACGATTTGATCTGTCAATCATTGAGATTCTTCATATCGTTTGCTTGCAGATGGTTTCATTGGTATGGCAGCATCGTCATGTGTCATTGGTGTTACTATTCTCAAATCGAAAAATGTAAGTCTTTTTAAAATGCTAACAACTATTGTATGTCACCTTATTTGTTGACTTCGATGTGAAGTCGTATCTATAGCTCGTGTACGGAAAGATATAATCTATAAACTTTAACTTTAGATTCCATTGTTTCATATGATATTCTTGGAAATATTTGCAATGATGGCAAATGTTGGGTTCTGTGCTATGGGGCCTGGTAATATATTCATTCTTCTAACCTATTAAATATTCATTTTTGAAAAGGCGCTATACCATGGATGTTATCAACAGAGATGTTTTTTCAATCGGAACGTGTTTATGCATCAAGTGTTGCCATTATTGCCAACTGGCTATCAATGTTTGCTGTAATTATGACATTTGTACCACTTTTCGTAAGTTCACTCTAGACTTCTTACATTTAATGTGATCTTTATCTTTCAGTACGCTGTCGGTGCATTGCTGTTCCTCGCGTACGCTGCCATGAGTTGTATCTTTTGGCTATTAACTTTTCTTTTTGTACCGGAAACTCGTCGGAAAATTCCAGAACGCGTGCAGATTCTTGTTGCCAAAGGCACAGTCTACAAAGCAAAACATCAACAATAATCTTCTTCTTATACTGTTAAACAAGCCTAGTCATCTCTCGAATAATTATTTAACCATTGGTATGTCATAGGTCTTTGATCTGTTCGACAAACGAACGCAATGTCTTGTATGTACATATATATGAATCATCATCTATCTCAGCTCACTTTTATTCCAGCATATTGTATGAGAAGTTCGTTTTCTTTTCTCTTTGGTTTTGTCGTAATTATACTTCTTTATTCTGAATTTATTGCATTTATATTCTTCTTCTTTTTTTGCTGCGTTTGTTTTGTGAAAATGTTCAGCGATAGTTATTCAATTGATTTGTGAAAAATCATTGTTCGTCGAGCAAACGATTTCGTACGTACGCTTTTCTCTTGTGGTAGAATAAATTTGAAAAATTTATTACTAAAAAAAGTAAGGTTGGCGACAGGCAAAAGTGGAGCAGATTTTTTTTTGTTGAATTTTTTATGTGATATGATGCAGCTTGATGCGCTGAATCCGAATATGTATAATTTAGTTACATAGAAAGTCGTCTTCCAGGAGAAATCTTTAAAATACTACAAAAACCGAGGTTTTCGAAAAATCAGGATTTCCACTCGAAATTTGACAGTAGGGCTTTCCAAAAGTATGTTATACCTTTGGAAGTTTCTGCTCCTGATTCAGCATCAAAAACTGATTCTAGGACACTACTTTTTAGCGGTTCGACTCATGTCTTTGTCATTGAGAAAAGTCAGTTTTGTTAATATGAGAACGAATTGAGTGCCTCTCGTTAAAAATGCATCAACTCATTTTCTATTAAAGATATACATTTTTTTCTTTCATCGTTCGACTTCCTAGATGCCCTAGATATAATCTACGTATCCTTTTTCCTTAATCCACTTCCATTCCCAAGATTTCATCATTTTTTCCACGTGTCCTATCGGAATTTTTTTTCTTTGATTTTTAACACTATTTTCGCTTTAATTTCTTCTTTTTGAGCATCTTATATGTTTATAATCATAAAGATCTTTCTAATAACTATTTCTTTTGAATACTTATTGAAATATCCTTAAGGTGAACAGACACCCTGGATTTATTTCCGTTCTGCGTATAGTTCTTAATGGGGCCCGTCTTCTATTGGAATGATATGTCAAGGAAAATTCCACTTCACTACACGTCTATTTGGTAGCCATTGACAAGTGTATTTGGTATGACAAGATCGAAAATAAGTATTAGGGAAAAAACTAGAAAATCACTGTCTAGTTTTTTGCATTCTATCCTCGCAAAATCTTTCCGAAATCGTAACTTCACTCTTTCTGGTTATGCCTCAAAAATCGAAAAGAAGATCTCAATCAACGGTAGCTATACTAAGTCGTTGGGCTAAGAAAAATGTTGATGAATTAGATGATGCTTTTGTTCGAGATATCCCGACCGATCTGCATGACTGAAATGAAAATAATAAAGAAAATAATTGTTTAAAGAGCAAAATGAGCGTTTTGGATATAGCAAACTTATTTGAGGCATTGCCGGAAGAGACTTCCATTCGGCCGCTATCTGTATTAGTTTATTTATCATTGGTGTATTTCGGGATACCTTGGCGAAATGTTGATTTATTTTTAAAAGCGATCGGTGGGCTTACGGCGAAGACTTGCAACAAATGGAGTACAGATATAATCGAGCAAGACTTAGAAGAATTTCTGCAAGACAACAGACGTGCTAAACACACCCACACCCTCACCCTCTTAATCTATTGTTCCTATGTCTAGATTTCAAAATTGGAAACACTTGCTATTGACTACGGTGTAACAATAACTTTCTCGCCGAAATTTCGCTACGAGTTGAATAGAATAGAAGAGCTATGGGCGCATTTGAAGCAGTATATCAGACGTCGAGCGGATCAAACCTTTCCTTCAATGCTCAAGTTAGTTAAAAAATCCAGACCAAATTTTATTGAGAAAAATGTTTCTCTTAAACTTATCAGACGATTCTGGTGTACTTTGATCGCATATGTACGTGGTGACTCATATGAAGATGTACTAAAATGTATTTCAGTTCAATGTGCAAAGCTAACGTGATCTCACAGCACCAAATCACTAATGCCTGGCTAGATGACTGATTTTGTTGTTTACCGTGTCTGTTCACCTTAAGGATATTTCAATAAGTATTCAAAAGAAATAGTTATTAGAAAGATCTTTATGATTATAAACATATAAGATGCTCAAAAAGAAGAAATTAAAGCGAAAATAGTGTTAAAAATCAAAGAAAAAAAATTCCGATAGGACACGTGGAAAAAATGATGAAATCTTGGGAATGAAAGTGGATTAAGGAAAAAGGATACGTAGATTATATCTAGGGCATCTAGGAAGTCGAACGATGAAAGAAAAAAATGTATATCTTTAATAGAAAATGAGTTGATGCATTTTTAACGAGAGGCACTCAATTCGTTCTCATATTAACAAAACTGACTTTTCTCAATGACAAAGACATGAGTCGAACCGCTAAAAAGTAGTGTCCTAGAATCAGTTTTTGATGCTGAATCAGGAGCAGAAACTTCCAAAGGTATAACTGTAACGATAATGATATCGTTCATCTCTTTCTGTTCTTTATTCTCTCACCTCTGTATCGTACTATCTCCGGGTCATATCTCTCTTTCCTCTTCTCTATATAAGCGCGTGTCTTATTGTGAAAGAGATACATTCTGGTCATGTAGAGTAGTCAATAAACATCGATACCGTGAGAAGCGGTCAGCTACTCAACCAGTTTGTCGTTACAATAACATGCTTTTGGAAAGCCCTACTGTCAAATTTCGAGTGGAAATCCTGATTTTTCGAAAACCTCGGTTTTTGTAGTATTTTAAAGATTTCTCCTGGAAGACGACTTTCTATGTAACTAAATTATACATATTCGGATTCAGCGCATCAAGCTGCATCATATCACATAAAAAATTCAACAAAAAAAAATCTGCTCCACTTTTGCCTGTCGCCAACCTTACATTCATAGATATCTTTTTTCTTTAAACTGTTGCATCAAGGGCGCATGTCTTAGATAAGAGACACCACACAAGTGTTTCGTTTATCGTGAAAAATGATGAATCCATATACCGACGTGTAAAGGGAGTCCATTGGTTTAATCATGCCATGATTGATTTATTCTAGTATAAAATATGACGAGTGATTCTCCATCGTCGGCAAATCTACTGGCTAACACTAATTCAACGTTGTCTAGTGGCATTCGCGATCCAAATGATGTTTCAACTGTTCTCCCTGACGTTCAGTCTGATAACACTCCTTCTCCTGAACATGTGTCCACTTCGGATAAGGTTAGTTCAGTTGAACAACTGGAAAGAGAAGTTTTCTTCGATTATTTTGCATAGGGTATGACCAGTACATTGTTGTTAGCTGTTCTTGCGGCAATTAGTGGCACTTCTTTTCATTTTGGCTATGCATCGGGTGTGATGTAAGAATTTCGCTTACGAAAATATACCCTCTTAAGCTTTCGTGATTTCTTTTTCTATGATAATTAGAAATGCCCCGCAAGATGTAAGTAGATCATTGAGAGATTTGATCTGTACACAAAAATTGTTTAGTTTATTGAGAGTTTTATCAACGAAACGAATCATCGGCGAGATCCCGATACAAAAGTTAGTGCATCAACTGTCACGTTAATCTTGTAAGGAATGATCACTATTCTTGCCGATTGTATCATCGATCTGTTCTAGTTCGTTAGCTGTTTCGGTCTTTGCTTTAGGTGGAATGGTGGGCGGTCTGTTCGGAGGCTTTATCACCGAAAGATTAGGACGGTAAGTAACCATTTTATGTGAAAATATGTCATCGAACGTTTCTTTTGTCTAGAAAGGGTGGAATGTATTTGAATACGGTCGTATCATTTGTTGCCTGTGTTCTCATGTTCATTTCGAAGCCAATTCATTCGTATGAAGTTTTGATTATTGGACGATTTTTCCTTGGACTCGCATGTGGTAATTGCAATAGAATAATTTTGTCGTGCATATGTTGTAATGATGATAATAACAGGCTATGGGTCGTCGGTTGCTCCAACTTATATCAATGAAGTTTCTCCTGTTCGCTTACGTGGCACACTCGGAGCTTCGTTTCAATTAGGAATTGTTATCCTTCTATTTGTTTCGCAAGTGATGAGTTTGGAACAAGTATTAGGTTCTCAAGACAAATGGCATTATGCGTTAAGTATAATTTATCTGCTTCGGAATTTTACAAAGAATATCATCTGTGTATCTGTTAGGTTTACCAATTGTTTTCAGCGTTCTACAAGTAATTCTACTCTTGTTCGTTCCAGAAAGTCCAAAATATTTGCTGCTGAAAAAGAACAGCCCAGAAGATGCTGAAAAAGGTATAGTCGATAGAACAGTGTTTGTTCGTCCGTTCTGTTAAGTTCCGGCGATTAAACGTTGTCCATTAGGATGCACATTTAAAATGTTCGAGACGTTAAATATTTTTATTTCCACGTTACTGTCTTTTTGTTTATTTCATTAGAAATTACAAGTTCCCTTTTTATTTACTATCGAGAAAAAGTAATTGCTCATCTTCGTCTTCAAAGAGTCGTTTTCTGAAAAAACGTGGACGTGCTGTCATTGTTTCTTCTTCGCCCGATTCTTCTGTTTTCGTTGTCATGGACTCTTCATCAATGGTTGAGGTTGTGGTTTCATCCACTATTGACTCTTCCGTTGTTGAACTTGATGGAGTAGTAGACCTGTCAGGATCGGTTTCGTTATGAGTATTCTTCAGTCTGAACATCAGAGCTGGACTGATCAGCAGATATTTACCATCGAAGATTTTCTTCGAAGTAAACGTTACCCATGGCCGTCCTAACTTTTCTGCAAACACACGTGGGATACGAATACTACTTGGCACACGAAAAGTTGACCATTTGTGCGCACCATGTTCCCCCGACATTTCATTGTCAGCATCTTCATGGTGATGATTATGATCACCTGACGATGGTCGGCGTCCTGGACGTGCTACAGCCATGGTAGCGAAGAGGCCCAAAGTGAGAAGTAAAACCGTTGTTGAATACATTTTTTGATTAAGAAACACTTTTGAATGCTAATCATAACTAGTTCTCGTTGATATTTATAATCGCGTAGAGTAGTGCAAAGCTCAATATCAACATGTTGACATCGTACTAAGCAGAAGGAAATCTTGTTGGTATTATAAATCCATATTGTATAGTAGAAAAAGAGAACTCTATTTAATACTATACTTTTAAGACGAAAATAAATATATCGATACAGAGTTCGACGAGGACGAACTTCATTTAATACGTTAAGTAGTACGTACGACAACACGTGACTACGGTGAAACATTTTTAATATGGAATCCTTGCTGTTTAGCGCTTCGATGGCTTCGCGGACATCCGAATGTTCATCACGAAGTCACCGCTATGCAAGTCGAACAAAGTCAAAATCAACAAGCGGTACAGCTTTTATCGTTAGGTTCTAATCGAAGTTAATATAGTTACAATATTTAGGCTCGAATGCTTGATTTGTTTACAACACCTACTGTTCGTTGGGCACTGTTTATAGCTGTGTTCCTTCAATTATCTCAGCAATTATCTGGTATCAATGCTGTTATTTACTACTCAACGGCTATTTTCAAAACAGCTGGCTATGATAAGTCACAATCGGAATACGCAAATTTAGGTCTAGGTGCAACCAATATCGTAGTTACTATAATCAGCGTTTTCCTCATGGATCGTCTTGGTCGACGTATTCTTCACTTAACTGGCATCACAGGAATGTTTTTCACAAGTCTGATATTAGTTATATCTCTGTTGGTTCAAGCCACTCCATTCTGGAATAAAGTCTCGCTGGTTACAACTATTCTATTTGTAGCGTTTTTCGGCGTTGGACCTGGTTCAATTCCATGGCTAATTACAGCGGAGTTATTTAATCAAGCATATCGTGTGCCGGCATCGAGTATTGCAGTATTAGTCAACTGGTCAGCTAACTTTGCAGTTGGTCTCGGTTTTAAACCACTGTTTACGGTACACTGTTCCATGACAATAATTGGCATCTGTTTTTCTTTCTTTCTTTAGAATGCTCTTCATGAATACACATTCTTTTTATTTACGGGTTTTTTATTAATCTTTTTCCTCTTAACATTTTTCTTCGTGCCAGAGACGAAAGCAAAAGATGTAGAAACTATCTATGCCGAAATCAACGCCGGTCAAGTCTGGCGAAAACGACAAGCGCCTGTGCAATTTATCGAAAATCGTTTCGGTCAAGAGAGCTCTGTGAATTACAGACCTTTACAATCAGCATAAATTCTGACATTTCGTTATCTCGATTCAAAGTTATTAGTTGATTGATTCGATTGCTAAGCATTTTAGGTAGTTTTTTTTATATTTCGAATAAAATTCTTGCGCATAGCATACTTTCGTCGGTGAACGACGTCTATCTATTTATTATCTTTAATCCATCGACGTGATAGTAATAAAGCCGGAAATGCAATTGGATATCGAGATTTTGATCTTTCAAATAATCTTGCCCATTTTTTTTTTGTTAAACTTCGTTTTCGATAATCATATTCATCTTCACCAGTGTCATGACTTAATTGTCGATTAGCAACAAAATAATCAGGATCGTTATGCCCAGATAGACTTCCAATTGATTGTTTATCATTATTGATTCTTGTTGAAGAAACTTTATTAAGATAAATCAATGGAATGAATAGAAAACAGAAACCAAGATGTTTTGTCATCGTTATTTGTATACGATAATACTGATGATCTAAGTAAAAATGACGGAGTCTACTCTTTTTTAGCTAAGTTGTTAGTTTAAACATACACTCTCGTGTTTATCCACAAGATACATGGAAGGTGTCGTAAGAGGAGACTGGCATGACTGAGCTGCTCTGTGATCAAATCAAAGTGAATTTTCACTCAGTAGATTAATCACATTAAAACAAAAAGAAATGGCTGTGCACAGTGTCATCTAATGATAATAATTGCGCCTATTAGTTTCCTTTTATTTACAAACAATGTGTTTCCAAAGATAAATGTTCTTTCAAGGCAAAACAGTGTATAATTTTTGATATGATATAACTTAAATCACATATCTGATGTGCTGACATATATAGTTAATAACTGAACGCAATGTATGTTTGCAACACATACACTCTTTGACTATAATTTTTCAAATAATTAGTGATCAAATTTCTGTTCTGTTACAAATATACAACCGGAACATTGATAAATTGTGATACCGACTTGAAACAACTTAAAGAAAATACTATGAAAAAAGCACATTTTGTGTATATATAATATTTAAAATTAACATTGAACTCGAATTTACTATTAGAGAATCATGAAATGGTTCATACTTTAAAAGAAACCAAACATGCAACAGTATTGTACAAGGAAAAATTATACATATATTCAGACGTTTACTCTGATTAAGTCTTCTGAGACTGTTTGTAGTATGTGATGGGTACATATGCTTTTCAAATGGAAATTATGAGCAGATTATTAATGTTTAAACATCTCATTGGCAGCGCTCTGCATGGAAACCTACATAGACTTTGTAAATTGATTATCTGTAAAAAAAACATTTATACTTTAACATCAATAGAAGAAATATTAATTTTACTTCATCCAAAGGAAACATTTCCATTGAAACATATGAGTTACATTTCGTAGTTCGGATAAAATCAAAGTCGGTTCAACCGACTCGGTTGTTCATGAAAGAATATCGATCCGATTAAAGCTCGTTGATAGAAGTTGAACCATTGGAGAAATCAAAATGAAGATCAGTAATCTGTACAAATCTTTCGTTCTGATTTATGAAAAATATAGTTTTCAATGAAATATTGTACTCCATGTTCCGCTATGTGACCTGTTGTTGTTTTCCGAAACGGAACTATAATAAACATTGATTTGATCAATCCGAACATAAGTACTATGTCAAGAGATACGTAGTTTGAATTGTTTTATTTGAAAAAATCTAACTGAATCATATTATAGCTACACATAATCAAAAGAACGTTTAACATGAAGCTATTGAGAAGTTGCATTATCTTTACCAACTAATGACTTAATTTTGGCGAAACTTTCTTCAGTAGTAGCTAATCCACTTTTGTATGCCAACAATAATTCAATTATCATCTTGTCCGTTGGTGACATCAACTTGTTGTATTGATCCTATAAAAGAAGGTATAAAATAAACTAGAAGTATAGTAAAAAAATCAGCTTAGCATGTTCCAAGATTATTACTTCTTTTTCAGCCATTTTATTATCCCTGAACAAATGAATGTCAACAATTGCAGAGAAGACTGACGAAGGAATGAAAGACGGAAATATTTATACTCGTGATATCAATAGACGGCCATCAATATATGTTATACGTCAGGCGAAAAATAGTCATACCTTTGTCTACATAATTTTCTTCTTTCTTTTACGCGGCGTAAAATTATATAGACAAAAAGAAAAGTGCATCAAAATTATTTCTCTCTCTCTATTGATTAACATTTCTATTACGTACATTCAAAGTTGAAGTAGCTGAATAAGAATTTTCTTGACTTTGATGATTTGGAAATACATGAGCTGTTCCCAGGACGATCGTTCCTGGAAGCAGTATTCCGCTTATTTCCGGCGAAAACCCGCAGGATATTCATAGTTTCCGCGCTGGAAACCACGAGAAAGTACTCGGAATCCTACCGAAGGAACCGGTAACCGTATTCGACTATCGGTTATGGCGGGATCTTGCTGGTTCCGGATAAAACCTTTTAAATCTGATGAAAGGATCCGATCGCCGGAATACTGCTTCCATAAAATCCGCGGAAGGTCCTGGAACTGGTCAGTTCCGGGCCAGATTGTTCGACCTGGGTTGGCCCATTGCTTTCCTGAGTCCCATACTGATTATAATTCGAATCACACTGGCTAATCGGATTATTTTGTTGATTTCCATATCCACTAACAAGAGGAAACTCTTGAGAAGGAACTGTTGAAATAATCTGTTGGGCTGTATATGGTTGGGCACAATCATAATCATTAACACGAAACGTTGAGGATGTCGAAATAAATGGTTCAAATGTTGATAAATTATTTTGAAATACAGACGCTGTTGCAAGAGAAGGCTGAACTATTTCAGCTGTGAGCTGATTACTTTGAAATGGAGAAGTTGTTACACTCATAGCTTGCAATGAACAGTCGATCAGCTGATTAGAATGAATTGAAGAAGTTGACGTAGAAACTATTGTTTGATGATCGCTATCATGTTCGCTATTTATCTACAATAAACAAAAGATGTGCCCTCGAACCGAAATTCTTTTGAAAGCTACAAAAGGTATTACGTTTGATACATAATCAACGACTGAATTTGTACGTTTGTCATGAATACGTTGTGCAACTAAATTATCAAATTTTCTTCTGTGAAATTCTTTTAGATGTTTGAGCCATTTGATTTTCTATCTTGTTGAAAATGTACAATCAGGACATTCCAGGTCAACAAATTCGATGCTGCACCCGATCGGATTCCTGGAAACGGAATTGCGTGGGAATCCGACTAGAAAAATCCCGTCGGTTGTTGCAATGTTATGAGCGATCTTTTTAGCGATACTCTATCGTGATCCTTACAAAATCCATGTTTCGGATTCGACGGAATCCGAGACCGTCGATTTCCTGTAGGATCTGATAAAATTCTGAATTGGATCCGAGTATGGGATTGTTCGACTTGGGATTGATACTCGTCTTTAACTATAAAAGCAAATTGTAACACTTTTTCTGGAAAACATTATTTACCATTTTTATGTATAGTATTACCAGGGAATAAGTTCACAATCGAAGGTGGTACATGAACCATCTAAAATGATAAATATCTCTTTCATTATGTATGTCGTGCGCATAAGAAGATTATCAATTACGAAGACTGACACAAGTAAGTACACTATAACAGTTATTTTCGCATTAGTAAAAGAAAAAACTAGAATAGTCTTAAAATTGAGAATATCAACTGAATATTCGTTACTATGAATAGTTCACGTTGTGCCGATGTACATTTAGAGATAAAATTCGCACAATGGTTGTTAGAAATGATTTTACTTTGTTTATCCATGTCATGCATTTACTTGAACGTAACAGACGTACACGTGTCTTTGTGTTTGTGCAGAAGACAAGAAAAAGAAAGAAAGAAAGAGAAGTCAAATGAAGAAAAGATCTATTGCGAATAAAAATCATAAGATATGAAAGAGTAGCCGTTCAATCTAATATAACAAAATCAGCAAAAGAAGCAATCGATCCATTCTTCGCTTGTTAAAAATAGAGTTACAATAGCTGAATTTTTGAAAATTTCGATACTATGAGATAAGTATGATCTCTCGTTTTGAAGAGAATTTCTATGGTATCTGTTTCGAAAGACATGATTTCATTCGAAACTGAATCGTAAGGGGAAATTAGACGAGAATTTGATGATTTTTGTGAAAATAATTATGTCAATCACGAAATCATATACGTTCTTTATTGCATCTGAATTCAAAATTTTCTAAAATATTTATATAATCAAATTGGGATAGAAATATATCAAATGTATTGTTTTATTCTTTCAATATCTGATGAATTAATAGAAAATCAAAAATAGGCTTAAATATGTATGTATTTTTGCGATATAATTAGATAAAATACAGAAAAACGAAATCAACTAACGATGTGAAGCCATACGACGTGTTAGATGATATCGTTCTCGAAATGTTTAACAGCAAATATGACAAGTCAAACTCGTTGATAATTATGATTACGTCAATAGAAAAATGAAAATAAAGAGTAGATAGTTAAAGTTTCTTAAAAGAATTCACTATAGAGTCTATCTTCGAAAAAAAGACAAGAAAATACTCAATTCAAAACCAAAATAGAAAGAAAGAATGAATTAGATAATAAAAGTTTTGTTATTGCTTATTGACTAGTTTCTCTCAAGTTACAGACTTGACATCATCAGAATCTAGAAGAGAAAAAAGGTTTTCAAAAACTGACTAAAACTGAAAACTATTAGAAAAAAAAGTCATTGAGTAACATCAGATGGCTAGAACAGCCTCATATTTCGACTAAAAATTCTCATCGAAGAGATTGAGGGTGGCCAGCTTTGATGTTGCTTGATCACCCGTGTTACCAACCATTCTGCTGTTGTGTGTAATGATGGTTGCTTGTGGTGCGTTGCGTTGAGGAGCTCATCAGACTACGAGCTAGCTGACTTCCTCGGTCAAGAGAGCTCTGTGAATTACAGACCTTTACAATCAGTATAAATTATTACATATCTTTATCTCGATTCAAAGTTATTAGTTGATTTGGTTCGATTGCTAAGCATTTCAGTTAGTTTTCTTTTATTTCGAATAAAATTCTTGCGCATGGCATACTTTCGTCGGTGAACGACATCTAGTGTCATCTTTTGCGTTGGTCGTCCTTTTTCGATTGGTCATTTTCGTTTTACGAATGAAAAACTGATTCGATTCCATCCATTCGACTAGGATAATTTCTATACTTTACTAACTTGCGCAATTTCACAACAGATTCATTCGATATTTTCGACAGAAAAACCATGTCGACCCTTTTAGCAACTCTATCAGAAAAGATACTTTCGAATCCCAGTGAAGCCACTCAGTTGGGAATCGAACACTTTAATCAATCATCCAAGCCATTCGATGATCTTCTGGAATATCTTACTCAACTATCAGATACTGATTCGAACAGTAAAAACATCAATTTAATCGCTTATCTTCTTCAAGCATTCTCACAATGGAAGAATCAATTCTACAAATCTTCGTCTCTACCGCAGTTCGACAACACTGTCGTGAACGATCTTCTTTTGAAAACATTACCATTGACACTTCTGAAAGATTTTCTGCAAATATTTGAAATATCTAAAGAGTATCTATTGAGTTTAATCCGAACTTCATTCAAATCGCCATCTCATTCTTCAACTTACAAACGGGCATTGAACATGATCGTTACATTAGATTACCAATTAGAATTTCAACCTAATGAAATTCTTCTACCATTGATTTTAACGTCGAAAGATCACTACATCGATATATACTTGAACAAAACTCGTCAATATGAAGTCTACCTTTTGAAATTGCTCAATCATTTACACGAGCAAAATGGCAAGCAACTGTCGGAAATTTTAGCTAATGAATATCAAATGAAGGATGTGCCATTTAGTAAGAAGAGTGTATCAAAACTAGCTGTGCGCTATTGGAATTTGCTTGGAAATGATGAAGACGAAAATTATCCGAATTTGAAGATTTTACAGCAAAAACGAACGTTAAGCTTTCTTCTGAATACAAGATATAATGGCCTCAGCGGTGAAAAAACGATGAGTGATGAATGCTGGAATGAATTAGTTGGAGTAAGTATTAATGAAATGAAAGAATAAGATTTCTGAGATTTTTATTTTCAAGGAAATCGTACAAGATAATGCAGATTTGTCGGAATATTTGATTGAAATGCTCGCAGATAAAGATGATATCGCAGCTGTGAAGTACTGGAGTAAATAGTACTTGATTCTTGTGATTCAATAAACAATTTTATATTTAGTGGTTCAACTTGACCGACCGTATTATTCATTACCGACATGGGTAGGCAAAACAAGTAAAAAGTTCACGTAATTCGAATTCTTCCTAAAGGTTCAACAATATATTCATATCAAACAAAATAATGAAGTCAAGAGCACAAATCCGGTTGAAACGGTTTCGAATAAAATCGATTATTATCGAATACCGCTGGCAGACGAACAGATTATTTTCGTCGATTCGATACCGACCTTTGAACGTTTAATGATCCGATTATCCCAAACTGATAATGAAGAGTTTTGCATTGGATTTGATTGTAAGCTTTCATCCGAATCTCTCCTGACTCTTACACTGTTGTTATTTAGGTGAATGGAAACCGGTATTCAACAATACTCTGACATCGAGACAACGTATTAGTATAATGCAGCTGGCATTCTCAAATGAAATATATCTACTCGATCTACTTCATTTTTTTCGAACCTGTGATCCTGAAACAGTACAACAACAATTAGCTAATCGTTTATTTAATAATGACCACATAACATTATTAAGTAAATTACCGTGAAATATGGAGAATTTTCAACAAATAAAATCATTCATTTCTAGGCTACGGATTTAAAACCGATGCTGCAATGTTGATTGCTTCTTTCCCAAGTTTCGAACAAGCATTATCATCAGGCAAAACTTTAGTGGATCTCTCGGTTGTCCAAGCTGAGGTAGATTGACTAGACGTTCTCTTACTATCGCATACTTTGATTTTATCTATTTAGCTTTTGAGTATGCAACGTGATATATTTCCCTATGTAGCTGTGGATAATAAGAGTGCATCAAAAGACAAAGGTCTTAGTGAATTAGTTCGTCTATGTTTCGGGAAACCGTTGAATAAATCGGAACAATGCTCGAATTGGGAACGAAGACCATTGCGACGTGCTCAAACTTTATACGCTGGTAGATTTGATTGTATTGCAAAAAATGTTCATATTCAGCGTTTATTTTAGCGACCGATGCTTACTGTTTGCTTGATGTCTACAAATTTATCGCCAATCACTTTCGATCTTCGGACTATTTGCAATCATTTCGTGGGAAAAAGCCGAAAAATCTGGCTTCGGCTGTTGCACGTCAGATTGATGAAAATTTCCATGAAACGAATCTTGGTAATAATAATAATACCTCGTCTCCTCAACTTTCAAACGATATGATTCAAGTAAGAGAGATGAAAGATTCTTTCATTTAAGTTGGATTTCATTCGCAGACTTCACACGAAACCATCCGTCCTTCTCAAATAAAATTTGTTGTCGATAACATGTTATACGGTTTAGGAAGAGAATTACGTGTAGCAGGTTGTGATACAATCATTTTAGCTAATGAAGAACCACACACCGCAGCTATTCGAGTAAGTCGATAGAATATACGAACTTCGCCTTAATATTTTTTTTATTATTCGCTTGATATTAGTATGCTCGATCCGAAAATCGTATTATTTTATCTCGTGGCGCACCATACAATCTCGTAAGTGATTAGAAATCGATTTTTACGTTCAAATTTCGCTATTCTCCTCGATTAGCTACGATCTCACACAGTTGAAGGCCGTTGTTGGCAACCACCACTGAATGTCTCAGCTAAAGAGCAGTGTGCTGCAGTTCTACGACATTTCAATGTGCAAGTCTTATTAGAAGATATCTTTAGTCGATGCAGCGTAAGTTTGGCTTTTCTCTTCTTGTACGTCTTACTGAAAAACCTCGTTTTGCAGACATGCAATGGTGGTAATTATGCGATTGTGAATGCTCGTGACATTCGTCTTCTTTGGTGTAAAATGCAGAATTACCCACTAGAAGAACTAGAACCAGAGTTGGTTAATTATCAATCAGAACAAATTGATATAGACCGTATAACATTGAAAAATGAGAACGTTCCGTTGGTCCTGACCGGTTTAACACTGAAAAATTACCGTTCGTATGAAGAATTTTATATATGTCGTCAATGTGGTAAAGTCTATTGGCAAGGAACACATTGGCGGCGCCGTGCTCGTTTCCCTCAGCTTCAATCGAATGTCGAAGTGAAACAGATCGAGAAAGACGATTCTGATAGTGATGATGGGATTGTTTTCTACGATGCTGAAAGTAATTTGTGATGGTTTTTCTAATAACGAAATTTTTGTGTTTATTTATACTGGAACAATTTATACTCGTTTTGTTTATTTTCTTTTCAAGATAAAACATGAGAGTACGACTACATAATACAAATAATAAACTTGCTCCGAAATGGAAAAAACACGGCGCAAGTTCATCGAATCCATCTCGAACGAAACACCGCGATGCTGCAAAACTTCAACTATTAGCATCGTTACCTTCATCGAAATCAACATCCATGGACATTCCGTCGTCATCAACACTAGCAGCTGCTAAACACGAGATAGATCGAATATCTCAATATTCAAAAACAACTGTTGGTACAGCAGTGACCAATGCATCAATGATACAAGTCAATCCACGTGTTATTCAGGTGAGCGTCTAAACTTTTTCTTCATAAATGAACAATGAAATGTTACCTTTCGTTTTAGACATTGCTCGATCGTCAACCGGCTAAAAATGATCAACAGCAGATGATTGTTTGGTTGGATGGTATCTGTCGAGCATACTGTGCTTTTCATCGTTCGGATTCTACTGCCTGTCTGAATTTTATTTCGAAATTATTTGAAATCTGTATTAATGAATGTCTTCTCTCTGTTTACAAGCGCGTACAAACCAAAGCAACTAATGTTCTCAAAGTAATTTCGCGTAAACTGTTCCGAACAACGCTCCTAATTTCTTTCGTTTCTGAAACTAGACAATTATCAAAACAATTCTAAAACCTCAAATTGAAGCATTACGTTCTAGCCCATTATTAAAACAATTATTTCAACTTGTGGAACATGGATTAACCTATGCTTACACATTGTCATGGAATTATGTTCTAAACTTACTTGCCGACATGTTTGAACTTATGGGAAAAGATTACTTCGAATTTTGTCAAAAAGTATTGCTAAAAAACATCCCTCGACATTGATTTCATTTCTGCTTGGTTCTTCTTTTCAGTGTTTATCATCATTATCTGGTTTGCGAGCAACAAAAGATTTCTCATTTTTGCCCGAATTAGACTCGACGGTTGGCAAAGCAATCCGTGTATTTGGTCCGAAAAATATCTTACAAGTTATCCCACTGAATCTAACTGGCACAATCAATGATGTTCAATTAGAACAGTCATGGTTACTCCCGTTACTCAGAGATAATATAACACACACGGAATTGAGTCATTTTGTGTCTTACTTTTTACCGATTGCATTTCAATTACAAACAACTGGTGAGTTAGTTCTTTCTTCTGCTGAGAAGCGAACGATTTCTTGTATCTTTCTTTTCAGCGGATAATCTTCGTGAAAAAGGTGATTCAACGAATGCAACTGTCCTATCGACCTTACAAGATCAAATTTGGTCGTTATTTCCGGGCTATTGTTCATACGCGACCGATATTTCGATCAGTTTGAAATTAGTTGCCAAAGGTATTGGCACATCACTGACTAAACGGCCAGATTTGAGATTGCATCTCTTGGCTGGCTTACGAAATCTGATTTCCAAAACGAATGACGGTAAACTTTTGAAGATTAGCTCCTCATGAAATTTGTTGCATAATTTTCTTTGATTAATTTAGAAAATGATCAACAGGAAGTCGCTAAATACGCGAAAAATTACCTCCCGTTATTATTCAACATGTACACAAGTGAAAAATGGAACATGTCACGCGATCCAGTTCGCCAGAGTGTCTTCGAGACAATTAAACGTTATCTGATTATTACGGATTCGGCATTATGTCAGCAATTCTTTGATCGAAGTTTAGAAAAAACTCAAAATGCTGATATCGATCAAATAACATTGTATGCCATTCAGAATTCTTAACAATACACTGCTCTTTTGTCTCTCTATTCTAGAACTTATTTGCTCGATATTGTGTTGGCTTTGGTACCGTACTTGGATGAGAAACGTTTGGAATCGTTAGAACAAAAATTGAAACAATTGTTTGCAGTGGTATGTAGAGAAGAGACTCGATGGATTTTGTTTCTACGGATATGTTTAGAAGGATGGAAGTGTTAAGCGAAGTGTGATGAAAAAGTCGTATCGAATTCTAGAAGAATTATGTACACGTTCGACATCGACTATTCAACAGTTTTTGAATGAAACTCGCACAAACATTCTACTTGAACATCTTCTTGCTTCATTGACCAAATCACAATCAGCTCTGAAAGGCGTATGTTCATCGACTTAACAAATCATCTGATTAACTCTTGAATTTTAGTCACAAATTCGGTGTATTTCAAGTTTACTTGACATGCCCACTAACCAAACAGTTGCAAAGATCAAACAAATTGTACCACAAGTAAGCAATGTCACACACGCCTTGATCCTTTCAACATCTTTTTACTCCAGGCAGTTCAATGTCTTCATGAAATCAACAGCCGCACGAGACATGACGCATACTTACTCATTATCAAATGTGCACGCCTTTGGACAACATTAAGTGAACATTCGTTTATCGGTAAGATTGTTTGGTTTGACATTGCCATTCATATTCTTCGTGCATTTTCTCGTTCTAGATTCTCTCACAGGTTTCTTTCATTTTCTCATGGCTGGTCTTGTCAGTCCTCATTCGCCGTCGATGACATCAGCTACTGTACTTGCTATCAGTCGTTTGTGTTTGGAGTTTCGAGAAAATATCGCTGGCTTGATCGTCGATGAATTGGTGTCGACATTGGTATTAGTACTTCAGTCGAAAGAACGACAAATCGTTCAAGCAGCTCTAAGTTTCTGTCGAGTATTACTAATTATTCTCAACGAAACCATTTTGTCAAAATATATTGATCAATTGGTAAGATATCTATTAAAGAGACGTTTTCGATCAAATTTCTATTTGTTGTATCTCTAGGCTCATGCATTGACAGTCATGCGAGAAGAAAATCATTTTACTTATCGTTCAAAACTCAAATTAATCCTACAAAAACTTGTGCGAATATTTGGGTGCGTTAATATTAGTTCTTTTCCACGAAAGAATACCGCCCGACTTGCTTTTTAGATTTGATGCATTACGTGATTTATTTCCAGCTAGTTTTCACCCTCAAATGTCTTATATAAACAAGATGCATGCACGTAAAGAACGACGCCGTAAAGGAACATCAACTATCGGTCAAAGCATCATCACAAAAGTTGATGACGATGACGAATATGTCGATGACAACGAAACAACATTCACTGTTCGACCGAAACTTACCATTGATCAGTTACTTGACGATTCCGACGATGACAATGATCAGCATCTCGGAAGAATCGATGACACTCGAACGATTGCTACAGCACGAACAACAGCAAGTACGAAACGACGACAACAAAAGTCGGCTCTATGGATTAAAGAAGCAAACGAAGACGATCCTCTTGACTTAACAGAACCAACCGCAGCAAGAAGTATCTATGGTATGTTAGGACTCATACTATCTTGTTAGGCTTGTTTTTTGCACATATCGCGTTATGTTTTAGCTACAAAACCGTTGACGGAACGTGAGACTGAAGCAATGAAACAAGCATCGAGAGCTAAACGACAGAACTCTAGATTCCGTAGCGCACCGGATGGTCGTCTTATTATTGACATCGACGACGAAGACGATCAACAAAAACAACAAGAAGAATCCGATTTTGATGATGATGACGATATGAATCGCGAGGATATCAAAGATTTAATGGAAACATTGTCTTTAAGTCAACGCGCAAAAAATAAACGAAAACGTGCTCGGGAAGAAGACGATGATGACGACGACGATGAAGACTACCAATTCAATGACAAGAAAAGTCAGAGTGTTCATTCAAAATATCGAGGTTAGTCAAAGCATAAAAGTAAACGATATAGTTCACTGGACTTTCTTTGGTTCGTTAGCTGGTGGCGGTGGTATTCATCGGCCATTAAATCAACCTAGTAAACGACGACCAGGTGAAGCTTATAAAACCAAGGTAGATGAAAAACATCGAATAGTTGAGTTTTCTATCGTAAATTATGTCTTATAGCGTGGAGCGGGTGGCGATCGTAAATTGGCTAATAAACACGATCCATATGCTTATATTAAACTCGATTTTAACGCACTAAACAAGCGGTAAGGCGATGATGTTTTTCTATGTTTGTATTCATTCTTTTCGTTCTGTTCATAGAAAACGAGGTAAATTCAAAGGTCAATTTGAACAAATTGTTGGCGCAGCTAAACGCGGTGCAAATCGTGGTGCTAAATTAGGCGCCAAAGAGCGACACCATAAGAAGAGTGTGAAGCGTTTGAAGAAATAACCGATCTTTCCGTTTTTGTTTGTTTTCTGTTTTCTAATTGTTACATCACGTTTTGTTTAGAAAGAAAAAAATAGATTCGTTACCAACATATTCGATTGCTCTCTCTCTCTCTGTTTTTCTTTTGCTGTCTTGCACATGTTCACAAGAACAAATTCCGATGGAATGAAAAAACCTGCTAGCGAATTTAATGAATATCACTGATTAATAGACAAATAGAAAGCAATAGGAAAAACAAAGACAAAAAGAAAAACGAGGGATGATTTTTCAGTCAACTTCTTCAACTCGTGGACCGGAATGTCCAGCGCTCGTACTTTGACTTCGACTGTATTGTTGTTGTTGTTGTTGTTGTCCACCGGCGCCGCCGCTATGCATTTTGGTCATAATACGTTGACATTTTCTTTCAATATCCGCATACTGATGCTCGATTTCTTCTTTGTCAGCTAATAGATTCCTATCTAACCATCTTTGCACTTCTTCACAACTACTGATCACTGTTGACTTTTCAGCATCGCTTATCGCTGTTCCATTATAATTCTCCACTGCTAGTTTACATGAATACAGATACGTTTCCAGGTGATTACGGGCATTAACACGGTCACGTGTACGGTCGTCGTCTTCGCGATATTTTTCAGCATCGTTTATCATACGTTCTATCTCAGCTTGTGTTAAACGACCTTTATCATTTTTAATTTCAATTCTTTTATTTCGTCCTGTACTTTTGTCTTCAGCAGTAACTTGAAGAATACCTTCAACAACGAAAAAGAAAGAAAACATATGCAAAAAAGCGAAGTTGGACATCTTATACATTACCATTGGCATCTAAATCGAACGTCACCTCAATTTGCGGTACGCCACGTGGAGCCGGTGGTATACCTTCCAAATCGAATTTGCCTAATAGATGATTGTCTCTTGTCATAGATCGTTCACCTTCATATACTTGAATCGTTACTGCTGGCTAAAACAATTTCAACTTGTCCAATCGATTACAAATGTATTCTTGAACTCTTACTTGATTATCTGCGAATGTTGTAAACGTCTGTCCCTTTTTGTATGGTATGCGTTGATTACGTTCAATCAATCTTGTCATCACACCGCCAGCTGTTTCGATACCCATTGATAACGGTGTAACATCAATGAGCAGTACATCTCGAATCATTTCACTTTGATCACCTAAAAATAGATTAGACATCGGAGTTTCGAAAAACAAAAATCGTTCTTTCTGTGTATTTACCTCTTAGAATAGCAGCTTGTACAGCAGCTCCGTAGGCAACAGCCTCATCAGGATTAATATTCTTATTTAAAGGTTTTCCGTTGAAAAAATCTGATAATAGCTGTTGAACTTTAGGTATACGTGTCGAACCGCCAACTAAAACCACTTCTTCAATATCACGTTTTTGTAATTTGGCATCACGAAGTGCTTGTTCAACAGGGCCAATCGTACCACGAAACATATCCTATTTGTAAAAAGAATCAGATTAGTTTTATTATACAGTCAATTTACCATATTTAGTTCTTCGAAACGTGCACGACTTATTTGTGTATTAAAGTCGATTCCTTCGAAAAGCGAATCGATTTCGATCGATGCCGTTGTCGAAGATGATAGTGTCCGTTTCGCTCGTTCGCATGCACTGCGTAGGCGTCGGACAGCTTTGGTATGTTTCGAGACGTCTTTACCATGTTTTCGACGAAATTCTTCGACAAAATGTTGTACCAACCGATTATCAAAATCTTCGCCACCTAAATGTGTATCTCCAGCTAAAACAAACACATAGTTTAGTCATTAATTTTTCAAACACGATCGCTCGTACCAGTTGCTTTAACTTCAAATACCGAACCGCCAACATCGCCACCACTGATTGTTAAAACTGACACATCGAATGTACCCCCACCCAGATCATAAATGAGTATATTCTGATCACGATGAAGTTTCTTTTCAAGACCATAAGCAAGTGCCGCCGCTGTTGGTTCATTTATAATACGAAGAACGTCGAGACCAGCTATTGTACCAGCATCTTTCGTCGCCTGAGAAAGATTTCCGTAACTAGAAAATATCCATGTAGCTCCTACCTGTCGTTGTGAATCATTGAAGTATGCAGGAACAGTGACAACGGCTTGTTTAATAGTAATACCAAGAAATGCTTCAGCTGTTTCTTTCATTTTTGTTAGTACCATCGAAGAAATTTCTTCGGGCGAAAAAAGCTTTAAGAAACAAACAGAAATTCAACGTATTGGTGATTAAACGCGATGACCCATACTTTTCTTTCGCCTTTATATTGAACTTCAATGAACGGCTTGCGGTCTTTTCCATGAACCACTTTAAATGGCCATAATTTGATATCTTTTTGCACAGTTTCATCATCAAAACGTCGTCCGATCAAACGTTTCGCATCGAAAACTGTATTCGATGGGTTCATTGCTGCTTGACTTTTTGCTCCATCGCCAATCAAACGTTCTGTATCTGTGAATGCGACATAGGATGGTGTTGTACGATTTCCTTGGTCATTGGCGATGATTTCAACTTTACCATGTTGAAATACACCTACGCACGAATACGTTGTGCCTAAGTCAATTCCAATTGCTTTGCTATGTCTACTCGATCCGCCACGCGACATGATCTGAACTTTATCGTATATGAAATATGTAATCGCAAGTCAGATTTAGAAAATAGATGAACAGCAAGCAAGCGCGTAAATCTACACTACCCGCGTAATAAGCTTGCATTTACTTTCTCCTTCGTGATGAATAAGATATATATAACGGTGAGATGGTCACCATCATCATTATCTTCGTACATAGGCAAACTCAAGGCGAGATATAATGCAAATCGATGTGACAGAGAGAAGAAAAAGAAGAAGACTATTACGTGAAAGATGAAGACTTATTCGCTTATGCGTATCTGCGTATATAAACATTTTCGATGTTCATAAAAATGAAAATAACGCCAAAGAAAGACAAAACGAAAAAGTGACTTGAGACGACATATACACATCTGATCAAAATATGAGACATATTTCTCGCTATGCATAGAAGAAAGAAATATATACAAATAAATTTATTTTTCATCAAACATGAACGTGACATACAAAAAGTACGCATATGTATATAGAAGTAAAGGAGTTCGTTATTTTTAGCCAACTGTTCGTTGAAATTTCGTTCGTAGTATCAAAACAATGAAACTTATAAGCTGTAATCCACCGAACATAGCAAATAGTAAACCCAAATTGCGATCGTAATTACTCTAAAAGACATTTACGACTTATGAAACTGTGAAGTTTATTCTTCGTTTAGCAAACCTCTTTGAAACCGTAGTAATTGAGAACGTCGGTACCATTTTTAAAACAAGCATCAGCCGGTGCAGTACCGCAATCAATTGATGTGACATCTTTCCACTGATTAATCAGACCCATTTCATTTCCATAGTATAACCATGAGATATACTTGATCCAAATGAGCCAGTTAGGTATTGTTCTAAATAAACAATACGAATCATGTGTTTGAATACGGATAAATATCTGCACAAACTTTGAATTAATAAAAAAACCAGCAAAAACAAATAGCGGAAGAATAACGGGTACAACTAATGCTGCAGCTGCGTCAGGTGTTGGCATTGAAACTCCAATGAGGGTTCCTGATAACGAAAACAATATATCAAGCATGCATCTTTCTTTTCGCATTCACACTTACCCACAGAAACTGAAACAATTCCACATAAGATCAGAATACCTTGCAATATGAAATAATGTTTTGCATCATCATATAAATTTGCCATCCAATAAGTAATAGTTCCTAATATGAATATCGACAGTGCACATGAAGGTAGCTCTAGAACCATTCTCGCAATATAATAAGGCAGAGTGCGGTAGATTCCATCGTCGTGTTCTTTGAAAACTAGTGGTAGCTGTCGATTGATACCCTATAAGAGAAAAGAATTCAGAAAACGATATTGAACTTTCGAGTTCGAAAATTACATCAGCGTTTTTCTGAACAGTTGAAAATCCAATGTTAACAATTAATACCATAATAACAGCGGAGATATTTTGAAACGCTTGTTGGTTATATTCCAAACGTAAGAAGACCAGACCAAAAAGGACCGAAAGAATGATCGAGATCATCAAACGTAAGCGTAACTCAAATGGATTGCGAAGTGTATCAATCGTTGAGCGCCATAGTAGCCAGGTGAGCTGACGAAAAAATCCAGATTTATATCTAAAAAGCAGAAACATATTTTGTTAGAAATAAGTATCTCGATTTTCTCTATCACTACAAACTTTGGTGAGCGATTGAATACACTACTAGGTGTATTTGTTTGATCATCATCAATAGTATGATATTGCTCTGCTTCCCCGACATGTTGAGCATATAGCGGAGTTTTTTCATATTCATCACAAATATGCTGATCAAGAAGACAACAAGTCAGTATATCAAAGTAACTCGTTCACGCTTACTTCAACTCGTTCAAGTGATGCTTCTCTATCGAAAGGTAAGATTGCTAGTGTTTGAATAAAGAAATCTGATAGATTATAGTTGACTGGAGCATTATAACCCAAACTAAATACAAATATTCAGTTAGAATTTCTATTCTGATATCGAGAATCTTTTCAACTAACCTGCCAAAGAAATCCTGAGCTTTCTTTCTTGATCCAAAATAAGCAACACGACCTTCTGCTAACAGATACAGCCTAAACAAGATATCCGTTCAGCTTGATGAAGAAGAAACAGTTGTGAAGAGTACTTACGTGTCGAATAATTCGAAAATTTCACTCGACGGCTGATGAATGGTGCACACTATAGTTTTCCCCTGGTCACATAATTTACGCATTGCATCACATATCACAAACGCCATGCTTCCGTCAAGACCTGATGTTGGCTACAATCGAATCGGATCGTTCGCAGTCATCTACTTTTAATACCAAAGTGACACTTACTTCATCAGCAAACAGTAATGGTGGATCAGTCATCACCTAGATACCGATAGATGAATGTTTGGTAATAGTTGGCAAACAGTATCTTATATGATTATCCTACTTCGGAAGCAAATAATAGACGTCGTTTCTCACCACCGGATAAACCTTTGATGCGACCCGGCTCTCCAATCACGGTTTTTTCTACTTTCTTCAAATTCAACTGCAAAACAACACAAAACTAGTTGACAACAAAAGTTCGCTCTAGTCTAGATAATATCTTACGAAATCAAGTAGTTCGTTAACGCGAGCAACTCGACGATCTTTGGTAACGTCGCGATTCAATCGTAACATGGCCTACAATCAAGAAATAACGATAATGATAGAGAGAAAGAGAGTTCACTGAGATAAAGTCTTACATGAAAATACAAATGTTCCCGTGGTGTCATTGACGGTATAAATAATTCTTCTTGTTGCACGTATCCTGACACTCGATTAATATGTCGACCCATGTTTGTCCCGTTCACTCTTACATCACCGGTCACTGTCAGATTACCGGGTCGACGTTGAGTTAAAATATTTAGTAACGTAGTTTTTCCAGCACCACTAGCGCCCATAATTGCCACTAGTTGTCCTGGCTTAGCGATACCACTAACTATAGCAAGCCCGACACAATAGTTTCTCTGAGAGAGAAGGTACGCTTTTCGAATTACTCACCTCCTTTAAGTAACATCTTCGGCTGGCCAACTTCTTTCCAGGGACAGAATGCTTTGGTTAGTGTTCGTTTTATACCTTTATCTTTCGGTGGCGCTTCAGCTTTTAGGTCGAGCCATGTAAGAGTGACTGGTGGTGAATTAAAGTCGATTTTACTTATTCCAGCTTCGTCGCTATGCGCCGGTTTAGATGGCTGTCGTTTACCATATGGAATACCATGTTGAGCAGGCAGATCGGCTTGACGTCGGAGATATTGATACCATGCGAGATCGTGTTGTCTGTTCGCAAAATTCTGTTCACGCCATGTCATGTTCTATAGAATAAAATAAAGAGTAAGAATTGGACAAGAGAAGTGAATACACCGTTTCATACATTTCTTCGAACGTAGTCTCCCAGAGTGCCGACATTCGGATTACGAAAGTGGCCTTTGTTATGAATATTCTGTTGAACAGCCTAATAGGAAAAGAACATTCGATTTTATTGGAAAATGTTTATGGATAATCGCACTTACCATGTACGTTTTCAAAGCGTGTTTCCTCTGTAGAGTGTCGAAAACAGATGAGATGAAATCGAAAAACCGAAACGACAATTATATCCAATTCAATTATCATACGCCAAGGGCCTCTCGAGCGCATGGAAAGAATCAACGAACTGGAACGATAACCTTTATCATACTTTCCAAGCCTTTAAGTACGCACAGGTGTCGTATGATGTAAGTTTTGTTTTTCCTTCGCGCTCTTATTTATTATCAACGCTATCACAGAATAAAAACATGTTTATTCTTTTATAAATGTCAGTAATGTTCTTTTTGTTACACGTACTTTACTTTCGATGTTACGACGTAAGGTTACGAGAACATCAATCCGTGTATAAACTGATAATTGTGCTTTCTATTCACGATCATAAGAGAATTACCTCACTTACAATTCTACTTTGTGTAAATTGTCTCTAATTTGTCTTTCAAATAATTCAATATTCAGTCATTCAATTTCTGAGATAGTGATAGATGACATTTTTATTTTTTCTCAACAAGATGAACACAACGAAAAAAGCACAAGGATTATTTCACAAATATTCGAATACAGATACACACGTACATATAAAGAGAATATTATTTTATGTATTCATTCGTTATTTGAACAAAAAAGTGACAAATACACAAGACGTAAACAACAATAACAATACCAAAAAAGACTGCCTATATGTGTAAATACTTTTTTACTCGATTGACTATCTAATGGTGTTCGTGTTGGAGTAAACGAAGTTCACTTGCGTCGCCGTTACCATTAGCTAAGAGACCATTCGTATGTCCATTACCAACTGAGGACATACCATTGACGAATTCGCCAGCAGGCATAGGTCCTGTTGCTTGTTCCGAGTAGGTGTTGATTTTAGTTTCTTTACCTGGTTCATTCATGATTGTCGTTGATGCCGTTTGAGATGAACATGTTACAGGAATTGTAGCAGCTGCTGCTTTGTCAACGACTACAACTGGTGCAGAATTATCGAAAACATCTCTCTTGCAACGACGACGAAAAGCCAAATAATAAAGGCATGTTAACAGAAAGATCAACGCAAGAATGCAAGATAATAAGCCAACAATCTAATGAAAGATGATATAGAATGCAATTCAGAATGAGTTCTCTGTTACATACCACAGCATTCCATCCAACTCCATAAAAGTATGAGAAGAATACTGGATGAACAGGTGGACATGGTGTGCCGAATCGATTCGATGTATCCAAAACTTGACCAGGTACTTCCGAGGAGCCCATTTCTAAAATGAACGGTTGATTTCGATTTGTAATGTTGATGAAGAATACATACGATTAACAGTAGTCGTGTAAAATGTACGTGCAGTTGGTGCTGCCATTGATTGATATTTCAAGAAAGAAGAATGATTTCAGATGAATAGGGAAGAAATGAAATGACGACCGTTGTTTGCTCTTCTTTCTAATACAATGAATCGGACACGAAAGAGAGAAGGCAAGAGAAAGAGAAGAGGAAAAATTTAGCTTTGTTCAGAATGACCGACTAGCGAATTCTGTTGTTGTTGTTCTTCTTCTTCTTCTACGAAAAGGAGAAAAAATAGCGGACGAAAGCGAATGAGAGAGAAAGAGAGAAAGTCGTTGGTAATAACGGCAGGATATTTTTGAAATATACGGATAAGAAAGCCAACGATGTTAGTCATTGTTGATAGTATTGCTGTATTCAATCATCGATAGAGTAGACAACACTCCCCTTCAATTGCTAATTATTCCTCCGGCATAATTTCGAAAAAAGAAAAATATACATCGGATCAGTTGATGAATATCATCCATCTTGATAATTAAATCAATATTTCATTTTTCTTATAAAGAGAAATTTATCAGTGAACAATATCCGGAATTTCTTGCATTTATTTATATTCGATATACACATAGTTTCTTTTAGTGACCGCGTAGGAACGATTGATTAGATATACACACACACATATATATATTCAAGATAGACAGACGTGTGAAGACCAGTACTAAAAACATATATAAACATCAGACTATCATCAATCACTCATTGTATATAAAGAGATAAATGATAAGAAAGCAAACATGATGAGCGTATTAACTTCAGGGCATATCAAGCTTTGCAATGATTAAATGAGATCGAATGGAAAATAACAAATGAATATGAAACTAATCATTTTCAATATAACTCTTAAAAAAACAGGACACTGATAAAAGTCATCGTGACTGATATAGGAACATATGAAACATCAGACAACTGCTTATAATTTATGAGAACCCATGGTCTTATTTTGGGTAGAATTGAAATTTGAATTATTGAGTTTAGTTTATAGAGATTTATCAATACTGCCCAGCCATAGATTGAAGAACACAAGATTGATAACAAACAGAGTTGAAGCGCTTCAATTTCCAGAAGATGGAATGCATTTTACAAAGTATTTTCTCGAATAGAGTTAACCTATTAATTTAGAGGTATATCTTGTGACACTCGCATTGCCATTCTTACGTCGTATTTCCTTTTTTCAAATACCGTCTCGTCCTGGTCTCTGCTCGAAAACTATAAGACATATCTTTCAACTAGTTTCGTCGTTCACATTGTGAGTTGTTTTCGAGATTTTCAATCCGCAATCTTTCTTTTATACTTAATAATATGACACAAAATTGATACTATGAACAAGATCTATATTTGCTTCCAAGAGTAAAGTGCGTGCCATATAGGAAAGTTTACGATAGAGAAACGTGTGTCACTGACTTGTACTCGAAGAAGGCAAACATTTATATTTATAGAAAACTTATTGATTTCTCGAAGGTCAACTTTGACAGATGTATACGTACAGACAACATTGAATAGACCTTGAGTATGTAACATCTCAGTAATATGTCATGATCTACATGAAGAAAAACGTTTTATGTCGTTTTAATTGATCTCGACGATATCAGATATGCGATAAACGATGGAAAACACACAAAATATTGTCTTTTTTTTCTCGTTTGTACCCATCAATCTACAGAATGATCTTGAATTTTGAATTATTGAATCAATTTTTCTTTTATGTTTAGCAATAGTATGTTAAAAGAGAGCATCAAGGTTGAATATGACAACCTCGAGACTTCATTTTCTTTAGTATCCTTGTTCGTCTGGTCATAGCAATTAGCTTGCAGTCAAACACAAACATTGCTTACAAGATCAAACAACAAAATAGTATGTTTTCTTCAACGATTCAACTTTAAGAAGTCACAGAATTGAATATATTCTAATTATTAGCAATCTATTATACTGAAATAAGGAATTATCAAATATGATTTGATGAGGTTCATTAATTGCCTGAGATAGAGTCCCTCGGTTGTGTGTTACTGACAACAATAAAAGCACACAAACGTACAAACGCAATGACTGCACCGGTCAGTCATTAGAGGAAAAAAATCGAAACAAAAGGCAAAAAGGACTTCATTAAAGAAAAATAAACTATAATAAATACAGGGATAAACACACAAACAAAGCAACAAACACATACACGCACAAATTTAAGAGAATAATCATCGAAAAACGAAGAAGGAGTCAAGAAGCCTAGAAAGAACAGTGTGAACACCGGAGAGAATATTTGTTTCTTTACAATGATGACGAGATCAGTGATTGTTGTTGTGATGGTTGTTCACTCTTTTCGCATTTTATTAACGGTGGTGATAGACTTTGTTTTGACAAGGATGATGACGATGTGACACTCATTTTAAGAATACACGGAATGATTTTATGAATTTGTACCGAGCCTAAAATTTATAGAAATACTAAATATATCCACTATCAAACTGCAATCTTACCAATTAGTCCTACAAAGAAAATTTCTTCAATAATACTGGTATCAAGTTCAGCTAATGAAGGTAGTTTTAACAAAAGACGACCTAATCGTTCACTATCGCTGCTATAATCTTCATACGATGTTGAAAGATTTCGATCATTGATATAATCGTGCAATTCTTTGTATGTTAGCATTCGATATGCATCAATTTGATCGTAAGATGAAATACACTCTAAAAATATCAATGGTTTTCTTTCGTTACAAATCAAAATCTTCGCTTACCGGTACTATTACTCGGATTTAAAACAACTATTAACTTCAGATAAGCATATTCAATATCAGTCATATGTAAACGATCGAATTCGTAGAGAAGTGATTGAATTCGACGCAACTCTAACCATTTATTTGATTCGTTATTAACTAATTTTTCTAAAGGGAAAACAACCAGTCGAATATGTAAAGCGAAAAGCTATTCATAAGACTTACTCGCAAGTAACGTTGTGAGAATATTGGCTAAACTAATTGTCGGTGAACATTGCAATAAACTCAAAATGAATAGAGGCAGCCAATGGTTTTGTAAAAGAACGATTTGCATTTGTGCTCTATTATCAATGCGATATGCATAAGGATTAGCAATTTATAGAATAGACTTACTCAAGTGTTTGAAAACAGGCATGGTTTTTGATCCAATCGATCGATTGAAAGAGAATTCGTGACGCTGATTCACAGATGAAACTACTTGTCGGTAATAGTAACTGAGCATCTTGAAAATCGTGATTTGTTGGTGGTGTGATGATAAATTTACTGGTTTTATCAGTGACTAATGGACCTGAACAGAAAACGATTAGGTGACAACGCTCGAAATCAATCAAATGACTCCGTACGTTCAACTTGTTCCCAATAACGTTTTTCGGTGAACAAATGTTGTTGCTGGGCAAGAGATAATGGATTTGTCGTACTATTCGACCGCAACTAGATTTGATAAGAAGATATGAAGTCAGACATTAGAAATAAGAAAGAATCTATTACATGAGAGGCAGCTTTTGCTAGATTATCAAACGCTCTCGATATCGCTAATGTTTGTTGTTGATTTTGACTTTTTGTTGTAGATGTATCCATTGTTTCAGTTTTGATGTCACAATCGATACGAAGACTAGTTGTTGTGCTTGATGTTGACGAAGATGTTGATGACGATGAGGATGATGGCGGAGAAAGAAATGTTGCTAGAAATAATGAACATAGTTGAACGATATTCGCAGCTTAGCCTCTTGTTTGTACCTGATGATAGTGTCGGTGATTTGACTCGGGACGTAGATGTAAGAATACTATGAAGGGTGCTTTGTTGCTGTTGATTTTTATGATCATTTGATGACATCTGAATGGTATTATCACGACTATTAGTTAAATTCGCTAATAATGACGTTAATGGATAAATTCCATTCGAAGAGGAAGTCAGTAGCTAGAGAATGAGAGATGAAGTAAATTTAACCTCTTTTTTTTTGTTTGATCAACTATTCTTACTGATGATGGGTCATTTGATTTTCTTAATCTTTGATTATGAATACTATTCAGCATCAAATCATGTTTATTCGTATTTGTTGTTGAAGGTCGCCGTTCATTTTGAACAGCTTCAATACGCATACCAACTTGAAGACATTTCTGCAATCGACAGTATTGACATCTAAGCAAGAATATGAATAACACAGAAGAAACAACCTTTAAATCCAACCTACCTATTTCGCATAAACTTATTTATTGGACATTCTTTCGTTCCAAGACATGTATATAGAACTTGTTTACGAATACTTCGCTTGAAAAATCCTTTGCAACCCTAGAACAAATCAATTTTATCTATGTAGATTGATTTTTTTCGTTTGATCTCTTACTTCACATGATAGAACACCATAGTGTTTCCCCGACGCTCGATCTTGACAAACGCCGCATATTAACGACATAGTTCCATTCGCTGTTCCATCATTCATTAAAGAATTCGAATGACATTCAGTGGGATTATCTTCGTTGTTAATCATCAACGAATCTATTGAATAAGACATCGTTTTCTTTTTTTATTCTCAGGTATTTGAACTAACTCGAAAGACTTAGGAGACCATTAGCGGCCGCTGCGAGTTGGTTCTGTTGATGAAATGAGGAGATCTGAGCCGCATCGGTTGAACATAATCCATCCACTTCACTAATCCTTGAATTATGACGATGACTGTTTTCATCCTAGGAGACAGTAAATGAAATAACCATGTAGAAAGAAATCCCTCACAGTTTCTTATAGGTTATCATTCTCTTTCTCCGGCAAATGGCCATGAGTGCGCAAGTAGTCATATGTGTACTTTCAAATCACTGTATGTTCTTCTTCTTTGAAAAGTTAACTTCAAAGTCGAACTTTGTTATTATTCATGTTTATCGAAAGAATGGAAACCTTGAAAGCAAATCTGTTTTTGTGACATTCGATTAATAGAATCATTTTGTATTATTGAGAATAATATAGCTATTTAGAAGATATTTTCAAGGTGAATATCATTATCAATTATGTTTATTTACTGACAAGTCCTTCGTTAGTCAACGAGCATATTCATCGGTTTTTTTCACGCTCACATATCAAGGAATATTCACCTGTATATTAAAATAAGATTTGTTCACCTTCGACACAATATTCTTTCGATTTTTTCCTCTTCTTCTCATCATCCATATGACATGAGTCAGACGTAATAGTTGTTACAACAAGGTCGCCGTCAATGTTTTGTCGACCTTCACTGTCGAAGGCCGTCGCCCTCACATCTCGTCTATCGTCCTTGCCATTTTATTCTTTTTTTCCTCTGATTCTACATACTCATACTTCCTCTCGAGACATTTCTGTCACATACTACATGCGTTCAAGGTTAACCTTACAAGCATGTTAGAAGGAAATTGACAAGAGAAAGGAGACAAAGAGCGATCAACAACTCTACAAGACTTTTTGTTCTCTCGGCAAAACTAATTCAATTTTCGTCTATGTAAATGAACAAATAAAGAAAATAAAACAAACTTACATCTAAGATTTCAGATGATGACGTTGTCGACTGTTGAGGCTGAAGATATTGCAACGTATCTTTTCGTACACGTTTTCGATGTGGAAGAATTGTATCATGAATGAGTAGATCATTGCCATCGTCGTGCAATCGATTCTCATCGCAACTTCGATGATGACTATTAGAATTATTCAGCTGAGATTCGTGTTTCGTCGAGTTCGGAATTAATCGCGCTAGACCTGAAGGTGATTGGTGCATAGCATCATCATCGTCATCGTTAGTAAGATCGGCTTTTCTTCCCATTGAAATAAGTCTTCTGTTAGATGAACGTTCGCTTAGTTGTTGATCAATTGATACCTGTGAATGCCATGAACGTTCGTGTGCGATCAAAGAACAGGAGGACAAATCTGGCGACTAATGATACAGAGCAGGCAAGTACACGAGAGTTGAAGTTGATGACAACCGAGTTAAAACACTGGGGAAAGATGACCTGCTTTTTGCTCTCGTACTCTATCGATTGAGACGATTGTTCGTTCGCTCTTTTCTTGCTTTCTCTTGCTTCTCTTCTCTCTTATTTCTTCTCTCTTGTGTAGGACGTTGTTGTGTCTTCTCGGTTTCCTTTTGCCTTCTACAATGTGTAAAGTTTCATTTGTAGCTGTAGACGGTAATGATAGAAAATCTAAACGTATGAAGACCTCAATGTTTTTTCTTGTCTCGTTCCATAAATAGATTATGATAATATTGAATTGAATCAAATCAGATACGATTGCGATGAAATACAAAGAAGAAGGATTAAAACCTAATTTGTCCTATTATAAATGTCTACACAAGGTAAACAGTACGTAATAGAAACTATAGGAGAGGAGAGAGAGAAGAAACTGAGGGTTGGTTAAAAAACAAAAGAATAATTAAAACGGTGTTTCTATACAGTATTTATCGACTAATAAATCACAGGAAAAAAGCCACCAAAGGACCGACTAAATGAAGAGGAGGAATATTCACAATATCAAGTGAAGGAAAGGTCAAAGAGAACAAAGAATAGCAATAGTAATAAATATCAAATAAAAAAAAGAAAACGGCTGATGGTGATGATAATGAATAATCAAAGAAGACGATAATTATGTTCTATCTATTAGCAAAAAAGCCTTCAATCTCGTAATACATAATAGAAAACAACGTAAATGATCAAGTGATTTTTTTCTGCTTTTCTCATTCATTTTCTTTTTTCGCTACAATAATCGACTTTGAGACTCAGACATATATGCACATATGTACACGTATACACTCACGTACAGGTATGAAATGAAAAACGAAAGAACAACCTTTGATCGCTAGAAGGTTCATTCTTTACATATATTAATGTATATTTGAAATGGGGTCATACAAATCACTTTTTTTTTCTTCTTGTCGTTTTTTTTGCCCGAACCCATGATTGAGAGACTCATTGAACTTGTTCTGTTTAATTCATCAGATAAAACTCTAATGATTTATTTGAGCAACTAAGAACGGAATGAATACAACCCTGAATGAGATATTTATTTCAATCAAATTTCATCATTCTAACTTGTCAATGATGAACGAATATCATACAGACAGACAGACAGAAAACTTTTTTTTTATATTTATCAAAAGAGTTATATTTATACAAAACAAACAACAATATCTCGTGAAAATCGAGAATACAACACAATTTCTATGTATATATGTATATGTATATGTATATATTTTTTTCTCTGGTCTGTTAGGCTTGTATGTGTGCACGAGATAATAATCGAACGAAGAAAAACGCGAACAGTAGAATATAATAAATAACACAGACAAGAAAAAAAAACGAAATGCAGAGAAAACAATCATATCACGTATTAGTTATTGGCCGTGCTGTACTTGTTGTTGTTGTTGTTGCCGCTGCTGCTGCTGTTGTTGTTGTGGTGTTCAACGCTGGAAGTAGATACAATTGAAATTGGTCATAAACGGTTTTCAGATCGTCTAATGTATACTGGTACAAGACAACGACATTCTCTAACTGTTTGTCATGCTGCAAGGCACAATCCAAACAACGTACAACATGTTTACGATCAAGTTCGGTTATAAATAAGATGTTGAAGACTTCACAATCGCATGTTATACAATAATGTGCAGGTTCATGTAGGGTTCGTAATTGTTTGCGGACATCAACACCACGTCCAAATTGTTGTTCTAAGTATGCTAACGTTAGTTGAATATATTTCAGCGATTGATGTAAAATGAATTTGGTTAATTCAAATAGATGACGGTCATTAATGCGGATATTACGTGCGATATTCCAGGTTAAATGTACCATAGGTACAATCGATTTGCATGAACACAAACGATTCCATTCATAGCGTTCTATCGATGCATAATATTGACTGTAAAGTAATGGGCCAACATTCCAGGATATATTGTTACACCAGCCGATTGATTGCATCCAGTAGACACATCTATATAAATTCATAGAATCAGATGTCTTTTCTCATATGTTAATGTTAATCTGTCGATGTTGAGCGTAGAATACTTACCCTGAATTGACGAAAACAAGATCTCCAGGTTTTTGTACGAAACGATAAACAGGCACTTGAGCATCATGTAAATCATCTAGTATAGGCCACCATGATCCCGTCAGAAAATCAACACCATTTTTTTCGCACAATGTAGCAATAACACCCCAATATTCATTAGCTACGGCAAACCATTCACAATCGCCGGGACCAATATTAATGTTAATGGCACAAAAGCAATTGTTCTCTTGATGACCTGGTGTTCGCGAGCCGGGTACTTTCATATACAACTGTACGCTATTCATCCCTAGGATGGTATAACCGACGTGTGATAGAAGATTGCCAGCTGAGACAACTCGCATAAATAATGGTAGTTTCGTTAGCTCAGACAATTGAGCTGCCCATTTACGTTCATCGGATAGGTCAATATTTGTTCCGGATTTAATCGAACGGATTGATGATATAGAAGAATTATTGGCTAAAATATAGATGCATTCATGGAAAATGATTCCACTATGAATTTTTTTTCTCTACGAACTTGATGATTTATTTGCGACTTTTTTTGATGTGCCATTAGTCATGATTACGTTTGAATTTGCTGCTAGTCCACTGACTGTATTTATTGATGAAATATTTATTTCATTCAGCTCATCTTTGACCATATCATGATAAGAATATGCTTGATATTGAGCGTATTTAGCTATCGTCGTATATGAACGTGTCGATTGATATTTCCAGACGTTTTTCAATGGTGTTGTCATTGATGTGAAGTCAAAATTTTCATCAATAGGTTGTTGTCGTTGAGTACGCACTTCAACAGGATGATCAGGCTGACTTTCGACGAGTGTTTTCGTGGAGAATAAACCTAAATCAAGTTTAAGTACGTTGGATAATCCACGTACAATACAGATCGGTTGCGACAAACAATATTGTTGCAATTGCGCCGACGTTGCTTCACGTCGTGTTTCTAGAATTACACTTGGTGTACTTGGATTGAGTTCAATGGACGGCGTTTTTGGTATTTTAGGCGGCGTTGGCACATGACCATCGGGTAAATATGAAGCAGGCAATGGTGGAAGAGGTGATATTGAATGTTTGACGATCTTCTGTAAATCATTCGAACTTGTAGCGCTGGTAAAAGATAATGTTGGTTCAGTTTTAATACGTTTTGATCTCAAAGATTGATCATTTGTTATCAAGCGCTTATCAATACGTATAGCATCAATTGGTGGTTTTACAGTACCTAGAAATCGATAGATAGATAGATATGAAGTTTGCTTTCACAATGAAGAGAGATTTACAAGTAGGATTGGATGACGCTGATGGTGATAGTGATGGTTGTGGTGGAATAGAAGTAGAGGAAGCAGGAGGAAGAGAAATAGCAGATGTTTCTGATGGATATTGTTGACTGGGTACATTTGTTGACGTCGGTGTCGCAATGGAAGTCGTTGTCGATGATGCAGTAGCTATTTGCTGTTGTTTTGCGGTTAGTTCCACTGGAATGGGTAGGGTAAAAGCTTCTTCAACTTTAGGCAATGGACCACGAGGTCTACATAAAGTTATACAGATTAGAAATAATCCAGGGCGAGATTTTCATCAATCACTCACTGTTTTCCTATAGCACCTTCCGGTATTTGAACAAGACAGGATTGTAATTGGTTAATACGATTGATTAGTTCTGGATTCCATGATTCTATAAAAATGTCAATGAATACAAAACACCGCTAAAGCATAGAATAGAAATCCTTTACCATCTTTGTCTATGATAGCTTTTTTGTAGCAAAAAAGAGCATCTTGTGCTTGTCCACTTGTTTCATACAAAATTCCTAAATCCATCCATGCAGTCGCATGTTTATTATCAATTTGTATCGCGCACACAAATGCTTGTAAAGCATCCATTGTTTGATTCTGATGTTGATAGAGCACTCTAGAATTGCGTTTCGTGTCTAGTCATCGATCGATATAGAAAACTTTGACATACCCAATCGAACACCAAATATCTGCATTTTGATCTAATTTATCTACACAATTTCGATAGGTATAAAAAGCTTCTGTATGTTTTCGTAGTGCTGCATAACATCGTCCTAAATAATAATATGTTATCCCGCATGTCGGATCACACTCGCATGCTTGTTCTAATTTTCTAATTGCTTCTTTGATCTGATTTTCTCGTTCAACACTTATATTGTCTGTATTAATATTATTTGCTATGGGACCATAGAAATGAAGCCAACCAAGTTGTCGTAAAATTTTTCCTTTCAGCTTTGCTGGTACGATATCTTGCTGTTGGAGTAATTTCTCGTAAAGACTTTCAGCTTCAGTCAGATGTCCTTGTTGTTCGTAAACAAAACCGATTAGACACGATAATTCTGAACGTGTTAGTGAACATGTGCTTGTTGAATCACCTAATGCACGTTGAAAATGTTTTAAACTTGTGGAATAATCACCTAGTTGTTTGTAAATTAAGCCTAAACGAAGATGTACGTCACTCCGACGAATAAATTGACTGTCGAGATAAAGAACTTGTTGATAAGCACGAATCGCACTAGAAGATTGTATAGAAAACGTTCATAGCATGTCAAAAACAAGAAAATAACAAGACTGACTGATTATCAATATTGTAATGATGATAAACAATACCAAGACCAAATAAAAATTCTGGATTCTAAACATGAGAGATACTGTAATATTTAGAAAAGCATCAGTATGAAGCATGGCTTACTTGATTCAGTTTGGTTTCTAATGCATATGCAGCTTGATAGGCAGAAAGTGCTGAAATAGCAAATAGAAATTGACATGTTTACTTCAAACTTCGATTATTGATCATTAAACTACTCAATACCTTTGGAGAAATCTTCTAATAACAGATGCCAATGTCCAATATGAATATAATACTGTGCGATTTGTAATGGATCTTTTTCATTGCGTACTTTTCCTTCATAGAGTTGGATAGCCTACAAGAACAACATTAGGTTTCACATGATTCGATATTTCCTTTACCAGCTGTAAAAATTGACGTCGTTGAATTTCTTCTGGTTTATCCAAATGGATGAGTCCATATAATAGACTGAAATGAACATTGAAGAATATCTTGAACTCAAACATCGTTAAATAGCGAGAACTTTCATAGCATGTCGAATAAAAGTGCAATGTTGCTTTCGAGAGCGACAAAAGAAAAGAAAAAAGTCGCTATCAATGATCACATGAGTATATGTACACGTGAAAATTTAATCATGCACACTTGAATGTGTAATTATTGAACATCGACCTCAATCGATTTTGTTTGTGAAATAGTAAGTTAAGTACTTGAGATGTTCAGCTATCCTTAAGATGTTGATGTAGTGGACAAAGCTCGATATTCTTTTTGTTTGATCAGTTAAAATTCAAATTTTAGATGAGTATCTGAACCGCGTTTCGGTTCTAGTGATATTACTCGTACTCAATTCAACGATTTTACACGAAATTTTGAAGGTAGTTGTATTTGTTCGTAAACGAATGTTTTATTGGATAGGACTAACGATCTAACTTATTTCCTATAATATTTGTTCGAATTTCTGTCAAAGTGTCATTTGTTCTCTCTTTTTTTCTCACCAATCTTTATCGATATTAGATTCAGAAGAGTAGTACTTTGCATAAAAACTGTTTGTATGAAATATATCATAAAGAAAACGATAAGCTTATAACTCATTCAACAGATCATTTAACATAAAGAAAAACAAAGAACAAATGTCACAGTAAAATGAGTCTCTTACCTATCATAATCATTTTCTAAAATCTCTGTTTCTTCATCATCCATTTGGATTGATACTGCCAGTTGTTCAGTCATTTGACAGACGTTTTTCTTCGAAATCACTCTTGTTTATTTTCTTCAATAAAAAAAAATGTCGATCAACAGAGCTTCTTCTCTTTTGCATTCTTAAAAGATGCTTTCTATTGGTTTAACTTTGAGCGTATCAACAGTCGGCTTTATTCACACCACGCCATTATGTATTCTTTTATCCTCTCAGAAATTTTTCGCTACCATCAATGTTTGTGCACAGAACATTCTACTACGGAGTGACTCAACGTGTATATACAGATTCCCACACAAATCTAAAGTCTTCCTTTACTGTGAAATTTGTTTTCTTCAATAAACAACATATTAAACACATGTGATTGTCAGGTACAATTTTCCAATCTTAACGTGTTCTCATCTTACCTGTATGAAAGCATTTAGTTAGATTTATTCTCGATCGGTGGGCATGCTTGAGGCTAGGGGGTGTGTTTTTCTTACGTAGTGCATAGTGGTTCAGAAAACAAGCTGTTTCTGCGTATTTTCATTCGATTGTCCCTGATTTCTTAAGTGAGAACTGTGATTGAAATAAAAGCGCCATCCTGTCCGCCGCGTATCGTGTACCAATACTAAAGACTTTCAGTATTTAACATAGACGAGATGTAAAGTTTACGTATAGCAGTCGTATAGATGATTTAGAGAGATGACTTTCAAAATATTATACATTCCCTATGAAACCATGTTCACTTACGTTGATGTAAATTCTTCTAGGATTTCTTGAACATAATTAGATTGAACGAAAAATTTCGTATGAAAAGTTGCGAGAGAAGAAGATTTCATCTTATTTTGTTTTGAAAAATAAAATTTATCACGGTGATACCAACTATTTTCGTTACCACGATCGAAAACTATATCTGAATAGAAGTTGCGTCGAACTTTTGCGTTCTGTCTTCGCAATCATAGATAAAAACGAATCTGACAAATAAAGAATCGTTTCGATTAATTTATTTTCATGTTCCTCCGAATATGTCTTTATACGATTACATAATCACGCATATCATACTAAAGAATGAACTCAGATGACCATATAGTTAGACGGATGGGGGATGAGAGTGTAAAGTCGAGTGCGTTTTCACATTTCTTCTGGATGAAGGTCAGCCTATCAGATTAGGTAAAGAAAAACTAAGTGGGACTTTCCATGTGATTGGGTACTTCGTATCCTGAATGACTACGACAATATAAAGCAAATGCTCATTGTTTACAAACAAAGAGACGTAATTTCCAACGCATTTATACTAGATTTCAGTTATCGACCGTATTTATAGTTGCAAACTGAAAATCGATTTCTGATTTTAGATGAATCGATTGGTTACAAAGACAAATATGGATATTTTTTCTTGTTGAATCTATTTGGTCATTTTAGATATCAATTCAGGTACATTTTAACTTTACTGGTAGTTTCCGGTTTACATATTCACAAAGGTAGGGTACAGGAAGGAATCGAACACGCTCAATTCTATTGAAATATAAATAAAGCGCCTGTATGAACTGATCATTCCTCTTTTTAGTTGAACGAATACAAAAGCAAAGTCATCGTACATTTTTTTCTAAATTTATTTTCTTCGTGTGTCTGTTCGTTTCAACATATTATTTGTTTTCAAAGTATGTGGAAATTTAAAGATCGACAATGCTCGAATTAACGACTTTGATGATCTTTACATGGCTGACACTTCGCGTTCGCTATGTAAGTTTTTTCTTTGGACATCGATCGAATATGTTTCCACAAGAGAACTGTCTTCATTTTTCAGTTCCATAATTACTTCAAAGACTTTGTTTTGTTCGATATCGATATCAATAACAACGTTATCATTCGTTGGATATGTTCATTCGTCATGACAAACGATCCGTCAACAAATCAAAAACCGAATCGACAACCGTCAACAACATCGATGATGGATAATCTGATAAATATCGCGAAATCGAAGTTCAATCTTTGTCCAGCGAACGATCCAATACAGACGAATAATTTGATGCAGTTCATTGAAAGCATACCATTGGAATCGTCAGAAAAGCCACATCCACGGTCAGGTCATCGAGCTGTTGCTACTGAATCTGATCTGTGGATATGGGGCGGTTACTATCCATCTGGTGGCGAAGACGAACCAGAAAGAATGTTTCAAGAAGTATGATGAACAATATTCGATGTTTGATGAATTCAATTTTGCATTTTGTTTAGCTTTGGCGTTATAATTTTGCTCTCCGTCAATGGACACTCGAGCAAACAACAGGCGATGGACCCATTTTAACTCTAGCTTCTCATTCAAGTATGTTGATCATCTTTGCTGTCCGTGATGCATCGATTTGATGTTTTAGTGTGTCTATATCGAAATTTACTACTTGTATTTGGTGGCACAGGTCTTCCCTTTGGTTTTCACGTCTCCAATGACTTATTTGTACTTGATTTGAAAAGACTTCATTGGAAACGATATCGTACACGTGACGAACAACCGCAACAAGTCTACGGAGCGGTAAAAATGCCAACTTTCATTATGCTCGAACTTTTCTTTGACAATCTACTTTGCAGAGTATGATTTTGAACGAGGATCATTTATATATCTTATGCGGTACAAACAGTTGGATTTATAACTCTGATGTATATGATATTGATCTCCCTAATCTGAAGTGTCAACAGATAGGAAGTACATTTGATGAAATAGAAGATCCAAGTGAAACTGGAAGGTAAATGATTCCGTGTTAATCAATTCGATGATTATTTTGTTTCATAGATATCGACAAGAAGCATATTTACATCAAAATAAGATCTACTTATTCGGTGGTGGAGGAGTTTCGGGCATTTCATTTTCACTTAAACATGTCAGTTTTTTAACATCACGTATTTATACCTACCATTCATTGTTTTAGTTACCGGTATTTGACCTCGCTACTCAATCATGGTCATTTGTTCACACAAATCCTGATCCTATCTATAGTGAGTCGATAAATATTCAGTATTTTCTTATTGAATAACTACGATGTTTGACCAACAGATTTTCCAACTCCGAGAAAGTTTCATTCAATATTTCCTTTTCATAATAATCAAGTCATTATGTTTGGTGGTGCACAATTCAATCGCTTCAACAATCGTCATGTTGTTGTAAACGATCGTATTTGGGTATTCAACTTCGAGAAATTGGAATGGTCAATATTACCATCGTTGACAATCCCAAGACCTACCTATTTTCATGCTGCTGCAATGAATGAAGTACATTTCAAACTATCTTTTATTGATGTTAATTTTCTTTTACATCCATTCTTCATCTAGCGTGGCGAAGTTTGGATCCATGGCGGTGTTGTTGTCGAACCAAGATCAACGGATACAAATATGAATCGCAGTGAAATGCGTGTTACAACATTGTACATGATGCATACTCGAGTGCCTAATTTAAGTGAATTAACTTGGGATTATTTTTTAAATTCCCTACCGGATCGAACTCGTCTTGTTCGACAACCTGAACTTATGACAGAACTTCATATACCACGGCGATTTATCGAGCGTATACATTAGACTGATTCGATCTTTTTCTTTCAAGTAACTTTTTTTTCTTTTTTGCTCGCTCAAATGAACTGCTGTGAAAAAAAGAAGAAAATACATACAACGGGAACACACCGAGTTGCACTATTTTAGTTGAAAGTCTTTAGTAAACTGTTCACAATTGTGATTGCATGTAAATCACCAGCTGGATCGAGAAAGAACTCCAATGAGCAGTGTAGTTTAAATCATTCATTGTTTGTCATATCAAACAGCTGTTACCTCATGGTCATATCTTAATGGAAAACTATGACTCGATAAAAATGTAACATCAATATTCGAGCAAAGCAAGATAGACGAAATGCTACTCAGTATCTTCAGAAGAAAGAAAATGGGCACTGAATCGTAATCAATGAGTTTGAGTCATCGAACTTAGCTAACGACATGATCAATCCCAGCGAAATAAACTATGTATACCAATCGATAAACATTCGTCAGATTTTTCTTGAACAGTTCCTCTCGTTTATTGCCGAAGAACGCTAAAGATAGAGCATTTCATTCAATGCCCAGCGCCATCTATATAGTTTCAAACAGCAATATATCAATAGCAGAGTATTTTTCTTGTAAGTTTTTAATTCATTCGATATTGTATAGCACGAAACAAGGCATTCCTTCCATGTATAACTCAAAAGAGATCAAATTAGATTTTATTGGCTCTGGTGAGCCATCTGCAAAGTAATGATGGCCACTATTGCACCAAAATTTTGCGGCTTTCAACCAGTATTAAATTTTGTTGTTCTGTACGTTCTATTGATTGAATTTTTGTTCTATTTCTCTCGAGAAATGAACCGTTCTCTTCTAATAGATATTCCATTATTTTCCTTTATTATGTTCTAATTAATTTTTTCGGAAAAATTCATTTCGAGTGAGTTCCATTTGAAAAACATCGTTTCTACGAGTTCTCTACTAGTTTCTCCTTGGAAAATATTCGGAAACGTTCATTTCATTCCTCTTTTTCCTTTCCTTTTGGTTTTGATTTGTTCCAACTAGCATACGTAAACACATTTTGCGTGAAAAGAAAACCTCTTTCTTCTCGCCCAATCCACAGAAACAAATAAAATCATCACAAATTTATCTGCAACAACAGTTCATCATTGTGTAGACGTACTTACCATACAGATGACTCTGTTTTCCATAATATTAACTTATTTGGCTCTATTCCGTCTCATGTTGATTGACTGATTGATTGGCAATGAGAGAAAAAGAGTCATAATCACTGATGAATATATATTTTATTATTGCTTTCCTCTCTTTTCTCTTCCTGTAAGACTCGTTGATCAATGGGATCATCTTTTTTCTTCTCTTTTTTCATCTGTTCTTCTTCCACTCAACGCCATTCGACATCGTCAGAGATTATCTGAGCCCTACATCCCCGTTTATTGAATGGCGAATGAACGCTTGTCTGTTCGTTCTTTTCTTTCACTATTTGTTCACATTACATACCATCATCACTGCTGCTGCTGCTGTTGTTCTTACTTGTCTGACCTCGCCTTGACTGATATTGGATATTTACATATATTTAGAATCACAGTAATTCTAGTGGCCTGTCTATTCTTCAACTCATTCTTCACATGGTCTAATCCTTTGTTTTATTGTATCTTTACATTGCGGCAAAGAATATGACTATGAAACATCATCGTACGTGAAAAAAAAATCGATTTCCCTTGCGAGGATCTCTTCTCCTTCTCTTTCCCTTTCTCTTGTCGGCTCGACATCGTCATAGAGTACCGGACCATCTATCACTTACGGCAATAGTTATTTGTAGTTTTTTTTTCTCTTCTCCTTCTCCTTCTATTTCTTCTACTTCTCTTTGCTTGCTTTGTGTCACACATGTAACCAAATACTAAATATATATATTTCTTGCAGATAGAAACGAACTGTATATCAAAGAGATGGTAATCTGTGGCACGAATCTCTTTTCATCGTTATTACCTTATGTTCACGTTCTTTCATCATCAACATCAACATACTGTAGTCAATGTTTGAATCAATCGAATGATTTAAAACGCTGCTCACAATGTCGTCAAGTATTCTACTGTTCAGTATCATGTCAACGACAAGATTGGATCTATCATAGGCACGAATGTGCACATTTACCTACCCTTACCGATGAACACGATTTAACACGTTTATTCTTACGTTTGATTATTCGTTATAGAAACGATCATGGAATAGACAATCCTCCAACAAAACGTCAGCTGAATGATCTTCAAACTCATGAAAACGAAATTCGCCATGATCGACGACGTTACACAACATTTCAATCGATTTATCAACGATTAAAACAATGGAATATCGTTGATGATTTCGATGAAAATTTAATCTTTCAACATTTCTGTCGTTTAGTTATCAATACATTGACCATTCACGATCCAATCGATCTCAAATCTATCGGTTACGGTTTATATTTCGATGCAACAATCTACAATCATTCCTGTTTTCCAACTTGTCATACTATATTCAATGGCAAGTACCTCTCAGTCCGAACAATCGCGAGCGAATCAGTAGACGGCTGGACAATCAATTATATCGATTTATTAGAAACGTATAAGAATCGACAAGAATTTCTACGAGAAAACTACTATTTCAATTGTCAATGTAAACGTTGTTTGAAAAACGATCCCAACGAATTGTTCCTACTGGAAAAAATTCACTACAACGAACAACAAATGGATAAATCAATTAGTAACACAGATTATCCCGCTGCATATCAATCCAGTAAGAATTTATGCCAATATTATGATCAACTATTACCCTATTATCACGCATATGTATCATTACATCATGTTAAACATTTAAAATTAGAATTATTACTAGCCGAGACCATCTCGCATCTAATTATTCAATCAACAATGGAAACTACTTGTCAAAGAGTACAGATATCGATGGGTGGGGATCATCCATTGACACGAGAAGCGATGAGAATCTGCGAGGAATATCGTCTAGAAATGACAATTAAACAGACACAAATAACTTCATAAGAACTAGAATAAAAAAAAAGCACGACACTCAAGACTGTTTTATATTTTAGATAATTTATCAAATTGAAATCTTAATCCGACGGTAATGTTCTTTGCTATATAGTGCAGATGTAATCGGATCGGTCGACGTGTTATGTCAATTATGTTTGATACAAGCAAGTAATGTTATTCTTTTGCATCATGAAAGTAAGAACATATGCTTATCGATTAGGAAAACTTGATATTTACATTCGATTAACGAGAAAATAAAGTGAAGTGCCGGTTTTATTAAATGATTTTTCAAGGGGTTACACAGCTTAGAGGTGTAAAGAATGAACGATAGTACATGTTGTTTGACTTGGGTACTATTCGGATAATAAATATTCTTTGGGATTCGAGCGCTTTTCGAAAGGAATGATGAAGTACATGCTTTGCTTTCTGATGAACTTTTCGATCGAAGAGCAGAAGAAAATAAAGAACTCTTTTGTTCATTCTTATCAATATTCATGTCAGAAGTTAAGCCGAGTGAAAAAAGACTTATCAATAAATATTCTTACCTAATGATTGTATTCGTAACGATAATAACCATTAGTATGTTCAATCTAGCTGAATTGTATAGACTTGATTAATATATTTCAAGGTTGATGTCATAGACAATATTAATCAAAACGATCTATTGTTATACAGAAAAGTCATAGGAGACATACTTTTGAGAAGAGCTCTCTTTTTGTGTTTTGCAGGTAGATAATAATACTGTTGATGTTAGTACTTCGTCAATGCGAAAGAGCAGCTCTTGTTTGTTAGTTGAACGTAATTATTACACTTGTATAAAAATCTATTGAGTTCAAAGTTGCCTTTTGGAATTTCCCATGAGCCTTGAAGGAGAAGGGAAAGCTCGAATAATATTTGCATTCATTTTCCAAATCTCCGAAGACGTGTATCATATCGATTACATAAATAATACAGAAACCTTTTGAACTGAAATGTTTTTCGTTCAGTACGCATGTGTGTGTATCATTTGTGTTCTGCATCGTAGTAATTATGAATGTGTATGTTACTCTTTAATTGGGCATTTGGTTCCAATGTCACTCGGAAGTGTTTAGAATGGGAAAAAAGAACATCAGGAAACGAATATTTTCATATGAAACACAATGAAACTAGTTAACACAGAACAAAAAAAATTGTTCGCAATGAAAATTGTCGTTTTCTCTATTATTTCAGATAGAAAGTTTTCTTTGGATAAAATGCCAACAGTAACGAATGGAACACGTGTAGAATCTCCTGTCAAAACTCAATCACAACATGCCAATGATGATGATGCTAATGATGATGAATATCGTCGTGAAGTAGATCGACCAGCTGATGTTAAAGAAGATATGCGTCAGATGGGACAACGACAACGTGTTACTATGATATTGAATTCCAATGAATTTCGTCATGAATTAGAAGCAATTATAACAGACGCATTAAAACATGGCCCACATCCAGCATCATTAATTGCTTTGCAGCAAATTTCGGAACTATTATTACCACACACATCACGATGGACAACAGTATCGTCGTTATCACGTTCTGGCGGTTCAGTGATTGTTCCGATCAATGATATTCGCGGTGTTGATTCGAGTGGTTATTCCAAAAGCGAACGTTTACTTCGATGTAAAGTCGCATCGCTCTATCGACTCGTCGATCTGTTCGGATGGTCACAAGGCATTTATAATCATATTACGGTTCGTCTTCAGTCGATAATCGACAACAACTAATAACATCTTATTTAATCTTTCAGGTACGTGTTAACCAAGAGCAAGAGCATTTTCTGATCAATCCATTTGGTCTGATGTATCACGAAATAACAGGTTCAAGTTTAGTTAAAGTTGACATTACCGGTGAGAACAAGTAAAACAAGTCTGATTGAAACATTTTTCTTTTTCTTTCTTGCATACAGGTAATATTGTTGATCCGGGCAGCACAACCTATGGAATCAATCGTGCTGGTTTTACACTTCATTCAGCAATTCATAAAGCTCGACCGGATATTAAATGTATCGTGCACTTGTACACGCCGGCAGTTGCTGCTGTATCAGCAATGAAATGTGGCTTGTTACCACTATCTCAAGATGCATTATTTTGCGGAAAAATATCTTATCATGATTATCGAGGTGTTCTAATCGAAGACGATGTGAAAAAACTCTTGGTCGAAGATTTAGGCCCCATCAACAAAGTTATGATCTTACGTAATCATGGATTTGTTGCATGTGGTGAAACGATTGAAGAGGCATGGAAATATGCATTTAATGTGATAAATGCTTGTGAAGTACAAGTACGTGCAGCACCGATTGGTATTGATCAATTGTATTTACCATCGAGTGAACAACAGAAACGAGTAAGAAGAAAAATTATCAATATTTGCTCGTTTCACTCTTTTTGTATGCCGAACACACGAACATTATTCTTCTAGATTGCTGATGTCTTACAAGGAAATGTCAATGAAGCCACAGAAGATCGCAAATGGAAAATAGGTGAAATGGAATTCGAAAGTTTGATGCGCATTTTGGATAATGCTGGCTTTCGAACGGGTTATGTTTATCGGCAACCATTAATACGTACGTTGGACAAAACCGCAACGTTCAAAGACATTGAAGTACCACCAGCTGCTTCATCAGCAACCGCTTTTGTCGATGGAGGACAAACACATCCCGAGGCATAGTAAGTCATTTAATGTCGATTGTGATTCTTTCTTTACGAAAAAAAAAATCTTGTTTATTTTAGTTCACCATCACGGCAAGCTCAACGCACAACTGAATGGTGCAATTCACCGAATGCATATTTAAAGCAAGAAATCGAAGAGACAGGAACACCAAATCCAAAGAAAGTGACAAAAGTAAGATTTCCATAGAAACAGTCATTCGTTTTTTTTTCCTTACGAAAATCTAACTTCCAGTTTATACGATGTCCATGACATTTAACCGTTTCTATTCGAATAATGATTAGCAACAGCTGTATTCTTCCAACTTGACCTTTGATTCATAATAGAGAAATCGAAATTAACATAACAGTTTTCCTGATCGATGATAGTATGCAAGGTTTTGTCATGTTCGATCGTTAGTATTAGTATGCATAGCTTTCGAACGTATTAGATTGTTTCATTCAAACGATCCTTGAAAAGAAGTACATCTAGATTAAATCGTTAAATTTCATTTCGATAGAAAAGTAGGACCAGTATTTAAGAGCTTCACTCCTAAGTGATTTTAATAAACATGTAAACTGACGAAACTTATGTTGGATAATGTCTAATAACATAAGTGTGTTCGATAACGACTTTGTCATGTCCAGAATGGGGAACAGGACGATTGGAGAGTAAAAAATGACCGCTAGCCTATTATGTATTCTGACCGATGACGTAATACTTCAACTAAAAAAAGACTGAAGTGTAGTCAGGTTATAGAGTGCTTCGGTAATTCATCTAATTAATTAAAATTTCTTTTTTTTTGCTACAGTGGGTACCAGATACCGGTTCCAAACATTCAACACCAATTAAAATCGATACCAAACATCAATTTGCGCCGAGCAATGTAGATCCAAAGGAACTTAAAACTCATCAGAAGCAGATAAAAGAAGACCGGTTCAATGAAAAGATATCCGCCGGGTATCAGTCGAAAATTCTCGAAAATGCCGGTTGGGAAGATGTAACACAAATGAAAGTAAGAGCATCAGCCTGTAGATTTAAAAGTCCTCACTGATTATCTCACTTAGGATCCACATCAGACGTCCGCTGAGCCTGTCGTTGTCGTTGGAGCTGCATCCAAAGGTATTATAAAACGTGATCAACAGAATAATGCTGTCGTTTACAAATCCTATTATGCTCAAAATCCATTTGCACACATGGATAATGAAGAGCTCGAAAAATACAAGCGTGAAGTTGAACAAAATCAAATTCGTGAGCAAGGTAAGCTTACCGCTTGTTTCTGCTTACCGAATTTATTCTTGTCTTCGTTCAGCATTGAAAAGAAATCTTCTACTCGATGACATTCGAAAGGGTATAAAGTTAACACTAAAAGAGCTTATTTCTGATACTTGAGAAATTTACATATAGGAAGCAAAAGCTTAGTCCATGTGACTAAAGAGGGTGTGTGTAAAGATTTATGATGAAATAAAATCAAGCATGGTTTTCTTTCATTCCTTGCTTAAATAATAAGGATAATGGGTCAATATCTTTTTCTTTTGTTTTCATCAACATTGTACCTGCATCCAGAGCACTTTACAGCTCAGTCCCTTCTATAAACACATACGAATGATTCTTTTTCTTTTCAAAATCAATCAAATTGTTACTTGGTTCTATTTTAGGAGGGGATTCGCACTATGACAATCAAGTTGATAGTCATCATACAAGTGGCACTGGCCGAGGTAAGTGAAAACTCTAGCCGACAGTCGGTACGATAACCGTTTCTCTTTCTCTCGACTCATTCGTTCGTTCGTTCGTTTGAATTTGATCATTCATCCCAGTTCTAAATCGTGCATATCAACCAGACATATAGACTGGTGCTTTCGAAAAAAAACTCTTCCGATCATGATCACACATTCTCTCGGCTATGTATTGGGCCAGTTATAATTTCATGTCTGTTGTTGTTCTTCTGCCGTTTTTTTTTCTACGTTTTTTTCTCTCGCATTCTTCTTCTTCAACTCTTGAGCGTTTGTGTTCGCTCGAGAAAAAAGTGTCATTCTGTGTTTGACCGCCATCTGCTGCATTATGTCCAACTTGTCGCCTGATTCATTTGTATTATACAATTTCGGGTGAAGTTATACAATGATATCGCAAAATTAAGTCAATTAATAAAAACAAAGAAATCAACTCGAATACACGCACAAGGAAAGGTAAGACACATATCTCACACTCTTCCGTTTATTACAGGGTGTAAAAGGAATCTTTGGTCATTGCATCGAAAGAAAAAAAGATAATGATAATAATGATTTTTGCACAAAGAAAAAAATGTCAAGTATTGCACGAATAGACGTAAATTGAAACTCTCCCTTTCATTCTTCACTTTAATATGACCGAACATACATATACACGCATGAGATTTACTACTATTTACTTTACTACACGCGCTCGCAAGAAGGAAGAATGAATAGTTGGCCTGTTACTTGAAGGTTTCATTTTCTTCGTTTCAATTCTAATGATAGTCACCGAAAAAGTGAATCTTTAACTAATGTTATGTTTAAATCATCTTATTACTCTGTATAAACAGTAAGAAATCTTACAAGTTTAATTGACTTTTTTTCGTCCTCTTAGCGTATGAGTTTTCTATTGAGCCAATGTTTTCCTATTATTGATCAATCAATGAAGCAAAGCATATTTTGTTCTCTTCCTCTTTATATAACTAATTCAATGGTGCGTAGTTTTTTTTTTGACACTGCTTGGTGCTGCAAATATTATTGGTGTGTGGTGCCCCTCACTTTAGTGAAAAAAAAATCACAATTATAATGTTTACTCGCTCCCTTTACTCATTTTGACATGATGCAGCGATGACTAACGATGCCGGTATTTCTTTTTGCTTTTTTCTCTTTCTTCCTGAGACATTACGTCGAGGAGAAAGAGAATTGAGTGAACTAATCTCGTCAATGTTCGTTGAGTTAGTTGAAGTTGAAGTAAAAGAACGACGAAAGAAAAAGAACGAACCTATTGGGGTAAATATAAAAGTGAAAAAAAACAGAAAAATTCGTCGTCATATTTCGAATAGAAGAAGAGAAGAAGAAGAAGAAGAAGAAATACGAAGAGAGCAAAAGTGCATGCATACATTTTGACCAAAAGTATGAGATGATGATGATTGAAATAGGCATGCATATGTTGTGAAAAAGTTCAAGGCTATTAAAGAGTGTAAAAATGAAGGTATTGTGACATTGTTTATATTTTTTAACTAAAAAAACAGAATAATAATAAAACATGAAATGAAAACTTTATTTACGTATCGTTTTCTTTCTCTTCCTTCAGTTTGAATGCATCCGCAACAACCACTGCCTGGTCGTCGTTCAAAAAGAACAGTACAGCGTCCGGAACAACTAAATACGTTCTCAGGTGATTCCAGTGATTCGTCCGCTTCCCCACACGTTACTTCCGACTCTCGTGAAACGGGTGGCAACACGTTGCCACCGCGCATTGTTTCATCGGCATCAATAACTTTGATGAACCCTGATCAGTCAACGACTGCTACACAAACTACGCAAGAAAATCCAACGAATCTATCTTTTCAATCGAAATCCGTTCCTTCCTTTGCCGAAACTCAACTCCTGTCGATCTATTATCCTAATCGTACTAATCCAGAACAGTCTACTGTAAATACAAATCAGGATAATCGCGTATTTGTTGAACAACAAGATCGGCAACCAATACGCTTTCGTGCTACATACGATCCATCTGCATCAGTTAAATTCACTCAAACCTCACATCCAGTATCATTAAGTCAGTTATCAACACACGGTTCAACTTTAGTTGTTGGCAATAATCAACAAACAACTAATTCCGAGAATCTCGTTTACGAACAACGTTTGAAGATCCATTCGGGTAGTCAGCGTTTAGCTAATAATCCATCGTCATTAGTTGACACTGACGAACTTCTCCCACCAAACGAACTTGTCGAAGAATCGCGATATTCATACGAAGAGTATATTATACACGTCGATAATAATCAAGAACAAGCGAAACAAATCTCTTCGTCCTCTCCAACGAGTACATCGTCGGCAACCACAATCATTGCTCAATCATCGCCTTCACAACAACCGGTGCTACCACCGTCAGCACCACCACAAGTGCTACCACGTCCTAAAACTTCTCAAACTATGCTTCATCCTGATGATTTAGATTCTGATCGAACATCACGCCTGAGTGGTGACGAAATAAATACACATTCAACAGTCAGCAGTATGTCTGGTTCATTCACTAATCAAGACTGGGCAGCAACTACAAATACACCTTCCAGATCAGGTCATGAAGCACCGCTTGTGAATCCTCGTCAGTCGATTACCACACACACAACAGAAGAAACAACACGAATATCTAGTTGGCCACCCGTTCCATATGATATACAAACAGGTGACGGCCATCTAGAAACTTCCTTCATTTTGGATGATAGTGACGATCAGCGACGTCCGTCACGTGTTCAATTCGCCGAAGAATTAGTTCGTGTCATACCACCGTCAGCAACAAATAGTCTTAGCGAAGAGTATACTTCATCAGAAGCACGCTCATCATCACTTTCAAACAATATTGCACCCGCTATTGTACCTCGGACAAGCACGACTCGCAGGCTATCATATGAACAAGCTGAACAACAGACGAATGTTGACACAGAAGAGGATGATTCAGTGGTGACAACAACTACATCTAGTAGTAAAGGGCCAGTAGTGGGTCGTTTACAACGGGCAAGTGGATTGGCCAATCTGAACGAAGAAACGATGTCTCGACCAACAAATGCACCACCGCCCCCTCCTCCTCCTCCTCCTTCTCATTCTGCTCCTCCTTCGTCTTCTCAACCGCCCTCTCAAACAACATCTACTGCAGGCGTTGATCCTCGTCTTGTTCGTGAACAATTACAAAGACTAGACTATCAGCTCGTTGTTGACACTCGTCCTCCAATAAATCAATCAAAATGGGTTAAAGACCACATGGATACTTCTGATGTTCAATCAACAACAACATCTGGTCGTGTAGGCGCACTTCGTTCATTGTTTGAACAACAAAGTGGCCGTTCATCCGATTCATCAACATTAAATAGTCCAACTGGACAAAATAAACGTACAGAACCCGAAGAGAGACCTTCGAGACATGGTGATGAAATACGCTTTCGTATTAAACAACCCAAAACACCGTCCGTACAACAGGCTGAACCTGTCAAAGCTGCTCCACGAACAAAACAACCAACCGCAGATACGTCAAATGTTGCTCCAATGACATGGGAAGATCTTGTTGGTGCACAAGAAGAAGAACGTCAACAACAAAAACAGTCACATTCACAAGGGTCTTCATCCTCTCTCGATGTTGACGAAATTCAACAGATTATTGGTAAACGGATTAAGTCTGTCAATGATATTGGATACTATTCATCGGTAAGATATACATTTCTTTGTTAATCGAACAGGCTCCGTTAAAATAACCTGTACTCGTTTTCTCCTTCTAGGATGGTCGCACATGGAAATGGGATGATACATTCTGGTTTGGTCTAACAGCGACACAACGCGATCAATTGCATCGTCTTCAACAGCATTCACGTTCACGACAAGATAGTGGCGATACGCAAATTAACGAATACAGCGATCGTTCAGCGTATCAAGGTGATTCAGAAGATAATACTCCTCGCAACATTTCGCACGATCGACGAGTGCGTCCACGAACTTCATCTCAGGATCTCACCATATCGTCGTCTGGTAATCGAACACCGACCGAGGAAATCAAACGTTTCAATCCAACAGAAAATGATCCTGGTTCGACAGTCAGTATTACTGGTGCTGGAGCATGGCAACAACAAAGGCAACCACCTACTGTGTCCACTGGCATTGGCAGATATACCGAAACAAGCACTGTTCACGAGAGTCAACCATCTGTTAGTGTTTTCGGTTCGACACCAACAGCCACATATACACGAGTTGGTTCACAAGAATCACTTGCTTCATCCACTGCCCAACAACGACCTGAACAGCCACAATCACTTACGCCACAGTCACAGCAGCAGCAGCAGCCACAACAACAGTACCAACCTATTGTAACCAAGCGAACTGACAGTCAGATGACCGTTATCGAATCAGGTTACAGTTCTGCTGATGAACCTCAACAGCAACAACAAAGAACACAACAATTTCGGCCAAATTCAAGTACTATCATCGAAGAACCGTCAGTTCCTCATCATCCTGATACATCGAGCGGAGTTGCTGGCTTAATTGCCGTTGCTGGTTCAATTCTCGTTCCATCCAATGATGTTCAGTTACAAGAACAACCTATCTACGAAAATCTTCGTCCTGGAGCACGAGAACAAATGAACGAACCTGAACTGGATCCATTAAGTTATGAACAGTTTATTTACGATTATTTCTCATCGAATGCACGACGCTTACGTAGTGATGATGGCACATTGATTCTTCTCATCGATGGTCAACAAATTCAAATGTCACATATACGTTTACCATCCAACGATCATATAACTCTAGCACAAAATGTTTATCTTGATGCAATCGATGAATATCCCCCACCATTCGAAACCGAATCTGATCAATTGATCATATTCGTACACGGAGAACCTATTGTCATTCCCGCAGACAAATGGTTAGTTTATAAGAAGAAATACCAAAAGGCACAATGGGTTGAACATCTCGATCAAGTGAATCGTCGTATACCAGCACAATTAATTGCTGTGATTGAAGACTGGCTTGTTGGTCATACAACATTTGATTTAAACCGACAGGATATGAATGTTGACGGTGTTAGTATTCCATTGATTGGCAGATTAGGCTCACGTATACTTGATCTTTACCAAGTTCGTCAACTTCAATCAAATCAGAACTATTTCTGGACTGAAATCTTAAAATATCTAATTCGTACGGGTCATGTTTCGTTTGATGGCAATGAACAAATTATTCGTGTTGCGAATAGTGAATTAGATGTTCGTCGTATATTAACTGTTCAAACATCTCCATCACCAGAATTAATCGCACGTTTAGCCAAACTACTTCGCTCGTTGAACGACATACACTTTGACAGTAAAACAGGCGCATTAATATTAGATGGAACGTTTCTTGTTCCAAGCGAAGACGTTCACGAACTGTTCCTCAAACATCAACAAGGTCAAACATTAAATGCTGACGGATTAGCTACTCTACTATTACATATCTGTGCCTATGAAGAAGGACAAGATGGTCAATCATTAATATTAACATTAGATGATCAAGTATTACAATTAACACCAGCATCCGGTACCGAAGATCAACCAATACAACACAGAGAAGACGAAGAGGATGATAGTCAAGCGGATATGAGTGTTCTACAATGGTTATCCGACAATGCACAATGGTCAAGTGATCAAGGTCAAACATTTCTAATACGTTATCGTACGATGCCTAATTATTTAGTACGTATCGGTGGTGACGATGGGTTACGTCTATCGAATCTTTTACATCAACAAGCTTTAGAATTAAATGATATATTACATTGGCATGAAAATCATGTCCAAATAGATCGAACTGGAAATTCTTTACGTATGATAATAAAACCAAATAATAACATTGAGATTGTCAATTTACCTTTGGAAGAGAATGAAAAAAAACGAGCAAAAGTAAATGAAGAGAAGAAAAGAGCGACCAATCAAAAAGCAAGAAATATGTTTGAAGACGAAGAAAAAAATTTGGTTTTTTTTGTTCCCTTTCGCCAACAAACTCCAAGTGACAACGATGAAGTACAAGAAGAAGAAGAAGGAAAAGAAGAAGAAGAAGTAGAAAAAGAAGTAGAAAGAGAAAAAGAAAAAGAAAATCATAACCAACATTCTACCTCTCCTTCACTCGAACGAGAAGAACAGAAAAAAATAAAAACCAACGACGACAACGACGGTAGAGAACGGGTATTACTCCTTGAAAGTATTGCTTCACTGTTGCACTTTGTCAATGCAAATGGTAGTAATGTTGGCACGCTCGAACTCATTCAAGGTCGCCGCTTAAGGCTTTCGTTAACTGACAATTCTCCATTTTCACAACAACAACAACAACTCGAATTTAATGAAGATGATACGCGTATTCTCTGTGAAGATCTCGATCTAGATATTGAAACTTGCACTCAACATTTAGTCGATCATATATTTGATAAAATTGAATTTGATAACGACAAGCAATTGATTACTATTCATTATCGTGGACAGATGTTAAAATTAAAGAATTTGAAACAGAAACTATTTCAACCGACGGCGAAAAAACTTCGATTAACATCAAACAAAAACGCCGAACGAACTCCTCTTACCGAAGACGAAGTCAATCATTTATCCCAATGGCTCGATCAATTAAATCGAGAAAAATCCATAACTATCACCGAACAAAACGACATTGTTATTTTCCCTAGAGGCGAAGATGACCAAGAACAGCAAATCTTTATTAACCATGAGGATGTCGACGCTTACATGGAAAATAAAATTAACTCGTCCAAACCATCGGACAATCCAGAAGTTATCGGTATGAATGATATCGCCCGAATCTTGCTTTTATACAATTATGTTCAATATTCTGATGGTCAAATAATATTCGGTAAACAACGAATCGCTTTAGATCAATCGGAACTATTATGGTTACGATCCATTATACAAGGAGTTCGAAGTGATGGAGAAAACCGCGAAACTGAAATCGATCTATTCGATGGAGAACATACACAGATTATTCATATTCCATATGAGCACATGCCACCAACCAATGACCCACGTCTGGTTGCCGATTACCTATTCCGTAATGGACATGTCCGATATGATGCCGATACAGGTAGTTATGCTTATCGTTATGTCCAACCTGACATACCCTTGGATGACGAGATCGATACGACTGAACGTGTTGGTCAACGTCAAGTTCTGTCCTCACATATACGTCATATACACGTTGATGAGGAGAATGAACGTGTTGAATTAGAATTCCTTCATGACCCTAATCATCGATTAGAATTACCATCACGCTGGTATCGTCAAGCAGCCAGTCACGGTTTTGATCGTGGTTACATCATTGATATGCTGCTTGCTAATGGTGGTCTTATTGAACAGGACACATTCGTTTTCAATGGCCGTACATATTCACTACAAGTTCCACGAATCGCATCAACAACACTAGCAACAGATTTACCAACGGTAAAGTTGTCCAATAAACAAAAGCAAGAATTGATCGAACAATACGTGGAAACCATCAGCAAACAGGATGGAATAAAACATGATAATACAAATAATTTACTCCTACTAGAAAATCAATCCGATGGTTCACAACTGTATTTTACACCCGAACATAGTGACTATATTCATCAAAATAAATATCGACGACAAGATGTGACACGTTTATTATTCAAACATGGTCAAATCAAACAAGATGAATTTGGTAATTGGTTATTATATTACAATGATCAATACGTTCAATTTCCTGCTTCGATTATTCCAGCCACAACAACAACGACAACAACAACACCATCCTCGTCACAAAATATGTCCAACGTCATACGTTCACTAGGCCAACGCTTTACTCGTCATCGTACAAACACAGGCAACGATGAAACTGACGAACAATTCCGTACTCGTCTAGCACAAGAAACTCAAGCTGAATTTATCGAACGTTATCACGGCACCATCGAATACATGTATCGTCATGGTTTAATTACATGCAATCGTCGTTTGAAACTAGTTCAAATACATTTTTCGAATCAAACATTAACCATTCCACTCGATCAATTACGCGCAATTGTTGATACACGAATCTTGAACTCCACATCCGAGAACGTCCTCCCATTCCAAAGTCGTCAACTATCACAATGGCTATTGAATCATTCCGAAACTATCAGTAATACACGCGAAGGTTATATTCGCTTAGTACATAAAGGTAAAACGTATGATATTCCATTTATTAATCCAAACACTCGACCAGCAGCAAATCAATCGGCATTGTCACCGCTAGTTAAACGTTTTGGTTTAACAACACGAACTGTCACATTATTATCGAAAATCGATTTAACCACAGCAGAAAACCAAATCCGTTGTGCAAATCATTTATTAGAAAAACTTGATCAATTTGGCTCGATTAATATCGATAATGAAACGCGTCGATTAGTTCTGTCAATGACACCAGACAATACCCAACAATTAATCATACAGAATCCTGTTTTACCTGTAACAAAACAAAGTCTAGCTGATTATTTAGTTAATCACGGTCGTTTTACATTGAACGCTGATCGAACGGATATTGAATATCGTCATTTCGATGACGGAAGAATCTATCGATTCAACAATTATATTCGTGATTGGGACGAAGCACTCGGCGAAACTACTGAACAACGTGTCATACGTATTCTAGGAGAAATTTTATCTTTGAATGGTCGATTCTTACAGCGTGCTGATCGACAAATCATCATATCGTTAAGAAATGGCGAACGTTTCATTATCCCCAGCGATGTTGGTTCGGAATTACGCGGTCCCGTCAACGGACAAACAATTGCTGAATTGCTCGTCAAGTTCGCTGATGATATCTACGAAGAGGAAGATGGAAAATATTTAGTTATTGTCCTTGCTGATCAAACATTACGTTTACCACAACAAAAACAGTTAATGTCGTCCAAAGTGACAACTTCATCAACTACAGGACCTTCCAAATCACCTGTTGATCCGAAATTGAAATTACTTTTTCCATTCAATAAATCGTTGAGAGACATACAAAAAACATCGTCAACATCAACATTGAATGTGCAACCACCCGATGCATCGAACGGTTATGCAATCGATCCATTACTCATGCTTGCTAATTACATTTATCGCGCTGGTTCGATCTACCAGGATGATTTCCGTCGTTTAGTTATCAAATTGAATGAAGATGAAATTGTTGTACCACGCATTGAAGCCATTAATGCCATCGAAACTATCAATACTTCACCACATCGTACGGGCACCATCGTCGCACGTTTAATTGATCGTATTGGTAAAGTTCAATCGAATAGAGCAGGTGGTTTGATCATTACGATTGGTCGAAGTTCATTTGAATTATCCAAAGAATTAATCGATCGTGCCAATCAGTTACATCGTGAAACAATCGATGTTGATAATGAAATACCTATTCAAAATCAAGACAGTGTGCAAACTGGTCTGAATGGTTCGATGACCGTTACTGGACGTAATACACGTCAACCTGGTGGACCAGCAATTCTGCCCTTGTTACGCCAATCGAAATCAGTTGGAAGTTTATCTACATCAACCATAGGTCATCCGTGGTTTACTGATGACCAGCAGGTGCTCTACTCGAAAGATGGCCGCGGCGATGCCCGATATTTAAACTTAGATAATTTCCCATTAGCATGGCAAAAGGAAGGTCATCCTCATGGAGTTAATTGCGAAGTTCATGCTCTTCGTAATGTTGCACCTTATCTAGATGTCTTAGGTTATGTGGAAAATGACCAAAAGAAAGGTGTGACAATCAATGAATTAACACGCATACATCCTGAAATGTTAACTCGTGCTAAATTGAATGATAATCCATATTTAACGAAATTAGAAAATGATCGTGCACAAGTGCAAACGACTCTGTGTCCAAAACCACGTATATTAGTCATACCGGATGATGAAACTATGCTGTCGTCCGATCGTAAAACACGTTTCTACGTTCAATACATGTACGAAAACGATGCTGTTCTCGGCGCTGATCCCGCCTATGTGATGATGTTACCCAGTCGTTATCCTGTGCGACCTACACGACCACAATTAATTGCACCACATCATTATCGAGATATAACCTTACGTGAAGCGCCTGTTTGCGTGCACAAAAAAGGCGAAGGTGATGTGTATTTCGAAAATCTTGCTCAGTATCTTTCTTCTGAACATCCCGATGTTTCACCGCGCACTGTTCGTCGTATGTTAAAACTCGACAAGCGAGACGAATATTTAGAATACCTAAGTAATAAAATGCCGGCAGATGTTGCTCAGCGACTTCTTGNAAATTAATTTAAATGAAATATAGGAGTAGCTTGAATTCGACGATATCTACACATGACTTGTAGATTAGGGAAAAACTTTCTCTCTCAAGGTGGTATCTAAATGTCAGAAAGATAATGAATGTTGGTTATGTAAGAGGAAATCAGTAGAGCACTTCATCAATGTCCGATTTGTTCATGTTTCAATTATCTTTCTACAAGACAAGTTCTTTTGTTTTTACGGTCGAGTTTTTTTACGATTAATCAAAGTATCTCATCTATCGAAAGATTAGTGACAAAAATGCAAGATGTCAAATCATAGTTCTGATGACAAAGAATAACAAATAAAAATGCACAACAACACGAGCACTTCAATGAACACTGCAAAAGTGAATTCCAACCTTGTTTGATTCTCTTCAATCTCAGCTGCATAGATTTTGACAGCGTCGTTTGTTTTTAACAGCTGTGGTTATAATTCGAAGAAGATCTTGGTAATTGCTCACATCGTCAAGATTGGAATTTGGATGCTCTTGGGTGTATATCAAATATCCGCATCTAGAGAGAAAGAAGATTTATGGGGAAATATTCGAAAAACGACAAGATGAATGCTTCAATTAACCTTCCGAAAACATAATTATTTAAGGTTTCACCATGTTGACGATGCAATCGTTGAACAAGACGATCCTGAGGGTTGTCTTGAAAGAGTTGAATTTTACCAAATTTATTTCCACTGAAATACTGAGCTGCATCTTGTTCATTGATAAGCATCAAACGAACAACAGAATCACGGATATGCTGACGTTCTAGTTCACGATATAAATCCAGAAATCTATCGAATAATCGTATGAATATGTTTGAAATCGGTCGTCTCATTACCTATTCGCTTGTGTACGAGACGATGGATTATTGAAATTAACAACACTTAATATTAATAATTGTTTACGATGGCCAGTAATTAAATTCGTACCATTGATAACTAAATTATGTATACAGAGCTTTTTCTTGTCACGTTGCGCAGCTATTGAAATAATTAATAAAATTAAGACAAATAGAATCTTTCGTGTATACATTAGTAATGACTCAATAACTTTCTCTACTGCACTACTCGTATGTGGAGAAATTGTATATTGATTGTCGATATCTTCTCGATTTTTCTTCTTGGCTTGTTTTATAAATATCACCGAAATGACATCTTGATGACAGCTGACATTTTTCTTCGTTATAGCTACAAATTCTATAGATCAAATGCTCATTCCGTTGCCTTGACAATGATTACATATCATCGAGGGATTCTCCTCTTGCAACATTAACCTAGTTTTCAGTCTCTTTCAACTTGACTACGGTTCTAAATTGAACATGCAAGAAAGAATATGAAGATAATGGACAATGGAATCACTCATTTCAATGTCTAATAAAATCTATCGAAAAAAGAGGATGAAGAAAAGTAATGCGTGACATTGTCTGTCCTATCGGTCAGTGATCGACATGCAGGCGTCAATTGAATTTCCTTTCTCCGTCTCAGTTTGAGTCTATTTGTCACATATAGTCATTCTGTCTATCGGTTTTTTTCTCTCTCTCGCTTTTGCTCTCGACGCTGATGCGAGGCCATATGTGTGTGTCTCTCATATACACATTAAAAATACAATCAAAGTCATCATCATCATCATCATCACCCTCATCATCCTTCTTGCCGTTGTCATCATTGGCAGCGTCCATACATCGTTGATATATTTACCCTAAAGCGAGTTCAACTTGAGAGTGACAGAAGAAGAAAAAATGAGGGACACTCTGCATGCACATGATTTACTTCGTATATCATACCATCACGATTTGCCTATTAAGCAAGATTAGACAAGGCCGTTTGCGAAATATCCCTATGTATATTCATTGATTATCAGGTAAAATCGAATGATATTATTTTGACTCTTCTGATCATTGAAAGAATCTCATTCATTGAATCACACTCATTTGTATTTGGGAGAGATAGTCATGGACGAAAACTAATAGTTTGTTTGATTTGATGGGAGTCAATAAGAGTATTATCTAAATTAAATTTGCTCGACAGTAATCAACAGAGAAACAAGGTCGGATTTATCTGAAATCTTCTTTCGTTTTTCTAGAGACATAGCGATGTTAATTTTCCTTGAGGAAGAATCAGAGAACAAGAAAACACGATAAACAGATGCACATAAACGATGGAAGGTCTTCTTCAATCGCTAGAGCGCGAAATAGAACCTCTCTAGTAAATGCAATAATTGATTTTAATTTACTTTAAAAGAAAAAAAGGGTCAATCATGACCGCAAGTCATGAGGACAAAATAGGAAATGGTCGGCGACCTTTTCATTTTTCGCTCATTCGTGTAGTGGTTAATTGGTCTGGCGCTTTGTCATCATTTTCAGTTAAAAGAGTAGCAAGCAGCATAGCGTCGAACTTGACACGCACGTTAATCTTGTTCAACTCATTTTTTTCCTATCCCTCTCGCTAATTTCCTTTTTTCTTTTTCTTTTTTTATATCCCACAAACCACGTACAATGTACGAGTCAATTATACGCAGTAAACTTGTCTCCATGTCTTGTCGGTGTAAATTGGATTTTTTTCGAAACATCGAGCTTTTTCTAATGGATCCTTGGAGGTTTTTCTTTCGGATATATATATTATATAAAAAATGCGTTGTGTAACAGCGTCAATGTACGCACGCATGTTTGTGCATGCACTAAGTCCTAGTGGATGCTAGAAAATGCAAGCTATTCTGATGCATTTTGAGATTGCGCGTCATGCTTGTATACACAATAAATAAATATATATATATATATATTTCCGATTTGTCGGTTTTTCGTCTCTCCCTAGGAAAAGACAATTACCATGGGAATGACAACGCATCCGCCTGCTTGTCTGTCGTGTAATTCCGTTCTAAAGTGACACCTAGTCAAGGTTGATGTGCGCATGCACAAATGATGCTTCCGCTTTATGTTGTCTCCTAACTATTTATAAGTAAATATTAGAACACTTATGAGAAGAATATGTCGATTAATTGGGATGAATCAAGGTTAGCTGCGAAGAGGAGAAATATAAACGTTGATATCTGACACGCCTTTGTGTTCTCTTTCCAACTTTCTTCACTTGGCTTCTTTGTGATGTTTAGTATGGCAGGAAACGATGATGATTAATCACTTTGACAGCAACCGCGATAGTATATGTTGGCGGTAGCTCGATGTTATGTAATGGTCTCATTCTCGTTTCTTTTCGTATCTTTCCTCCGATCTTTTCCCTTTCTCTCACTCTTTTCTTCTTCGTTTTTGCATGTGAATAAAAAATCCTCCTTTTTTTATTACGAGCAGCATCCGTTTTTCTTTTTCTTATCGTTTAGTGCTCGTCGACGAGCGACCGCATGAACATTTCGGTGCCACACATACATATACGTTGAACATTTCTCTCTCTCTCTCTCTCTCTCTCTCGCTTTCTCTTTCCCTTTCTCTCTGTCTAGTTTCTCTTCACATCGACGCGCTCGTGCGCCTGTTTTACACATTCGAGTAAGTATTTATATATATGTATGTACACCCGATACGATTAAAATTGATAGCATATGTACACACGTGTCATTGTTCCCTATCTTGTAAAGTGAAAAGAAGGTAAAGATAAAAGACAAAGGGGACAGAGTGAACTTTTTATTTGAAGTTTCGCATTGATTGGGTGATTCCTGTTGATAATTAGGTATGATACTCATTTTGCCTTGTTCTTCTTCTCTTCTCTAAGCTCCATTTCCGGCTTTATAGTGAAAGTGATTTGTTATTGTTTTATGTGAGAAACGGAAATCATTTTTCTTCGTCTTTGACATGCACGTATATGATAAGAACACATGTGTGTTCTATATCGCTAACGGGCTCCTAAAATGTGTATGATTAGCCTTTTATTTTTTCTGTTCACACCAAATTTAATTGATATCGCTCGTCTAGATTTTGTTTATTTGTCTTATGAACATATATAGACATCTAAACAGCTGGAAAACCAATTCGATCATTTACATAAGAAACCATTTGAAGATGAAACAACAAATAATCATTCTAATGTCTTTAACATGCTTTATTGACATATACGGATGAAATGAAATCTCCAACACATCAGTTAATCTTCCTTGAAGTTTTTTTTTCTCCCTTCCGTGTAACCTTCATCTGTCTGATATCATCAGGTGTAAACATAATTTAGATGTGAACCGATAGAAAACTACCAAGGTCTCCGTCATTCAGACACAGTTGTCATTATCATCGACAGAGATTGATCATTATGTGACATATATACATATCTATACAATCACTTCCAATGACTCTGATCATTAGGAACACCATTTTTGATATATTTATATAGACAGATATATTGACATATAGTGCAAGTAAAGACGTCGAACTATAATTTTCATCTGGTGACATCATCCGTCTTAGAAAGCAACACTTGAGCATATCGATCGAGATTTTATTTTCTGTTTCATTGCACTATGATTACAGTCCTTTGGTGACTAGTGTTACATGTAATATTTGTGTGTATGTGTTTACAGGCGTGACAAATGTCCACTGATCGAAATAGTTATGTTTGTAGCATGTATGTAATAAGAAATCGATGTGTGTTGATAAGTACAATTACGTAGACATACACTTGTACTCCTATAAAATTGTTCGTATGTCCTTCAATCTGAAAAGATGAAGACAAACTACGTGTACATACACGCACATACACATATATAGTTCAAGATCNTCGATTTCTTCATCGGAAATCATCATTACGTATGTTTGTTTCATTTATTTCTATTCGAAAGATTTCTAGATGGATGATTATTAATCGTGAACAATAACTCAGCGTCAAAGACAGATATTTGAACAATGAATATCAGAATTCTGACTTTCTATCTTCTGATTCGTAAGTGATTCTCTTGAATCAAAGGAATATCTTTCATTGATTTCTTTCTTGTTCGTTCATTTAGATTTTTCACAATGTACAAATACTGATAATAAACCTCCAGTTATTATTGAACAGCCACAAGATATTCTTGTCGAATTGGATAAACCCATGGCTTTACACTGTCGAGCAGAAGCATCATCGTTGGATGATCTTCGTGTGAATTGGTACAAAGATGGTCGATTGGTAACAATGGATCCCAATGCACGAATCATCACTGAATTTATGGCATTACATGTTATTAATACAATGCCACAAGACGCTGGCGCATATTATTGTTTTGCTGAAAACGCCTTTGGACGAACTCAGAGTCGCACAGCCCGAGTCAATTTCATTAGTATGTTGTTTATATTCTGAATTTTAATTTAATCAAAGTTGTTTGTAGAACTTGATAAAGACTTTATCGTCTCTCCTGCGTCAACGACTGCAGCGATCGGTGAACGTATTCGTCTTCGCTGTGAACCACCACATGGCTCGCCCAGTCCACTGGTTCACTGGACGAAAGACGGAAAGAATCTTTCCCTTGCACTCGATCATTACGATCTAATACTTCCATCGATTCAATCGACTGATTTCGGCTCCTATCGTTGTGTAGCATCAAATGGCTTGATACGTCAATCATCTGCAGCTCATCTAACTGAATTCTATCGACCGAAAATTTACATACGTCCATCAACATCACGTTTGGATATTCAGCGTGGCAAATCGATCGATCTCCAATGTCAAGTTGAAAGTTTGAATGACGACGATCAATATCAAATCGAATGGCACTACGGCCGAAAAACGGGTCCGATCGTTGGAAGAAACAATCGCATTGACATACCAGCAGTCGATTACAATCACAGCGGATTATACATTTGTCTGGTTATCTACAATAGTGGTCGGCGGCGACATTTATTTTCTGAAGAGATCTTTCTCGCCGTTCATGAACGTTTGACCGTGAACAATGAAGAAAAACTGTTCAGCCAAGCGACAATGAATGTCTATGCTGGCCGATCAGCAGTGATTGAATGTCAATTACCAATGAATATCAATGAAAAAATTTCATGGCACATCATCAACCGTACTGATATCGTCATGGAAAACAATCATCGATTCGAGTTTTTTGATCAAAATCATTATCGAGTGAAAATTCGCCGTATCGAAGAGTTCGATAACGATCTTCTCTTTGAATGTTCTTATAAAAATCAACGACAATTAAGTCAAAGCCTTCTCAGACTACATGTTCAACGTCTTGAACCACCACCGATTCTTTTCTACGTGCCCAACAATCAAACGGTACCGAATGGTGTTGAAGTGACATTTCCATGTCAAACCAAGGACAATCAAAAAGCTCAATGGTGGTTTATACCAACCGGCCGGTCACATAAATCAATTAAAATCGAAAATACTGAAAAGTATAAAATCGAATCAAACTCCGATTTAATTATTCGACTGGCTGAGAAGTATGTATATATATGCATCTGCATATATTTCCTTATGATCTATTCAAATAAGATGAATACCCGAGAGATTCAGTGGAAGCCGTCGTACAGATTTCAGTTACACTTTCTCTGACCTTTTCATCGAGACTAATTTTGTTTGATTCTTCGATATATTACTCATTAGCATACTAGACATGTCTCAAGGATATTCGATGACGAGTCATTCATAATTGTCTGTCACTGATAGCTAATAGTCATTAATTTGATCATTTTAGGAATGATATTGGTACGTACAAATGCATTGTAGTTAATCTCAATAATGATGAGACTAGTTGGAGTGCGTATTTGAATGTGGAAGATCCACGTTCGAATACGATCTTTCAACGTGTTGAGCGAAAAGATCTACCCCAATCACCAACGCAGCCATTGGCAATTGCGATTAATAGTAATTCGATTGAATTAGCATGGAATTATCCATCGAATGATGTTCAAGGTTATTTAATTGAATATTTCAATTTGAACAATGATGAGAAAACGCTCGAGTGGAAACGGATCTATACAACGAATAAGAACTCTCGTCAAGTAATACATAATTTAAAAATGGATTCGGCATATCAATTTCTGATACGTGCACGAAATTCATTCGGTTATGGACAGCCATCATTACTGTCGGAATTGATTGAAACTCGTCATGAACAACAATTAAACGACGACTTCATTCGTTTACTCGATCCGATTAATATTCAAGAGACTAGTGTGACAATACAATGGAATATTCTTCAATCAAATTATCTTGTTGACCGATATTCAATTTCCGTTCGAACTGAGAAAGATATCAGCGAACGTATCGAAACACTTGTTAATAAATATAATGTAACAACATATACAATTACTAATCTGCGTCCAAATACAGATTATACAATTCGTGTACTTGGAATAAATAGTGTAACAAATACAATTAGCCGGCCAAGTAATACGATGATTGTGCGAACATTAGAGAGTATCCCATCATCATCGCCTATCGACGTACAAGTCGAGTTAACATCGAGAACGAGTCTTTCGATTCGATGGAATCCACCGAAAGACACCGAACAAAATGGTCGAATCATGGCTTATAAAGTGAATTGTTTAGGTGCAAATGAATCAAGTTCCATACGTCTATTGAACATCAGTGCCGATGCAAAAGGTCTACATATAAAAAGTCTCATTGAAGATATGCAATACTGTATCAGTGTGGCTGCACGTACAGCTCTTGGTTATGGGCCTTATTCGCAACCAATATGTGTTACGATGAGTAAGACTGATTAAAAAAAGAATAATATCAACAGATCGTTACGGTGTATCGATATGTTTTAGATGAAGATTATCTCAAACTCAATCGTAATTTGAATCGATACAATTTGAAACGTCGCTTTCGTGAAGCAATATCTCAACCATGGTAATACATTGTTCATCCAGAAATGATTTCGTCTATTTGATTCTCCTCATTTTTTTTTCAGGTTTCTACCAATCCTTATTATATCTAGTGTTCTGTTTACTTGTGCTCTGTTGTATACCCTTTGGTTGTGTTTTCATTATATACTACGTCAACGTCGTCATGGATTAAAGTTTGGTGGTTCAAATTCATCTTCGTCCTCGTCGTCATCATCGAATCAATTTGTTGAAATGCCTATACATAAAACATTGAGTAATGGTACACGTTACGATTTAATTAAAGACACGCCACCTCCACAATCATCAGTTGCAGCACTATGGGCTGACACACTGGGCAGTGGAATACGTCTTCAATGCTGTACAACAACTACAGCATCCGCCAGTAGTCAAAATGATCATGAACCTCACTTAATGAATATACATAAAAATCCGATCAATTCACTCTTACAACAATCGAAACAGCAGCAGCAGCAGCAGCAACAACAACAACAACAACAGTTAAATCCATATGCAACGACAGGCATATTTCAACACAATCATTCATCACCGCAAACAGTATCTACGTTATTACCAACTTATGTAAGTACCGATTATACTCACAATAGTTTGAATGGCATTTCGTGATTAATGTTTCTAGTCCGAATCAGTACGTTCACCAGCATTACCATCTCATCATACAGTATTAGATCAAGAACCAATAGCACAAGTGCATTACCAACCACCATGGCTTGATCATCCGCCATCGTCATTTCAATATCGCTCTCAGCCACATACTCCATATCATCATCATCATTATTGTGTTCACTGCACGTCACAATCACATCCTCATACGCCATCATCAATACGCACATCAACACGACACAAACATCCTAATCAACAGCAACTACGAACGAACAGTGAAGTTCGTTGGCCGATGGAAACAACGATGAACAGTTCGCCACTGTAAGTTGATCTTCACTAATCCACTTACAAATGCGATGTTATATCTCTGTTCTTTTGTTTAAAAGAGTAAAACGTCAATCACAATATGCCCCACCACCTCTTATTCCACCTCCGCCTCAACCATCGAATCCAATGATGATCAATTCCTTGGGTGGAGGTATGAGTTTTCATTTCAAAACAGGACATTTCTTACGTGCTCCGCTTTTTTAGAAACAATGACCACTTCTTGGGCTAGTTCGACAGATGCTAGCAATCGTGACAGTGTTTCTTCCTCGTCCACGAATCAAAATGAACAAAGAAAAATTCTCAATGAACATAGCCGTTCCAGTAGTGAAGGTTCATTATTTTCGGATTCCGAACAACAGCCGAATCCATCACCATCCAATCAGTCATCGTTGATTGATCAAGAGCGACGACCTACTTTTCTAATGCCAACTGTATAAAAAGAAAATCGAAGTTGTTTTGTTTTCTTCTTTCAGATCTAGTCATTTGGTTCTTGTTTCATTTCTCTCCTTCTTCTTCTTTTTTTGTACCCGTACGATTGATTTAGGTTAGTGAGCTATTTTTTTCGTTCGATGTTTGTATTTGATTTTCGTTTCTTTTTACAAGTTCTAGCTGTCGTTCAGATCTTTTCTTTGTTGTACAACACAAGTGACATTTCGAAGGCGTGAAGAGACTATTGAAAATATTTCTTATAACTGTGACAATAAAACATAAATCAACCGGATATTTTCAATGTTCGAATGTACAACAAAGGATTCAGTAAATTTTGATTGCTATCATCCCATTCTCTCTCTGTCTCGTTGGGTGAAGATGTCTCCCGGGGAAATATTCGTTTGATTACTTAACTGAAATTTGTAATGTCCGGTGATGTATCATGATTAAAAATCATTTCCTTTTCTCTACGGAGAAAGAATTACGCATCAATGGAAATGGTTCTTTTCCATTAGTTGTTAGAATCATTTAAAAAATGAATGGAAATCTTATGTAAGTATTGTTACGTTATTACTTTTCTTCTTCGATGTTAATCACTCTTTCTGAATAATGTGTAATCAACGTAGTTGACTCGTTTTTCTTAAGCGAGTTGATTACCTAACTAGGAAACGGAAAATGATGGAATTCTGTTATTGCGTATTGCACTTTTTATTGAATGGATTCGAAAACTTAACAGATTCACGCACATTTGTTGCCATTTTTCGAGTTGAAACAACGGCAACCGACGTTTGGAATGCAACTTTCGCCATCGAGACAGCATTGAACTTTATGTGGAGCATACGTGCACGACTTTTGTCCTGGTGGACAGTCTTTCACTGGTGATGAGATCTGTTCGTTCGATGCTAAAATTGGATCAATGACAGATTTCCAATCGGCAAGTGACCACGCGGAACTTGCACCGGTCATAACACCGTTGATGAAGAATGATGGAGTTCCAACGACACCTAGAAATTAAACGACGAGAGTTTAGTTAGCAAAATCTAAACCGTACTACCTCGCGAACAAGCGTATTTCCATGAGATACGTGTTTTGTCGTTGATGTCAGCGCTGTTCATTCCATTGAGAAACTTATCTTTTGGAACTAGACCAGTCTTATCGACGAATGCAGCGAGTGAATTGATGACGTCTGGCATGGTCATTGATTTGGTTGCATCATTGTACCACATCTGTTGGTTTTCGAAGATTTTAGTAGCGTACCGGAAGATGGAATCAAGGTTTCGACTGGTTGCATTGGCAACAACGTGTAAGCCTTGTGAGGCAACAAACGAATTTGTATGATATGGAAGTGGGAACGTATGAATGCGAACATGAATTCTTGTACCATAAGCTTGAATTACTTGTAAAAGAGTAGGCCATGCTGCCTTACAACCTGGACACAGCGGATCGAGAAACATCTCCACAACCACATGAGCATCAGCTGGACCGCCAACTCCGTATCCATCTGGACGCGATGGAATAGGCACTTGGGCCGAAATCATACCAGCATAGATCACAGCTAGTAGAGCGAAAGTTTTGATAAATTGCATATTTTTAATTGAGAATACTGTTCTGCAGAATATACCAAAAATGTCTTCTTTGTCACACTTATTCTCTTTATATACGCGAGAAGATAAGATAAGAATGATATAATTTAAATGAAACATCATCACGATTAACTAAAGGTTTTTTCCTTTGCTATATCATAAGTATAGTGGTCACATAATTGAAACAGATTGTCTTTCTATGAAGACAAATGTATATGAATATGAAGATTTTTCTGTAGCAACATATCAAATACTTTGCTTCGAGATATACGTATGTATACGATTATAAGAAAAGGTTTTATGTTATTTGAACAAGTAACCTATGATATGCTAATCATAAGGTTATGCTGATAGTCTTGTTTTGCTAAGTGTTGATTTCAAATAGCAACTACTAGATAAATCTTTCATGAGTTAGTCATAGAATGATAAAAATTACTATGCTACTCGTGCCTTTCTTTGATTAGATGAATCATCTCATAGAAATATCGTGATATCTGTTCAAAAAGCTTCCAATTTGAACGTCAACATGTGACAAATATTGACAAACAACGTGTTATTGAGCAAGTAAAAAGAAATTATGATGACGTACATATGCTTAGGTTATCATGTGTCAGTATTTACTCATACTCTGTCTTAATGGTTGATACGGGAGAGATTTTTATTACGAACGTCATAGAAAGAGAAGAAAAGAGCAAGGAAGCAAGTAAAATGTTTTTTTCGAGTAGAAAAGAAACGATTTGTATTGTACTATATAGATCTCCAAACGCTTTTTTATTAGAAATGTATGTCAAGTTAACGATTATTCTCGTGATAACACTGACAATCAATAGGAGCTATTCAGCCGCCTTGGACGCGAATAAATTGAACCGATTAATTTGTGATGAATTGAATAATAATAATACCATCGACGTTCAAGAGGATGAACAGTGGAAAGTAATTTGCCAAGAATTATCTCTCATCGAAAAAGTTCAATCAGCTACTGATAATAATCGTAAGTATCCATCATAACTTTGAGATTTATTCAATTCATTCTAATATAAACTGTATGACTATTTTGCGATTAGTTGTAGGAGAGAATATTCAACCGGACAAACAGCCACGCAAAGCAGCCGTTCGTTTTGGAAGTGTCAGTCGTGGCGGCAGTCGCATCAGCAGTGGTAGTCGTTCCAGTAGTGGAAGTCGCACGAGCGGTAGCAGTGGAAGTCGTGTCTCTGCCTCATCGTCATCTTCCTCTTCAGTAAACTATTACAACACACGTACTGGCGTAAGATACAACCGTCCGACTGGTTCACTTTGGAGTCGATCTCGGCTCGCCTTTCTTGTCCTAGCTAGCCGATACACTAGTCGACGCTATTCATCATCGTCTCGCTTCACAACTCCGGCGTCAGGTTCAGTGACCTACTACTATTGTACATCGATTGACAACACTTCAGCAGAAATACAATGTAGTTCAGAAAATGGTGATACACAATGTTGCGAGGAAACAGATTACGAACCGTTCTGTTGCGGTGGAAACGTTCCAGATGACATTCAACAAGATATGAGTCGTGCAACACAAACGGTGTCAAGAATCTTCTACACCATTGCAGCTCTTGCTTTATTTATGCATTTATTCATGCGACATTTTCGTCGATAATTGTGTGCGTATATATCCTTGACCATACATAGATATTCTTCATAAAGCATCCATTATGAATTGAGACGTTTTATTAAGAGATATTTTTTGGCTACTTACTTTATTTTCTAAGATATTTCTAGTTGCTTACTTTTTGATAATGACTTTTTCATGCGAAATACTTCATAAGATTCTAATTCTTTCACAAGTTGGCTCATAAGCAAATACTTAGTAAGAAAAATAAGTCTGCTACGCTGAAAATAGAAGAAAAGCATCATTGACTTCTATTTCATTGTCAATATCGTGTAGCAAATACTAATAACAGAACATATTTCAATGGAGTGATTAGTTCGAACGCTTCTTCGCTATTTCTCGGTATTACAAATGAAACAGAACTTGATGAATTAAGCATTCCAAGTGACCTTATTTATATGGTGAATTAGAGTGACTCAATATCGACACAGAAAGTCTCTCTTTTACGATATACATTAACATATATTCTTGATCGACTAGCGACTAATTCCACTCGAAGTTTAAAGCTAATATTTACAGCAAAGTTGTACCATGATACAATTTAAAAAATATGAACCAAGTAAGTTACCGATGAAAAGACAGATTTAAATGCAGGTGGGCGTCGAAGCCTTGTTTTCCACCTGACAATACCAGAACTAGAGCCATCTGCTGATAACAATCTGAACAAGCACACAATTGATAATTAAAATAACAAACTCGCACAGGTTTCATTGCTTTACTTGCTTTATTTAAATATATCGATGTCGATACACGGAAAACAGTTGACACACTATCAGTACCACTTTGAATCACGCGTTCGGATCAAACAGAGCAGTGTCTGTACAATATTTTCTTTGTCAACAGCTAATACGCGACCTAGAATAAAAAACAGTACGTAAACGTCTTGTAGAACGACAAGTAAAGAATAGTTTCTAAAGTGATAGGTACGATTTCGTAGTTCAGATTTAATGTTTCGGAGTGGTACGTCTGAATAGGGCATTCATTTTTTCATAATTAACACTCATACAAGGAACACTTCCATATTGATCAGCGAGAAATTTAGGTTGTAGAAGTGTTTTTTGAAGTTGATCCGCAGTGGAGCGACACACTCTAATATTACTCCAAGGTTTTGTATTGGTCTTCTTCACTATCAAATCCTTTGATGAATATGACGCTGCAAAATATAAATACGAATAGATGCAACGTATTTGTGTCACATAATTTGCTGAATTTTATTTTTGTTACTCATGGCGGGTGTGATGCGTGCAATTCTGGTAAAAGAATTCGGTAAATTGTCGATATTTTAACATAATTCATTCAAATCCGGACTAAATCTTCTGTTTGTAGGTGATGCTAGTGTACTTAAACTAGTCCAAAATGCAGTTATTCCTAATATAAAATCCCATGAAGTATGCTAAATCGAAAACTCAGAAACTTTCAGATATTTTACAAATTCTAATTAGATCTTAATCCGAGTACATGCTGCGGGCGTCAACCCAGTCGATACGTATATCCGATCGGGAACTTACACACGTTCGCCAGCTTTGCCCTACGTACCTGGCGGTGATGCTGCCGGTATTGTCGAACGAGTTGGTGATGCAGTTTCAAAATATAAAGTAATTAGCGTTCTATATATAACTGCACTTTTTCTAACATAATCCAGTTTTATTTAGGTTGGTGATCGAGTTTTTACTGCAAAGACTGTAACTGGCACCTATGCGGAATACTGTGTCGCTCATACGGACTTTGTCTTTCCTTTACCCATCAATATTTCATTCGAAGAAGGTTCTGCTCTCGGTGCGCCTTATTTTACTGCGTATCGTGCGCTAGTAATCAAGTAACAATTGATATATAACGAATTACTTTATCATCATCATTGACACCTGTCAATATTGTAGAGGTCATGCGAAACCAAATGAAACTGTTTTGATTCATGGAGCTAGTGGAGGCGTAAGTAAACATAACGAGTTCATGCATTCGAACGAGATATATTTTCTTACAAGTAGGTTGGCATCGCCGCCGTACAATTGGCTAAAGCACTTGGTTTACGTGTAATTGGTACTGCTTCAACAGAACAAGGATTACAAGCGATTCATAACCAAGGTGCTGATCTCGTTTTTAACCACAAGCAAGAAGGCTATTTTGAAGATATAGCCGTAAGACACTGTCGAATCACTGAATCTGTTCGTCAAATGATTGATTTTTCTATAGAAAACTTCGAACAATGGTGAAGGAGTTGACTTGATCATTGAAATGTTAGCGAATGTGAATTTGAACAATGATTTACAAATACTGAAAGCAAAAGTTGGCCGAGTAGTTGTCGTCGGTAACCGTGGTACAATCGACATTAATCCTCGACTGCTAATGACCAAGGAAACAAGTGTTCATGGTGTTACTCTATACAGTTCAAGTGAAGTAAGATTGCACACTATATCCTGATAACAAGTTGTGTTTCTCTCATTGCTAAGGATGAATTTCAAATGGTCAATGCTTTTCTGCAAAACGGTCTTAAACATGGTTATATCAAGCCACTTTTAGGCAAACTCTATCCATTAGAAGAAGCTTCCCAAGCTCATATTGATATTATGCAAAACACAGGAACGTGCGGACGATTGACACTGACAATTTAAATATGTTCCTTTTCTTGCTGGCGTAATTGCTAGACATTTGTAATTGGTGATTCTCGATTTGCAATCGATTCTGCTACTGCACTGAATAAAACATACTAAAGTTCAACATGCGCTTGTTACCGTTATGGATGTTTTCATTCGGTACAATTGAATGACAAAAAGTGACAAGGAACTGTGATTTGAATAGTTTTCGAACAGTAAGTGTCAAAACAGTAATCCAGCCAAAAGAACAATATTTCGTGCTAATTATGTCAAGGATGCATTCTGTTCTTTGTGTTCCTATGTAATACTCTGTTGACATATCAATGTTGTAGGTCTTCTTTTCGTTTACTTCGATTTCTATTGTCATGAAAAAGTACACTAACAAAATGCGAAAGAAATCAATCATCGTTCACTTGTGTTTTTTCGGCGTCTTTTGATCATGATTGTTCTTTGATCGATGGTATTTGATCTATCACGTACAAGTTGTTTTTTTTTCTATCAAAACCTTTGTCTTATACGGTAGAAGTGAAGAAGTGCAACGATACAATTGCGCTCGTCGATTGTTTACGGCAACATGTTTAGACGAAATCTAATTTTCTTACTTTGTCAATTAGCGCTGACGATTGTTAATGCTGCGAATAATCAAAATAATGTAAGTCGCGTATTAAGTCGAAAGATATTAGTAGAATCTATTGTGAAAATAATACCGTGTAGTGTTGGTCCTCATCAACAATCTATCGAATTGCATCTTTCAATGATGTGAACACGAATTCTATCACCCAAAACGTAAATTATACTGAAGTTGAACTTGTGAATGAATGTCATCTGTCATTTGTGCAAAAACTTACCAACAAGACTTGTTTGACATCAACACGATCATCTCGAAAACCACCGCCTTTAGCACATAGTACATTCTTGACATTTAACGCGAAAGTATTCTCCCCATGTTTTTGTTTTTTGAAATTTGCAGGGTATGGTTATGGATTTTTAGCTGTTTTTATCATCAGTGTTCTTTCGTTAGCTGGTTTTCTTGCATTTCCACTAATGAAAAAACCGTATTATAAATATTTCAATGCTTTCTTCACTGCTCTTGCTGTCGGTACACTTTTCTCAGATGCCGCATTCGAATTGCTCCCTGTTGTATGTAAACGAAATTCTCATTTCATAATGATTGACTTGCTCCTTGTCAGATTATTCAAAGTGATCGAAAATCATCACATTTGCATGAACATGGCCTGGCAAGATCTGAACAACATGGCAGCGAAATACGCATCTCGCCTTTTCTCTGGCAGATGGCCGCCGTTGTACTTAGTAAGTAGAAAAATGTTCTTACAAACGATGAAAATTGTATTTTTTGTTTTAGCTGCATACGTCTTCTACATCATCGAGCTTATCATTCATGCATTTATGCTCCATCGACATCAGCATAAAGAAGTAAGCTATTCAAATCTTGCTCTATTTTAGAAAGAGAACTATACAATCACACAAAATCATGTTTATTGTGCTGCTTTGTAGACTGAATTCGATCTCGGTAATAAAGAATCATCGCTGTCTGAACCCAGTGTCCTTCCAAACAAGACGTTGACACATTCGGTGCGTAATAATTCTGTGATTTCTACGAATACAGTACCTAACCTGACTGTTGTACCTGGCGAACGGCAAACGAAAAGTAAACACGATTTATTGTAGAAAAATGACGCAATTTTAGTTATATCATGTCTTCAAAAGGCACTGGCTGGATGATAATTATTGGTGATGGCATTCATAACGTCGCCGATGGTCTAGCCATTGGAGCAGCGTTTGCTGAAAATACTATTTTTGGAGTGACAACAGCTGTGGCAATTGCTTGTCATGAGTTGCCGACAGAGCTCGGTTAGATCTGATAAAATGACTATGCATTTGTATTGAAGAGATTCATATTTTGGTATGATTTGTAGGTGAATACATGGTTTTGATTGAATCAGGCTTTACGTTTCGTCGTGCACTTTTGTTCAATTTTATCTCGGCTTGTACGGCAATTATTGGCTTTTTTATTGGGGCCAGTGTTGCTCAAGATGAATCCGCTCGTGTATGGATATTTGCTATCACTGCTGGCACATTCGCTTATATTGCTCTAGTTGATTTAGTAAGTTTCTTTTGATCGATTCAATTTACAAGAACTATGTTGTTTTCTAGTGGCCTACATTAATGCCCGAAACCGATCGGTTCGATTGGATACGATTTACTTGTGTGACTTGTGGCTATTTATCAGGTGTTCTCATCATGTTTATTTTATCAATGTTCGAAGAACGAATTGTTCAATCGAATGTAGAATAGCTTACAAAGTTCTAAGCTGTTATCAATTACATTTTGAAAAATATTCGACGAGTTGACGAATAAAGTGCGGAATGTAAAGAATGTAAAAGAAATTCATTTTGTCAAATCTCTTCGGTTTATCAGTGTCTGGTATTTGTCCTGTCACGATGTAGAAAGCAACATAATGTCCAACGTTTCGATAGTACACAATGCATACAATGTTTGCAAAAGACTATTTCACTGACTCTGGAACACAAAAAAAGTACCCAGTGTTGAGAGTAGATATCACGCCAGTTTAACATTATGCTTATCTATTATCATTTTCCTACTGACAACTCATTTAACTAAGCGAAAACAGCCTGTTTATTTGTCTTTTCGTATTTATATATAACAACATACAAATTATCCGTCTCGCTTGGTAACCATTTTTGAGTGATACCTGGGCGAGTATTTTAAGACGCCAGGCTTGCTAAGTTATTCGAGGGTTGGTTCTGAACATGAGAACTGCTGAAAACATGCATTATCTAATTTAAATGTACGTGTCCTCATGTACAAATCGTTGGTGCATTCTTCAATCACTGCAGAACTCTATACGATTGGATCTGGTCGAAGTCATAAGCTTATAATGAAAAATGTTCATCAGAACAATAGAATTCGACAGGACGAAAATCTTCGATTCTAATTACAAAAACGCTCGATTTTCTGCAGTCCGCTTCCAGCTCTGGAGTCAACACTGGCTTTTTTATCTCTTCTGTCTGTTTTTCTGTTATCGTACCTCTATTCAGTCAACTTCTCTCTACATCAAACTGCGCTTATCATCGAAACATAGCTGTTGAGTAGAAGAATTTAAGTAGTTTATCTACAAAGGCAAACAGAGTCAGAAAAAAAGAGAATAAACAATCTCTGCATCACGCATTCTTGTTGAAGATCATGGCGAATATCAATCGATTTCCCAAATTAATCTACTTCTTATTTCTCGTTGGCCTATATCTGGTTCGTATAAATGCAAATGAGGAATATAACACTGTGACCACTGATAGCACATCGTGGAGCTCAGATACGATGCCCATTTTTGACAAGTTTCATTTATCATTCGTTCGAAATATGTTCGAGACGTTGGGATCGAGATCAGACGATTCAGACGACGATTCTGATGGTCCTACTGCTGCGCAAAGTAGATGGCTTTTACAAGTAAAATCGAAACATTCGTTGCTTATCTTTAGAATATGGTTACGGTTTTTTAAGTGTATTAGTCATTAGTACATTCTCACTTATTGGTGCAGCGATTTTTCCATTAATGAAGAAACCTTACTATAAATACATCAATGCATTTTTCACATCAGTGGCTGTGGGAGCATTATTTGCCAACAGTGCCTTTGAACTATTTCCTGCTGTTTGTATATTTACTTGCTGAAGAGTATTACTTTGATTTATTTGTCACAGATCATTCAATATGAGAGTGGTAATAGGCGATCAGTCAATCATACGGAAATAAACACGACGAAACCAGACTCAGAAAATGACGAAGAAGAACCTATTGTGCCGCTTTTTCTTTGGCAAATGTTGATACTTGTTTTAAGTAAGAAACGACTTTTTATCGTCATCGATCTCTGTATGCAATGAATTTCATTTGGTTAGCTGCCTATTTCTTTTATTTCCTTGAAATGATGATCAATGTCTTCATCGTCTATCGAGATCGACGAAAGAAAGTATGTCCGACGAAATCCTAAAACTTAGCAGAAATAGTCGTTTTGCGATGAGTGAAATTTGAGCATCTACAAACAGTCAGATGTTGTTGAATATTTCGATGTAAACTTCTCATTAACAGGAAGTTTTCGAATTTGATCACGATAATTTACCGCCTGACGATAGAAGCACATTGCCTGCTCTTACTCCTCGATCTCGTAGTGAAACAATTCTTTCAGCAACTTTTCCCAATATTGCTCTAACATTCGAAGATAAGCAAACGCCCGGTAACAGAATGTCTTTTTATTGTGAAATTATAAATATCAACGTTGTTCTGATCTAGCTATCGGATGGGTGATTATCATCGGTGATGGTATTCATAATATTGCAGATGGTCTTGCTATTGGTGCTGCATTTTCTGATAGTATTATTCTCGGTATAGCACAAGCAATAGCTGTTGCTTGTCAAGAATTTCCAAGTGAACTTGGTTTGTTGTCTCGAAACACTTTCATTCTACAGAGTTGAGTGAGATTATGCTTCGGCTCTGCTGTTTAGGTGAAATGATGATTCTGATCGAATCAGGTTTTACGATAAAACGTGCACTCTTGTTCAATTTCTTTTCTGCCTGTACAGCTTTTCTCGGCTTTTTCGTTGGTGTTGGTCTCTCTGAAAACGAGACTGCCAGAATATGGATTTTTTCGGTAACGGCGGGTATATTCACATATATTGCTCTTGTTGATTTAGTAAGTCTTCATTTTGTCTTTACGACAACAATAGAAACATGTTTTCTTCTAGTGGCCAACACTAATGCCCGAAGCTAAGCAGTTCGAATGGAGACGGTTTGCTTGTGTGACTGCAGGGTATTTGTTTGGAGTATTTGTTATGTTTGGTTTGGGTATATTAACTGAACAACTCGTACCGCACCCGACAAAACGTTGAGAGAGAAGTTTTGCTAGTTTATATTTACAAAAATATTCTTCAGTAATACCAATAAGATAAGAAAATACTCTTGTTTTCCATTTTTCACGAACTGTATTATGTTTTAATGATATATAATATATATTTGGTTCAATCGTTTTTTTTTTATGACAGATACGATCTTGTTTAAACACTTGTTTTAGCGAACTTTATAAAAAAAAATGGTTTTAGTAGAAAAGTAGGAAAATCAAGTTCGTCAAGTAAAAAAAAGCTCATTCACCATTTTTTAACCAAAATGAGGTCTATCACGCATATCTTCATGTACACACAAATGTTCAGTAACAATATCACCGAGCGATGGATTTTCAAGAGCATCGGCTGCGTAACCATCAGTGGTTGAGCTAGACGGAAAAAGAAAGTTCGTAGTATGACGAAAGCAAGTTAGTAGAGCAACATACTTATCTCTATCAGCGAAAAGATCACGTGCATTGCTTGCTGCTAGATCAGCTTGGTGAACTAGAGATGGAATGGCTTCACTCATCGATGAACGCGGATCAGTGAAGCATAGATAATAAGTTAAGAGTTGAAGTTCATCAGCAGTAAATTGAATTTCGTCGTAGAGAACGTGGTAAAGGGCAGGACGGTTGGTGCCTTGTAAAGCTTTGTGAGAATTAAGAAAGAAACTAAATTGACCTGGATGAACAATATCTGTATCGACGACAAATCCTGGAGGAATATTTGCCGTTTGATTTCGATCGTTTAGAGTAAAAAATCGCGTATGGTGACGTTTTTTGACAACAATAAATGTTAACAATGGGAGTGGCTCATTTCGATAAACCTCTGAGAAAGGAAAGAAATGGTATTTTGATGGTGTCGGAAGAAAATAAATTACCTCGGAAAGCTTCTTTCAATTGTGGAATTTCAAAATTGAGCACACGTGCGAATTGTCCATCATCGACACCTGCGAATGGCGAAAAGGAAACAATTATTACTCCTATCAATAAAGTGTCTCGTTTACCATCTCGATAGAAGACAATTTTGTTTGGTAGTCGATTTTTATTTCCGCCTCGATAGTATTCCAGTAGTTCGGCAACCATTTGTTGCAAATCGACAATAGCTTCGATGGCACATTTGCCACTTCGTGGCCATTGTTTACAAATTCGAACGGCGCTAGTCGAACATAACGAATCACCTGAACCAACAACAGCTGCAATGGATGGTTTGTCCTGTCGACAAACTGGATGTATCACATCGGCACCCATAAATTGCCAGGCATCGTCGATTGCTTTCGATTTGGCAGATGTGGTATTATTACTCGCAGTTGTGATCGGTAAACTGACTTTTGTATTAATTCCTTGCATTTTGAAATTTATTTTTCGTAGTAGATTTTCACACATATTATCTAAAACACGATCGGCACTACCACGTTGCGTACGAGCAAATCGTTCCATTTGTTCATCAAGTTTGCAGTACATCAGACATTGAGTAGTGATACCTACAAATAGAAATATGTTGAGATTCATCATGGAACACACGAAGATGAATACCGTGATGAACTGTTCCTTTCAATTTTATTGTCGGTCGTAATTCATTCCAATTACTGTCCATAATACAAACTATCAGTTCACACTTTTGTTGTTTTCTGATGTTGAAACATGCCTCGATGTTATTGAAATTCAGTTCACGATCTGCTTCATTCTCCGATATGCTGACAACGTCCTTTTTGCCCGTTTGAATAGGACCTAAACGAAATAGGTCGGCGATCTAAAGATACGAACACAAATAACTCATGAACTTAGTCGCTGAATATAATGCGTACTTTCTGAAAGGATACCACAAATTTGTCCATTAGACTCTTTTTCTGAGGGGTTAGTGGTAGTCGACCAAAATAAACAAATGCAACGGATCTTAATTTATACGGTTCAAAAAAGCGTCCACGTAGGTTGATACGACCCATATTGATATCTGCTTGATTGTTATTGATCACAGGTGGTGGAAGAACACGTGCTTTGATTAGTTTCATCTCGCGATCGTCAACACTCAGTTGAACAGCTTTACAAAGTGGTAGTTTGGGAGGTGAAGTATAATTGCATGATCGAAGTGACGACATGATGTCTTTGTACCTCTGATCAGGTGATGGGATCGTAAGATTCTGACGATCGCGCTGTTCGCTAGCGGACTAGAATTATCGATATTTATTTATTTTTTTTAATATGAAACTATGAAAATCTTTACTTCACGTTCACATTCTTGCCACTGGAGTATTCGACATAATTCCATGGGCAGATCTTTTGGATCGTTTCGTTCGTGTAGAAAATAACATCGTAAACATCGCAGTTTGGGATAGTCAATTTTGATGTTTTTCTCCTTCTCATAGTATTGTATAAGATTATACTGCGTTGTCGAAGACGTCGGTCGTCCTTTGTCAACGGTTTCTTTTACAAAGGTAAACGTTTGCCGTTCGGGTATGTCAGAAAAACTTCGAACTTGATAAATCTACGGATCAGAAAGACAACAAAGCAAATCAAACGCGAAATTCTCCTATTTTCGCTTACCTGAGTGTAGTTTGATTGTCTCGTCGTGATCTTACATCCATTTAGTACTAGTCTAGCTTTCTCATAATCATTACTTATCATGCCATATTTCCGAATATCTTTTCTTAAATGAACCGACAGGAAGTCAATTATCTCCATGTCAGGGTAGAATTTAGTCAATGTCGTTTGTAAATTGAGCGTAAGTCCTGCCTGGGTTAGATACAGAGCTTGGAAGAATCCCAAACGTAACTCAAAACCATCGGGTAGACGTTTGTCGGGTTCCGGTCGATCTCGATAGAATAATGAACCTTCACAATGGGTGACAGGTAGGAGTGCTTGCTTCAGTAGTGTTTCGAGAATACGGATAGCACACATAGGAGCATCGTTATCAGGAGCACTAATATAATCAAATATTGTCGATGTTGACCATTGACCAGCTAAATTTTGAATAGAGAAACGAAGCTTATTTTGATTATCCGCTGGTAGAGTATAAATTCTTGGAAATTGACGTTGGGGCAGTTTCTGCGTACTATACAAACATTTGCCCTCGTCATACCTAAAACGTTCAAAGAAAAAAGATTTTATTTCGTGATTCGAAAATTTATTTTCATTGCTTGCCAATAGATGAAATCAAACGCTTTGTTCTCAGCCAATTGTTGTACGAATCGTCGACGTTGATCACGGCTCATTACCTCCTCCCATTTGCTCAGCGATTGAAAACTCAATTTTTCGACAACAGCATCGTATTGATAAAGCATCATATTAGGGGCCACTTGAACAGGAAAATGATTTGTATAAGCTTCTATCGGTGTGCCTATTTTACCAGGGCTTGGCTTCACTGGCGGTCCATGTTTCTGCTCGATGGGTGGTAATAATGGGATGGCCGATGTAATGGGAAAACGTTTATTCCGACGTCGCGGCGTTTGACTTGGTGAACAAGGCTCTATATCTTCATTAGAAACGTCATTGATCTTCTCAATATCGATCGGTACTATCGTTGGGGTTGATCGACTGGTATCTATATCAGACGTAGGGGGTGTTGGTAAGATAGTCTATAAAGATAGTAATGGTACTTTCGAAGAAATTTGCTTCTAATGCTAACATACATCCTCAATTGGTTTGATGTCATCGTCAGAATTATCCTTTGGTATGCTAACAATCTTCAAGGGTACACTCAATTCTGGTGGAGCATGATTACTGTCAGCTTGCTTGACATCGAGTATTTCGTGTCCAGTATCCGACTGTTGAGTAGGTTGCGCTATATGAGCTCGCGCAAGTTTACGTCGTTGTTTCTTATTTAACACTTGCGACTGCTGATCACTGGTTGACATTTATCTAGGTAAAAAGAAAGGAGCACGGGTGTAGTAAAAGTATCAACCATGCATAACTAGATTATGTCTTTTCTTTATAACAAAAAAAGCGAAAAAAAAGCCCCAGCGGACGTTAAGTAAAGAAAAGAAAATAATCTCGAAACACGTGGAGTTTGTTCTTCGAACGAAAAGACTCTTTGTTCGCCGACAATTTATACAGGTTACTGCTCTTGCAGCTAGTATTATATACTTGAATGCATCGTGCTCGGAAGTAGTTCTTCTACGACATGGGGAATATGCAGGTAGGCGAATGCGTTTTTTAAAATAAATATGAAAGAAAAATTCTTCGTGTTTGTTTTCATTCGGTCCTCGCACTTCTCAACTGAGTTCGAAGACATCGAAAAAAAAAATAATTCAAAAAATATTGTTAACTTCTTTCTTCTCCTACTGATTTCAAGCAGCAAGCAAGTAATGCTTGTAAGTATGAGAAAAGACTATCAATGGAGAGTAAGCGATTACGCACTGCGAAGAACAAACATTCTATGACGCATCGGTGATGCCGAAAATAGCAACATTATCATCTAAAGTTAAATTTCGACTAGAAAACACAAGAGAAGAGAGTGAAAATGATGCCGGAGAGAAGTAAGAGTGTAACAACGCACCAAATATGAATTTGTTGTCATCCAGAAGGAAATAAAACATAGAATTCTTTCGAGTTTTTTTTATTCGTTCTTTAAATATTATCTTATCAGATTACGTCGTCGTTATTCTTCTATTTTTTTTGTCCACGTTATATGCAAAAGTACTTGCGTCGACCATTACTTTCCTCGGAAAGGCAACAAAAAGTCAATAAACGTTTGATTTAATAAATTCGTTTTTGGAAGAAAGATGTAAATTGTCAACCACCTCCGGTACATTCTATTCTCGTGCAAATGTTGGGATAGGACTTGGCCGTTCTCGTCATGTAATTTTCCAATAAATACGATATTTTTGCAACAATATGGCGTAATGACAACGAAAGGAGTCATGCATTGATAGTCAATAAGCTTCGATTTTGCTATTTTGTTTGGTCTTTTTGTCAAAACGAGATTTTGACTTGTGAAGCAGCGCCTATTGGTTGGTATTGACATTTATTAACGCTTATTACCGGAATACTTATGTAAACATCATCTCTTTTCATAATTTCTGCTTTGAAGTGTTGTTTGATATAATAGCATGGGCTATCGCATTGAAAAATGATATACTTATTTTCACATATGGAAAAGAATATTATCACACCCACGAAATGGTAACTTTCAGCGAGCGACATACCATCAAACGAGGATATGTTTTAGTAATCGTAGACAGAATCATTTATTTCCTTTAAGATAATTCGAACAAAACAAAATTCCGTATCAACTGTAGAATTGTGCCGTCACATTTTCTGACAGTCTTAATCCAACAATTCATATATTTTCCTTCGTGTAGAAGAAAATCGCATCAGTCTGTCTTTCGGTCATACAAATTAGGAGATATGATATGTTGTGTGTTAGAATAAATCATCCTACCGAGCATTTTGTTTCGAATTTTTATGTCATTATGATATAAGAAATCTTTTTTGATTAGTTTCTATCACAATCATTGACGGTTCTGCGTTTTCATGATAGATGAACACATGTCCTGTCAGAAAGCTGACTTGAAGAGTTATAACAACAGCTGCGTATCTTTTCTTTTCTTCTATACAAACATAAATAGTACAAACAGAGTGAAATCTAATTCATCATGTTCGATAGAACCTTTCTTTCATCTACCGGAAGGAGTCTTTCTTGATCAAGACAGTCGAGTACTACACGGAGCTCGGTAATAAACGTCGCCTAGGGTTGTTATTAGTATCTTTCAACAAGCAATGGAATTGCTTCATGATTATATATCGTAGTTCGCGTATTTTGACAAAAAAAAAATGAAAGATTCTAACTATTATTTTCTATCTTTTACGACAAGATGATAGGAAAGAATAGCTTTCCTTTTCCCGGACAATCTTTGTACTCTTCTCTTATTCTTCGCCTAGCGTAGAGAATAAAGGCGTGTAATATACAATGCCAAGATCTTATTTCGCATACACGTATTATTCATTTTGATAGCATGTCATCAACATAATAGCAGGCCAGATTTTTGGCAAGTGCTGTAGATGAGATAGAATTCTTTTTTGTTTCTCCTTGTTATCGAATGAATGTTTCAAACGTGTTCGATATTTGTAGCCCTATTCTCAAGATTTGATCTCGTTCTATGAATGAGGAGCCGGATGACAGAGAGTATTGACCTAATTCAGTCTGAGTCTTTTGCAAATTTGGTCGTAAGTGAAATCTGTCGAAGATATGATGCAATTACGTCTTGTTCAGTTTCTAATAATAAGATGTGAGTAGCTGATGAGTCAGACCAATTTGTTTTCTGTCAAATGCACAAGGAACTAATTTCAGTTTTCCTTCAGTCATGATTTGAAGTAAAAGGAGGCAAAAGTCTATTCTGACGAAGTCAGAAACAGTTTGTCATTTCCGTTTGAATACTTTTATGTTCTACATGCTTCGAAATTTTCTACTTGCTTTCATTAGGTGATTAAGAAAGTCGATCTTCGCACTCTCTTGGGTATAAAGTTCCTCATACGGCGCACATTTTCAGGCGTAGTTCAAATGAAGCAAGGCATTAACTTGCTTGAATGAAACAACGAATTGTCTTCATTAACTTTTTAATATACTTTTTCTAGTTTTCTTCTTTTAAACACCTTTATTCTGTCAGTTTGCTAACTTATGATTAGGCAGAATTTGAACTACTACTTATTTTAATGACAAATAATAACTGTTGTTCTAGTGACAGCAAGAAATTTGTGATAGATTGACGCAAATATTATTTGACATCTCTGTAGGTCTCGTTTGTTCATTCGATTCTCTTGTGTGACGTTGCTAGAACAACTGTCGAATCAATTTTTCAACGAAACATTCGCTATACACTCTACACTTGCCTTTGAGACAGATCGACGCATGCATTTTCGTAATTGACAACATTTTTCTATGTCAATATTTTTAGAATGTCCTTTGTTTTTTTCCGTCCTCGCGAGATTACTTCGATGACACTCATTTATAGCAGCAAAACTCGCATATCCCATTAATGATAATGTAATTAGACCTGTTTTAGAACAAAGTACATTGTTAAGCATCAGACGGGACATTTTTTTAACTTATGACGCCGAGAAGTAATGAAAAACAACTGCTGATCAGTAATCCCGTAATCGAGGTAGTCGAGCTCGTCAGAAATTCAGAAATAAATAAAATCCACGAAGACTCAGAACGACAGAACAGACACAAATAGACATTCCACTGCTGTCAACATATTTTTCTTGATTATCCATTGTCGTCCTTAGAGAGTCCATAGTTAGATAGATACAGACAACAATTCCTTTGTTGACATTCCAGTTTTTGACAGACAACGAATCGACTCGCTTGGGCGTATAATCGAACTTCGATGTCTTTTCTTTATAATATGAAATAAACTTGATCTTTTAAAGATTATATACACACGCTAGAAAAGCAACCTTCGGCAATGTTCAACAATTCAACCTTACCGTTACCCAACACGAGTCGCCAGAATGAAATTCAACAGTATATCGACGATGTTAATCGTGTCATGACGTTCATTCAAGGTTTCATATGCATCTTCGGTGTGCTCGGAAACCTTTTAGCTTTAATCGTCATCAATCGAAAATCGTTGAAAAACACATCATCATCGGTCTTCATCACTTATATGGGCATCTTTGATACAGCGGTTTTGTTGTTACACGCTGCTAATTTACCACGACTTCGTGGTTATCCACTTCTACATTGTTCGCTAGCGTATTTAACAGATATGTCGACATTCTGCGCTAATTGGATTCTTGTTATTATCACATTAGGTACTTATTCAGCCGTAAAACAATCCATGATGTATTTTTATCTTTTTCTTTTCGTTTAGAACGTTGTGTGGCGGTCTATTCTCCGTTTCTTGCCAAACGCTTTTGTACAATCGATTCAGCGCGATATTCGATCTATATTCTTCTCGCATCTGCCATTATTCTCTTTACGGCCATATTTCCGGTTACTCATCATATAGTTACTACACCAACAAATGTTAAATGTTCTCTACGTTCAAGCGGTGGCCTTATTATTCGTATATATCAACCGATTTTATTTTATGCCATACCAGATCTCTTACTTCTGTCAAATCTATTCACCGTTGCAGCTCTATGCCAGCGGACACATCGACTTACATCAACGTATGTGCATGAGACTGGAAATTCTGAAATACGTGTTAGTGATGTAAATTCAAATCGAAAACAACGACAATTAACAATCATGCTTGTTACTATTAGTTTATCATTTTATTTGTTTACAACACCAGCATTGCTTGCATTTATAGCCCAACAAAATATACCGAAGAATCGTCCAGTTTATCAGATTAAAAACACCTTTCTTGTCCTACAAATTTCAGTTGTTTTCCTTCAATTAAACAATGCCGTAAGTGAATTGAAAACTGATCAGATACATTCTACTCTATGATGATTTAGACCAACTTCATCTTCTATTGTTTTGCCGGTCAACGTTTTCGTCGAGCAACAGTGCAAATGTTCGTCGAATATTCGTCGCAGGTGCAAACTTTCTATCACAGATATATTCTTTGTAATCGACAATATACTCCAACACCAATCTTTAAATTTCAATCAAATGCTATGGCACACACAACAGCCACCAGTCGAGGCTCCTGTTCCCCAAATCCTCATCTCTATACTAAGCATCCCGATCATCGCCGTCATAATCATCGACACCAGCATCAGAGAACTTCGACAATGTGAGAGTCACTTTTGACATCAATGTAAAAGAGAGAATTCATTGGTAACAAAACAAAGAATTCCATGGCATGTCTGTCAGATAGTTGTATGTGAAATGATATTGTGTCATTTGACGAGTTTGACAAGTATATCATGTATTGATTCCGATCGTAAAATTATTTTTCTCAAATAAACGGCTTCTTCTCACGCTCTTGCTTTCCAAATGTAACTTATCATGCACTTCAAATAGTTTATAAAGTATATCGAAGATGACTTTCATAAAATTTATTCAACACTACATCATCCTCGGATCCGACTACAAAAATAGATTGTAGTTATAAATACAAATTAATTTTGCCGGTGACAGTTGTATTCCTCCGACATCTCTCCACAAAAGATTATTAATAATCTTGACATTAAGAACGAAAAAAAGCACGTTTTTTCTTTTCAAATCATGCATTGCTTTAACTAACATTTTACGTGCTAATATCACTTGAGAGATTTTAATCCTGTTTGAAAAAATGATTGATGAATATCATGTCATCAACCTTGAACAATCAAATTCAATTCTCACTTGTCAATACTTGCTATGTCTCTCAATTAATTAAACGTTTCTCTTCGATCTTTGAGCACTATTTTCAATTGAATTATTAGCAAATGCTTGTCATCTTCGAAACTCATCGTTGACGTAATATGTATGGCATGTAATAAAACTATTTGATGAAATCAATAGAAGAAAATCTCTATTGATAGAACTACATATTAAACAAGACATAAATTATGTTTTATGTCCACATAGAGAATGAATCTAAACATTCGTATTAGTAATTCTATCTATCTAACTGTTATGTGTTCTTCCTTCACAAGCAGTTTTTCCAGATGAATGTTTTACTGTCATGACAATGACTAGGAGAAACACAGACAATCAAACACAAATCATGGTAATTCACTTGTCATGATATGATGTAACCGAGTTGAATTTAATCACAAATCATTCTCATTCATCTGCAAAAAAAGACATTTACTGAATGTACGCAATTACATAGTGGACAGCATTTACTTGAATCGAATACAAACGAATGCTTTTCATAGATTCAGATCAATGCTAGGTTAGAAAAGGAAACTTATAAGAAAGATCAATCGTGGAATCTTTTTGATGACTTGAAAATCATCTGTTTGATGATTGAGAAATAAATGACATTTTTTTCACAAATAGTATTCCACCTTGATGATACCCATATGTGTATATTTATTTAATAACATTCCTTTTCTTCTGGACTGCTTATGTGTGCCCTCTAGACATTGAGATAAGATATTAAAAGGTTTTAAATCGATACATCATGATGGATTTTTTCAATATGATTTCTCTCTTTTTTTTCTCAATATCATTGCGTATCTAATCGAAGAATGATAGGTAGGCAACTTGATCTAGGGACTAAATATCGTGATGCGTAGAATCGAAATAACATGCCATGCCTATACGTCAACACTGTTATTGACGCTTCTTTTTTTGTCGTTGACATAGGACAGACATTATTAGGTAAAATATTATATAGACATACTGGCCTTCTTACAACCAGTATTATCAAGGTCTCATATATGTGTAGATGTATATTTGCTATTTGTCTTTTTTCTCGATTTCTTTCAAAGTTATTTTTTGTTTTGTGTTGTTGATGAAAAGCGAGAGAGAGAAGCGAAGAGCTTATACATATGTACATATATCATTCATGTCGTCAATCACTCAATCAATCAGCGGTGTGGTAAAAAATAACTAATCCTATTCAATATGTATTGAGTTTATCCTTCGAAGACGATTCATCTTGAGTGTCCATTCGTCTAAGTCATTGTTGGTCAACTGATTAGAATAGAAAAAGAGAATGAAAGAGACAAAGAAGTGAGCAATCGCTCGAGTGTCTAGCTAGAGTGCACAAACAAAACAAAAATTGCGTACATGCGCCCCATTGAGTGATTTGCATATGGGTCACACAGAGGCCGTAATCGTATAATTAGTTTATATATATTTGTTGATTCCTGTTTTGAATATATGTTGTTCGAATACAATGAGGTGAGAGTTTTCTCTTTTATGTATACATTTATTGAGATAATGATCGATTGGGAAAAGAGAGGATCAATCGTTGTTGTCATCATCATCGTCGTCGTTTCAACTAACATCTGCTTGTTTGCCTGATAGCAATTGGTAGCAATAGAGAAAAGGTGGAAATGAATAGTATAGTTTGTATTTCTTTCTTCTCTCCTTTCTCTTCCCATATTCCATACAAATTGCGTGATGCCCAGCCCAGTTTCTTCTCTTTTCTCCTTCTTCTTCTTCACTCCTCCTCTTAAGGCTACGTGAAGTAAGAAGACAGAGAATGGCGATCATCACATCACATCACATTGGATGTCACTATAGAGATTTGTATAAGAATACCCTCGATTTTTTTTCTCCTGCCGACAAACATGTGCTGTCCGTTCTCGTTCATCACTATTCGTTTCTGATTTTCTTCTTGTGCCTGCCATGCAAGGAAGAACGAGCAAACAAGCGAGCGAACAAGCATAGAACTAAGCGAGTGAGTGTGCGAACAAGGAAGAACCGATCTCATCGTTTTGTATACATTCTCGATTGGCCATCGCTAATACAAGGTCATCACATCATGTTCCCATAGTCAACTATTCATTTATTCATTTTCTTTTTCTATATCGAGCGAAGAAATGAATTTCTCGTAACTAACCAGCAGTAATAACCTAGAGATGCGCATAGGATTGCTTATAGATTTGTTGATGATCCATCAATCTTTCATCGTAGTTTAGTGAAGAGTCAAAGGTGCTGTCATTACTCACTCTATGTTTGAACTAATCACGAGTAAGTGCTCATGCGAGAAAAGCAAATCATTCTCATCAGCGTTGAAGGCAACCATCTTTAGAGATATCAGTCATAATCTAACAATGAATTATATTGACCAACAGCCGCTTCTTTTTTTCTTCTTCTTCTTCAAGTAAATATAGAGATCGATTCAAGCGGAGTCCGTTATCTGGTTCCTCTCGTGCGGTAATATAACTGATGCTATAGCAAATATTTAGAAACAGAAGAGGGTGAGAGAGAGAAACATGCTGAAATATCTTTCTGTCATTTGCACGGTGACCAATCGTTGCATATGATAAATATGTTCGAAGATGACGTTTGATGCGTATGGATGTAAGTATGCGAACATTCTCTCTTTCAAACTTACATCATCGTACCGTTTCACATTGAATGGTAGTGGTCTGTTGTCATTATCATCGCCTTTCGGGGACATGCTCCTTTTTCATCTTCGTGCCTTCATTTAGATAGGTGTATATGTGCAACCAAACGTTCGAAAAAAAAACTGTGTACACATATATCGTGACAAAATGTGATTGATCTCTCTGTGTAGTACAAGGTGTGTGTGCGTATGTGTATTCTATATGCACATACGTACGTACATACACAGTGATGTGTATTCAATACGAGAGCAAACTTGTCTTCTTTTCATATGCTCATAGATCAAGTAACACATGTTGCTTCCGCTATTGATATTTGTTGATAATCATATTCTATTCAGTTTTACGAAACACACATCGGATGACACATTGCTACCTTATACATTATGCTCTACCGTCAAATATATATTTCTTATGTGAAAATGTGTATTCGTTTACGTTTCTTTTCGTACGTTAAAAGTCAAGTCGAAACTGTAATTCAATCCTCTCCTTCCTTTTTCTTTCTTCTCTTCTTTCTCGTTACCTCAGGGACATCATATGAACAAAAGAAGAAGTAAAAGCTGCCCGAATTAAAACAACACATATTCTTGTTCGTTAATCCTCTCACAAATTCTATCAAAGTTCGTAGCCATGTGTAGCAATTCGTTCGAGTGCTCAAGGTTCTACTTATCATAATGTCAATCGTCATAGATCTAAGTAGTGACTTAATTTTACACACGCGTTTGTAGACGGCGAGACCGAACTTCTTGCTGCCTTATTCTCTCTCTCTCCTTCTTGTTACTTCTATACTGTTATTGTTATTATTCCTGCTGGTAAGTCTATTTCGAAGTGTGATCTATTGTCTTATTCACATAAAGAAGAAAAAAGGTTAACTAGAATGTGATTTCATCTGGTGAGAGTGATTGTTCATTGTTATTATTCTTCTTCTTCGTCTTCTTTATACGCGATCGATTATGCCATTGATGAGAACTTCTCGAATCAATGACCTTTTCATTGTCTAAATGGTTATTAACACATTTCCTACGTGTGTCTATTAAGATATATATTTCTCGAATTCATTAGCACATCTTCTCAACTGTCTATTAATGATACTAGATCGATCATCGTTGATTCTTTCGGTTTTTTTTTTATCAACCTTGGACGAAGGCTGCCGCCTGCCGTTTTATATATTCGACATACCATCTTCTCGCTTTCTCTCATATTCTTATATCTTTCATTTTGATCCTGAGAAGAAAAATTAGTTACATAGACAATTGTTGCATCATATCATAACTGTTCTGTACTAACATTCAGATCCATCCATCAATCGAACTTATTTGATCATTACACGCATTGGCATCCACTGTGTCATTACTACTGGTGATGATGACGATGACGATGACATCATCATTATGATCATCATCTTCTTCTTCTTCTTTCTCGTCTTTCTTTTCTCGTTTTCTTGCTCATCATCAATATTAATACCATATAAATTTGCACACTTGTTTGACCGTAACTTTTCTTTTCTATTAGTATTATTCTCAGTTCTGTCATATTCTAGGTAATGTTATGTCGAATATATACCGTTTAACTATGCCATCGAATCATTATTCAATAACATCAGCATCATTTCTTTCGAAAACTATTAATAAGAAAGACAGCGACGACGAGCAGATCGAAAATTATAGCATGATTTCTAATGATCACATACCATCAATGACATATCCTAGTAATTTATCGATGTGTACGCGTTTGCCAATTTCATCCCAACAACCGCAACAACTACAACAACACCCATTGCTACTTGTTGCTGAAGAAGCAGAAATGTTTGACAATGATAGTGATAAACTCGTGTTACCTCGTTCAACACGTCTACTTAAACGACGAACGAGTCTGTTTGAGAAAAGTCGAGATTGGGTAAGTGTTGTTTTATCATTCGTTCGAGAATATGTGTTCGATGGATGTATGCCTTAGGCACGCCGTCTTATTACACTTCACCGTGCTCGTCGAAATACGACTTCGAATGAGAAAATCCGTGAAACATGTTGTCAAATGAATAAAACCCATTCGCATCATGAATTCTTGAGTCATCAATCGAAAAGCTTCGATGAAGATGGCTATCTATCACCTATGGAAATTAAATCTAAGGTAAAGAATATCACAAAGTGAACTCAACACTAATCATTTATTCTTAGCTTGATAATCTTAACCACTCACAAACAACTCCTTCATTTCACCATCATCAACATCACCATCAATCACTTTCGAAATTACCAACAAAGACCCGACAACAATTAATTGTTTATTCTCACAGCAGTTCGGATATCTCCCAACCTGTTTATCGCTGTCAAGGCCCAATTACTCAACCATCAACATTACAATGTACATGTCATCGACAACAACTACTAAGTACATCGTCAACTTCCGAATTTCACAAGTCTATATCCGTTGTTGATTACATTGACTTTGATGTTTCTGAAGAGTCCTCTTCTTCTTCATCAACATCACCATCCTCTTCACCTTCGAAACCAGATGATGATCACGATGACGATGATCCACTTTCTTGCTTGAAGTATCTTTTTGATGAAACTAATAAATCGTCAACTGCCAATTTCGTTCGACGTACTCCACGTCGTTCAACGAATACATCATCAATCTCTGCCGATTCTGGTTATTGTGATATACCAATGGCTTCATCGAAATTTATTCCTGTACATTTAATATCATGTACATTAATACCGGTGAATGTGACGAGAACAGAATCTATGGATATACGCTGCGTAACATGTACATGTCCGACATCAGCGTACTTCTCCACGAAAACTGAACGTCGACGACGAAAATCCTCGACGAATTCATCACGTTCACATCTGCCCGGAACTTATTCTCGACAAACTCCTTCCAATATGACAGAAAATGACACTGCAAACCATTGTTTATGCAATAATAAGTATTATTCGACAATGACAATATGTCCGAAATTATCTCTACCATCAGTTATCGGCGCTAAATCTACGACTAGGATTGATGTCAATCCAATGGATGACGTTTCTACTAAACAACAGAAGAAAAAAACAAAGAAAGATCGGCCCAATCCGTTAAAGTTCGTATCTTGAAAAGTTTGAACTTACCTTCTTCTATTCCTTCTTGTAGACTTTCATCGACAGTCGATGATCTAACATCAGTTTTACGTTGGTATAAGCCAAACCTGTCGCGGTAAATATTCTTTACTTTCATTCTCGAAGGTTTTCAATAGCACTGTTCTATATTCCATAGGGAAGTCATATGCCAAGTTCTTCAACAAGCTGACTACGGTGCATTTGTTCTACGCAAGAGTACAACTCACCCTGATTGTTATGCTCTCTCTGTCAAAGTACCAAAATTCGCTCATGATTCGAATATTTCGCACTATTTAATCGAAAAACTAATGACAAACAAGCACACATCGAGTTATCGTATTAAAGGAACGATTAAACAATTTCCAACGTTACTTTCGCTATTAACACATCATTCAGTTATGCCTGAAATTCTACCGATTACGCTTAATTTGAACGAAGTACTTCCTGTTTGATTGCCATAGTTTCCTCTCCCATCGTTTTTTGTGACCTCTGCATGTAGAAACAGTGAATTGAATATATGGATGTTTTTCTGTTTGTTTTGCTCTTCTTTTTGCCTTTTTCGTTGACAAATTTGTATGCTGTGTATGTTTTTCGTGCTTTAAACGGCAAAGGAAGAATTATTTATCTGTTTTGATACGGAATATGTTTTAGTCAATTGACAGCAGATCGTACAGAGAGAGGGAAAATTTGATATGGCTGACGAAACGATGTTTTCGCAATGAAGACTTGAGTTACATCAAATATCTTTCTGCACCTTTTTTTATTTCTCAAACTATGTAAAAACGTGCACGAAGGTCACACTATTGAAATATTCACAAAGCAAAGAAAAAACGTACGGAAAGAGAGAGATTATCTTACAACATAGTAACAACTAAATTTTTCTTAATCAGCACTAGCTGATTGTTGCCAGATGAAATTGTGGCTCTTTTTGACATTGTCCATCTTCGTTTATCACTGTCACATGAACGAAACCGTCATTTTGGGACTCATACTCAGAATCACGTCGTAGACCACCGCGTTCGATAAATCGTGGATTAGTATTTCTCATTCGCGTCAGTGATGACCATTTTTCCAAAACGCGATGACGACGATGGAAACCTACGATGAACATAAGAACTATCACGATCGCGAAACACGATAATGGAATTGCGTAGGTTAGAATTGCTTTCATGTCATCCTTATCGAAAGAAGAACTAGTCGTCGTCCGATGTGAATTGATTCCAGTTGTTGTTGATGTTAGTAGATTGGATGTATTTTCGAAAGATGTCTTTCCAGTAGTCATTTTTTTTCATGCGCAAAAGAAAAACGATAATAGAAGACTAGAGACTTTTTATACCGAAAGACGTGAAAAAACCGTTATTATATCATATAGCTTCAGATATCTTTGTGTCTTCATCTGACGTCAGATTCTTCTCGTCCTTCACATTGTTTCAAGATGGTGAAGATATAATTGTCACTATAGGCAAGGCAAAGATGATTACTAATGAAAAAGATCTCGTTGTTTTCTATTGTCATGATGTCAGAAGAAAATTTTTCTTCTTCTATGATACTTTCGTCACAATTCTATGAAGTAGCTCACATTTATCGAACGACGTAATATCGGTTTAGGTGTATTCGAGTGTTCGCTGGACTTTAGAATATCATCTTATCATTCACGATCTTCATCACAACACGTGTTCCTTACCTGCGAGCATGTCGTTTTGATAGCAGTATGCATAGGTCTCTTTCGTTCTTTCTTTGCATTATAATCAAGGTATCTTATCCTGAGTGAACAGAGTTCATACGAGCTGGATATCTCCAGGTCTGATATTCAGTGCAACGAATACATTCATGCATGTCATTTTCGAGCAATTGCCAAAACCGAATTACTTTCATAATGACTACTGATGTTCGTATGAAGGTTGTTATATTGATTGATAGTACCGATATCGCATTCGGTTCTCTTCTTAGTCTGAAATAGCTCGTTACATATGAGAAAGAAACAGCATGTACAGTATTTTTCGATGAATCATTACGTAAAAAGGTGAATTTTTAAAAGCACTTCCATATATTTAGTTCTTTGATGCTTATCGAAGCATTTTATTACTGGCTACTTTGATCTGAAGTATCTGTAAACTAAAGTACATATCGACAGTAATAGTATTAATGAAAAACTATTATTAGCTGTTACTCGATCTGAATGAAGAACGAAATCTTCTGAAGATTAGATTTCACTGCGGTTTGTAATCAAATCTTAATCTGGATGTGATCCTCCCTAGTCTATTCTCGCGCAAGCAAGAGAGAAGAGGAAAAAAATTGTTAGCTCATATATAATAGGGGTTTATGTAAGTCTTCTGCATCAAAATCGATCAAGATTCTATTTTAAACATATGTGAAATCAAACAAAAGTACATCGATTTCGATATATGCAAATTTATGCACAGATTTGCATCGATTGTATTCGTGACAGATAGTAAACACAAGAGAAAATCGTCTTTTCTCCAACGGAAAAGAATGTAACACATTCAAGGATACCATCATTCTTCGTGTCCGTTAAACATGCGCAAATAAATGAAATAGAATCCAACGATTTTTGTTCAAATAAGTTTCTTCTTCTTCGGTATATGCTGAGCGTTGTATTTGCTAAAGTTCATTTTATCATGAACTAAGTGACAGAAGGAGAGGAATAATCGTAGGATATCATTACTCTTCCTTTTTTTTACTTTTCAGGGACAATAGGTTTTAATCCTTTTTTCGCCTTGCTTTTTTCCTCATCGTCGTTCTTTTGTAGAAGTACACTTCAACATTTTTCTCTCTATTCTCCATTGTGCCTCTCTCTCTCTCTCTCTCTTTCTTTTTTACTTTGCATTATTACACGTGACAAAGAAAAAAACAGTTACGAAGAGAGGCGACTGTGTTGATGCTGCTCGTGCATCTGAAATCGAGTTATACAACCGAAAAGAACCTTAATATAATCAGCTCCATTGACCTTTCAGTTCATATCGATGCCCGATCGTACGTATGCATATCGAGCTCTTTTTTGTCGGACATTTTGAACGGAACGAATTGGTATTACTCGTCAGTTTTATTTAATTATCTTCTTTTACT